CTACGCATTCTCAACTTCCCATGGTTCATCCGAGAACAAATCTACAGCTGGAATCTGTTCCCGAAATTCAGAAATTCTTTCTGCACTGATGCTATAGAATTGCATCAGCTCGATGATTTTATCCAATGTGTTGCGATCCGCGCGTTCAAGGAATGTCAATCCCTTATTATACTCTTGAATCTTGATGTGAACTTCTCCACTCACTGGTGAGGCAATGTAGGAAGCGACCACGAGCTTGATAGCCCTGCGAGATAGTTCATGGCTTCCTGACACGAGATAAAGTGTTTGCAACACTAGGGTTAAGTCGACCTGACCCGCACCCACACCCCGAGGTATACACGCACCCTTCGTGCGGGTGCAGGTTTTTGGGGGGTATGGCCAGCTCGTACCCTCACCCGCACCCGTGCAGGGTTTACCCATGGGTAGTACATATAAATATTAAGTTAGAACTATGAAAAAAAATGATTGTGAAAAAGAACTTACTGAGACATTGCGAACGGCAGGGAACGACTTGGATCAGCATGGCTCGAGCTTGAAGCGGGATTGACACACTGACAACCTGCAAATGGTGGGAAACGACTTGGATCAGCATGGCTCGAGCTCGGCGCGGGACCAACACACTCACAAGCTGCGAACGGTGGGAAACGACTTGGATCAGCTTGGCTCGAGCTCGATGCGGGACCAACACACTCACATCCTGCGAACAACGGGAAACAACTTGTATCAGCATGGCTCTTGCTCGAATGAGGATCGGCACACTCACATACTGCGAACGTTGGGCGACAACTTCAATCAGCATGGCTCGAGCATGATGCGGGACCGACACACTCACATCCTGCGAACGATGGGAAATGACTTGTATCAGCATGGCTCTTGCTCAAACAAGGATCGGCACACTCACGTTCTGCGAACGTTGGGCGCAGGCTCCATCCTGGTGTCTTCCGTGTGCATTCAAGCCACGCCAGCATTCGCTGGTGTGGTCTGAGCGTGTATGCTTGATGCTGGCGAGTCAGTGTGTCGCGTAGGTGTTGGCGTCGTAGATGGGATGGTGGTGTTGGTGTCGTGGATGGTGGTGTTGGTGTCATGGATGGTGGTGTTGGTGTTGAGGATGGTGGCATCGGCATCGTGGATGGTGGCATTGGTGTCGTGGATGGTGGCATTGGCGTGAAAGCTGGTGGTGGTACGAGTGCTGGGCGCACAAAGATAGGCGCTGGCGACGTGACATGTATGACGTCGTTGTTGTTGCTGGGGGTAGAGTCTTCAATGTGAGTACTCACTTTCAGCGTGCCCAAAGTCTCGTCTCCTCGAGTTCCTCTTTTCTCCTTCATATCTATACCATCCCTTCTCCCTTCCTCGATTCTCTTGTCCTTCATCAGGAAAAACGGGAACTCCAATATAGCGCTACGGAGACTATGTAGCACTTATAGCCTGGTTGCATCTCCCCCCCCAATATTGTACCATGTAGCCTAGACTATATTTTTAGTTGCACAATATAGTGTCTGGTATCTCGTACCTTAGCAATGTAGCACGGCTATGTAGTGATCTATAGTAAATCATTGTGGTAAGTACATCTCATGGTACATCATACTACGAGCACTTGTGCACTTGCAAATAGCAGGGAGATCAATGGCATGCATTCACAGTTTAATACAGTGGTCAATTCTACTCGACCTCGTCAACACCCTCGGACTCCAAGTCAGACTCCACCTCGTCACTGGCATCTGCACTGCCAACCTGTTGATATTCACAAACCGCATTGTAGATCTCATCGTCGGACAAACAGTCTTCGTCTCCAACATTGATCGGATCCACCTTCGCATGCAATCTGTTCATATGATTGTCAAACTTCCAAGTTCAAATCCTTGAGATGTACTTACCTGCCATTGTTGTTGAGTTCTGTCAGGATACTATTCAGTATCCCATGATCCTTCATTCGAGCGTGAAATTTTTTGAGGTTCGCGAGATGCCGATCATAAGCTTCCCTGTATAGGGGCCGAGAGGAGTGAGGGGACATGAAGAAATCGCCAATGCGAGATCAAGACTCCACGGTCAAAAATCTGCGCTTGCACTGTGATGGTGAAATAGGAAAAGATCAGTTTGAAGGAGAGCTGGGACTACGAGCGATCTACTCACCATTCTGGGCGACGCTCCCTCACAACGACATCTTCTCATGCATCACCCCCGACATTCTACATCAGCTGCACAAAGGAGTTTTTAAGGATCACATTGTTAGCTGGTGCGCCGATATCATAGGCGAGGAAGAACTTGACGCACGGTTCAAGGAGATGACGTCGTATTCAGGACTCCGACACTTCAAAAAAGGCATATCCAAGCGCAAACAATGGACAGGGGCAGATTATCGCGAGTTGCAGCGTGTCTTTCTCGGTGTGATTGCTGGCGCAGTTGACAACAAAGTTCTGATGGCAGTGCGTGGTGTCTTAGATTTCATTTACTATGTGCAGTATCACACACACACGGATGACACACTTGCCCATATGCACGCTGCCCTCACCTCATTACATGCCAGTAAGCACATTTTCGTCGACCTCGGGGTACGTGAACACTTCAATATTCCGAAGATTCACTCGATGATCCATTACATCGATGCCATTCGCTTTCTCGGCACTGCAGACGGTTTCAACACTGAACTGCCTGAACGGCTGCATATTGATTTTGCCAAATGGGCTTACTGTGCATCGAATCGCCGCGACTACATCATGCAAATGACCACCTGGCTACAACGCCAAGAGTCCATCCACATTCAAGACGCCTACATTCGCTGGTGGGTATCCCATCACCCCATCAATCAAGAGTGGCAAGACTCGGATGCCAGTGACTCTGATTCAGATTCGGATGGCGCAGGACCTGGACTATTTGAGAACCGCATTGACTTACCCTCTCAGGTCCAACGGTTCACAATGGTGACGGGTTCCCATGGCTACTTCGTCCCTAGGACATGTCCGTTTCCGAATTCGACAATCCAGCGCTTACTTACCGACCACAATGCATCCCTTTTCATTCCAGCTCTTGAAGAATTCCTTCAGATACATGTTCCAAGCTGGTCATGCCGAAAACTCACACCGCAAGATCAGGTGGATGTTTACAAGTACCTCAAGATTGTCTCTCCAGCACGACCCCATATCAACAACCAAAAGTGTTTGTTCAAAGTTCGTGCGTCGCCGGTGATTCCTGCGTCAGACATGAGGAGGCCGCCAGCACCTGCACACTTCGACAGTGTGTTGGTGATCGAAGATGGGAATGAGTACACCGGTGAAGGTATATCTAGTGAGCATTGTAAATTGGTTGTGGGCTCGTTCTGACCTACCTTAGGTCTGCGAGTGGGCGAAGTACGAGTCGTTTTCAAGCTTCCATCACGTCTCGGGAATTTTCCATGCCCGCTGGCTTATATTCACTGGTTTCGACCCCTTCAAACCTTTGATGAAAATTTGCACAGCTTCCGCCTCAGCAAGTCTTCATGTCAGCGTGGTCCTAACGCACTGGTGGTACCGGTCCATCAAGTTCTTTGCCCGTGCCATCTTATTCCTCGCATTGGTCGAGAGTCGGACGTGCGAGAAGACTTTTATCTCAACAGGTACATTGATCTGGAATTGTTTGACCACTTGTCTGTATCCTAGAAGCTATGATACCATTAATATTAACTATAGGATGCCATATTGACTATGAGTTGCTGGGAAGACCACATAGCTAATATTGGCATCATGGCGCGCTACAGTGAGGTATTTAGTGCAATGGATGGTCTATAGGTGCACTATGGTACTACCAAGGCTATGTAGTGATATATACTGTTGCAGCGTGCAACTCGCGTCCGACCTTTTTCCTGATGTTTCGTCTTCGCGTGTCGTCCGCGTGTGTTTGCATCGCGTCAACACTTGTTGACGTGTTTCGGGCGCACGCGCTGTGAATGTGGAGTTGGTGGACTTGGGAAGGCGCGTTAGGTGCTGGTGTTGGTGGTGGTGCCGGTTGTAGCGTGCACGCAGGAAGTATGGCGTCCGCTATTACTGATGCAGGAGGTGCTACCATTTATGGAAGTAGTGATGTGCACGGCCCGGCTTCAGGCCGTGGGCCAGGCCAAGCCGGGCCTGAATAGGCCAAGCCAAGCCGGGCCAAACTCACGGCCTGGTGACGGCTTTGGCCTGGCTTGACATTATGAAAAGCCGAAGCCGCCGGCTCGGGCCGCGGCTTTTGAAACTGTGCCTGAGCCTTGCGGCGCCCAAGCTCAACTAAGAATCTGGTTTCTATCTCGTCTTGTTTTAGCTTTTTAATCACTTCCATCGTGCTTCACGTCTCTTAACTATACCAACTATCGACATCAAGCTGTAGAAACCAGCCAAGATCACTCCCTCTTTGCAATACCCTTCTGGCTTTCTGATTCAAGTGTCCGTCACGAGTGTGTGTATAGATCTAGTACGCTCATTCGTCCTTGTAACTAAAATCTGAACTTACTATCATATCTATTAAAGGCCCATCATGGCTCAATCAGGAAGACACTGGCACCCCAATCCACAACTCATGCAGCAACATTCTATGCCACAGGGTTGGCAAGGCACCTGGCCCCCACCAGCTGGTGTTGCTCTTCCTCCAAACTTTCCTGGTCCACCATCCATGCCGCCTGGCGCCAACACTCACCCACATTGGAAAGCTGGCTTTTGGCAGTATAAACCTACCTCCAACATGAATGGTGCAGGTCCCGGTGTTTACTGGGCAACCGGCATGAGGTGGGCTCGGAATGTCCCTGCTAACTTTAATCCTTACAAGCGCGTCCCCCGTCCTGCAAGCCCGAGCTACTGGAGGACACAGCTCTCCGAAAATGGTCTTGGTTTTGGAGAACATGGTCCCTGCAAGGTGTGTGCGTGATTTGGCCTCCAAACTACGTTCGCAAGATGGAAGGCGTATCAAATCTAACATACGCATGTCTGAACTCGGTACAGTAGCGCTCCTCCTTTAGAGTCAAAATTCACCACCGCAACCCTCACCCGTGCACTTGGATCCAGTGTTCCCTTTCTACTCATGCATCTCCCTCCACCTCCGTCAATCTCTTCGGGTAACGCATGTCACGAAGAAACCGCCGAAATTCCACCGCCGCTCTCGACTGCCACGATTTATCTGCAGGTGAGTCATGTGGTTGAATCCTGGTTTCACAACGACCTGCTCATGCTCACTTTGTCAGAATCGCAAATTCCCTACTCGAGCCGCAGCTCAGGCCAGAGCCGGGCCAAAGCCAGCCGTCATTTGCGGCTTTGGCCCGGCTTGGATTTTTTGCAGGCCAGAGCCGTCTGAAGCCAGGCCAAAGCCGCGGCTTTTGGGCCAAGCCGGGCCGGAACATCACTATATGGAAGGCACGGGTATAGCTGGGGTACGGGTAAGAGCGCAGGTCTTAGAATCCCGACCCGTACCCGTGCAGATCCCTAGTTGAACCTCTCTCAAGCTCAAGTCATTGATGGAAATCACTCACGGTTTCAGGGGGTAAGCGTGTTGATTCTCCTTTGATGTTGACCCATGCTGATCAAGGTCATTGCCCGCTGGCCATAGGATGTGAGTGTGTTGATCGTCATCCGAGCTCGAGCCGCGCTGATCAAAGTCATTGCTGATCTGTTGTCAGGATGTGAGTTTTCCTGTCAATGTCGAATCTTCGACTCATTGATGAGAATGTCGATTTGTTGACAGGCCGTAAGTGTGTTGATCGTATGCTGAGCTCAGACCTTGCTGACCGAATAATTTGTCGCTCTCAGATTGTAAGTGCATTCATTATCCACGAATCTTGTACCTTGCTCCTAAACAATGTTATCGCCGTTCTGTTGTCAGCGAGTGCGTTGATCCTTCGTGGAGCCCGCGCACCACTAACTACTGTCGTTGACAGAGAGTGAGTACATCATTCTTTCCTCAAGTTCGAGTCTTCCTCACCAAATGTAATTGCGATATGTTGGCAGAACGTGAGTGCATTTATCCTCCGCCGTCCCCGAGCCATGCTAACCAAAGAAATTGCTGATCCTCGACAGCTTGTAAGTCTATTTGTCCTCCGCTGACCTCTTAGTACTATGCTAACTGAAGCAATTACTATTACGTTGTTAGGGGGTGAGTGTGTTCATTCTCTGTCGATGCTCACGGAAGACACTGCTGATCCGTTTACATGACAGATTGTGAGTAGGTTAATTCGTCGAGCTCAACTCATACTGATCGAAGGCACCACTATCTATTCACAGGAGGTGAGAGTATTCATTCTCTGTTGAGCTCGAGCATTTTTGACGGAGGATATTTCCAATTCTCATTCACAGTCTGTGAGTGTTTTCATCTGCCACCGGACTCGAACCTCGCTGACCAGCGTCATCACTCATCCATTGACAGATGGTGAGTATCTTCATCCTCATTCGAGCCCCGAGCCTTGCTCACTAACAACAGGAAGTCAGTGTGTTAATCATCTGTCAAATTCGAGCTGTGCTCATAACTCACATTATGCATCCGTTAACAGACTGTGAGTGTTCTGATCCTGGAGCCTTGCTCATCAATGACATCGTCGATATGTTGGTAGAATGTGAGTTTGTTCATACCCAGCCAATCTGAACCCATGCTGACTGAAGGTGTTGTTGCTTATTGACAGAATGTGAGTGTATCGATCCTAAGCACAGGTGGACTGATTTCAACGATTTCACCAGCTTTACGGTTATCATTGTGCAGAGATACGGTCTCAGATACTCTCTGTAGTATGTTCAGACGGTCAGACTGCATACAATTCTCGTGTTGAATGTGCGCCAGGCCTCCAGCTTATCGCCGCTAGAGAATATTGTGCAATTCAGTTCTGGTGAATTTTCGGGGCAATGTTTTACTCATCGTCAATCACTTAGCTGCTGTCATTATTTTCGAGCACTCTTTCTATATTTTCTACAAGAGACGCTATTTTCGGTCCACTCATCCTGTCCGTGTCACTCTCCAGCGATACATGACGTCTCCGCATTCGGCTGCTGTCAGGGAAGCTGTGAGCACTGCCATCCGCGCATATGAAGGAAATCCCTCTATTTGGAAGGCTTTGCTACCTTTCGAACGCTCTCAGAGGAAGGCGGGATTAATCAAAACAATTCTGGAGGTCATTTTGCAACATCGCCTGCGTATGTTTCAACTCTCCAAACTGTAGCGCTCCTGATTTGTTTATTTATTCGTCCTCAGCAAGACCTTAATCCCAATGAAGATCGACTCAAAAGAGGCAGATACGGGGCAACAGAGGTCGAAGCTTAAGCTCAAAACGAGGTAGATTAATGACTAAATGATTCGAGACAACACATTTGTATTTTCATGCAACGTGCAAAATATTGTCACAAACTGATTGAGCTTTGTAAATTGCAGTGAATCGTTGACGAGATTTGCATATTGCGCTATCTGTATGAGTTGTTACACCTATCAACTATACCTTCATGCGGATGCTCACATCTGCGCACATTATCACAATTCTACTGGACATAAGATAATAATATGCGTAAGACGTAGTAGCGTAGGGACATGAAATATGAAGGAAGGAAGGAGAGTCACAGGTGCCTCAAGGTCTCTCTTACGATGGAGGTCCTCCCAGATTGCGGGGCGTTCCTGCGTCACATACAATGCATAAAGAAGTCTTCAAATTTTGGGTTCACCAACACATTCTAAACAAACATCATATTATTCTACTGCCTGACGAGACGGTACATGACAGACTACAGACCGGTAAACTAATCATTTACATTCTTGATCTGCCTACGGAGTTTTTGCATTAGTGTGATGCGCTCTGTGATCAAACACATATAATCCTCCAGGATGTGACATTCGTTTTGAATAGCCTCGTTTGTAACTGGCTCGTATTCCTTATCAGATAGCCAGCTTCGGAAAAGAATGGCAGGGTCTGGCTGAGGTCCATTGATGTTGTCCTAAGGGTCAATGCTCTCGAGGTCAGTTTACATGATAAAACCGGAACGTTCTAACTTCTTCGTCATCAAGGTGATGCTTGATTCGGTTGATGTAAAACAATGCTAGTTTGATGGTATCGTCCCTAAGGCGATGTTGGCAACTTGATCCAAGTCATGTAAAATCTTACTCACATACGCCGTCCCTTTTTTCTCTGTGCGTCTTTCATAATCTCGATGGTCACCTTCAAGCCGGCGATGCGCTCAGCGTCCAGAGCGGCCTGAACTTGTAGGTCTTGTATCGTCTTCATTGCCTTATATTTTATCCTATCAGCATGAGCCAGGAAGGGATGGACCGACTCAAGACATAGTTGTCTAGTACCTCGTGCAGCTTGGCTTCATCCATATCTTCATGAACCTTTGCATAGAAAATCAGTATGAACTGTATATGGAAGAGAATTTGGTGGACCCCCGAACATTGAAATCAGCCATCCTGATGAGACCTGAGGTCGAACCCGAGGTGGTGAAGGCTTTGTAGGAATGCCGTACTCAGTTCTGACGAGGAGGAGAACCAAACTTGAAGGTTGTGGAAGTAAAGAGTTGTGAGTGAGATGTGTTTCAAGTTTGCGAAGCGTCGAGTGCCGAAGGTGACGGTACGAGACGAAAAAGATTCAAAGAGACTTACGAAGAAGAATGCGCTATCTGTATGTCAGCGCACAGACCTGGCACTTTGGAAGTGCGGGAAATGTCAGAACCGCGTGTGGCTTGCAAACTTTGCCCCTGATCAATGTTTGGAAATTTGGTCGACTGTTTTACCCAAGAAGGTACCCGCTCGGGAAAATGTACATGAGGCCACCTTACACCGTTAACGTTCAGACCCTCCCTCCCTATAGGTATGAGTTGTTACACCGATCAACTATACCTTTGCATGCGGATGTGAGCATCCGCACACATTATCACAATTCTACTGGACATAAGATGATAATATGCGTAAGACGTACTGGCATTCCACAAATATGTGAAGGTGTCCATCATCCGGTCTAACGGTAAACACTTTGGAGAGTCGAGTAAGCGGGTCAACGAGCTCCTCGACGTCAGGCGGGAGATCTAACTTCTTCTTCGGATTGATATCAACCTTTAGGCTTTAAGTATCATCATTACGCACCAGTAATTTTCCAGTCCATCACTCACTTTCCATAGCATGAGGATCGAATTCATGCTTATTCTTTTCCTCGATTTTTACCAACAGCCTTCGTCGATACAATCTCGACAGGCCTGGGGTGGTCGCCTAATTAAGACTAAGCAGTTGAGGTTGAATTTGATTCCATTGGGACAAAGTAAACGCACCCGGCTACAATGCCGCTGTCGATTAGGTAAGCATTCAGACGATCAGGAGCTGCAATTGAATCATTCTCTCAACCACTGAGTTAAGTGACAGGAGTGTAACATCCTTCGACCAAAAAACCACCATCCAATTCTGATTTGTTTCGCACCAAGGATAATTCTCGGTATCTAAACATTTACCTCTTGGACAATATCTATATCGTTGACTATATTGATGCAGTTGGTGTTAAAGTTGTGTCATGAATCAATCAGGTCTTCCTACTCCACCACCTACATCCGCCACGTCAACCACCAGCCCTGCACAGTCATCATCGAACGCAGCTGGTCAATCTGCAAGTGATGTATCGTTAGCCTCTATTGTCGCGACCATAACTTCGACGTCAAGTCCTTCCCAATTAAACCAATATCTGAGGAGTTGCGCATCCAAAGATGTTAGAGAAGTCCTGCTGGCCAGCATTTTGCCAGGTAGCCAAGATCCATTGACTCTGCTAAACACGCGAGATCACACGCTTGGCATGCTTTACATTTTGTGAGTGAGTCTTATTGGAAAGTTTCATTACGCACACCGATCTCCTGAAGGTCTGCGCGACTGCATACTGTTGCGTCTGATAAACCTTTGTGGCACCATATCGAGAGTTTTTGCCGCGATTTTATCCCCGAACATGCTCGTGTTGCTCCGGATCGAGGTTAGCCCATCCTCACTTATGTGGTGGTACAATGAGGTCATATACGTCCAGTGACACTTCTTGCAACTGGAATACGACAATTAGCTGAAGTTGAAGGAAATGTAAGATACATTATTGACTCAGCTCTCCATTTGATCTCAAGTTTCTTAGCCCAAACTTGCAATCGCGCCATTATCTGATTTGCTCGCAAAATATCCTCCAACCCTTTCGCATCTCACCACCATCCACCCTATTTTCCTGACGGTAAGGTTGCCAGCTGCGTTACCTCTCCAGTTTCCTGAATCGCCAGCAATTGTTACAGATTTGCGTCGCCACTCGCCACTTCTCAGCCGCGATCCCCGTCCTGGCTCATTCGATCACTACAATTGATCTCTCACTTTCCGACTTGACCTACCACGATAATTTAGTATACCACTACGCCGGCGGTATCGCACTTGCTGCGCTAAAGAACTGGTCAGCTGCAGAAGAACTCTTTGAGATCTGCGCATCAAGTCCAGGCACAGCGGCTTCGGCTATTCAAATGGAAGCATTGAAGAAGTTGGTCCTCGTGCAGTTGATATACCGCGGAAAGGTACGAGTATCCTCCATGGGTGAACGGCTCGCTCACGCACTCTGATTGGTCAGACATCACCTCCTTCCAAATACATGCACCCGATTCTTATGCGATTGTTCAAGGCGACACCTTATGCAAGTTTTACGAATGCATATCCTCTGCAACGCGACTACCTTCGCACGATAGTTGAAAACGAGCAGCAGCTATTCACCAATGTACGATGTTGAAACCGCATGAATCTGTGTATCGTTAACCACGCGTATAGGAAAGAACTCTTGGTCTCATAACTCAAGCACTCGACCGTGCGCCCCGCTGGGCCATAAAGAAACTCACAACCACTTATTTGACGTTACATTTATCCGATATCGGACGAGAAGTGGGAATTTCGGACGAGAATAAAGTGAAATCTCTGATTTTGAGCATGGTGGATTCTTTTCTCTTGGCGAATCGTACGAATAACTGATGCTTTGTGCTAGATTGAGTGTTCAGAAATCTCCGCGGAGCTGTCTGCAGATGGGACTGTGTCATTCTCGGACCCACCAGTGAAATTCGAGAAGACTGACGTCGACCGAGTGTTGTCACAGGCACAGCAGCAGGACGCCCTTCTTGTGAGGCTTGAAAAAGAAATGGAAAGGAACAAAGAATATCTGACAAAGGTGTGTCCTCGACGTGCGAACCCTGTCGGCTCCGACGCTATTTTCTGCTCGACCATGTTGCTTTGACGTCTTGGGATCGAACTGGTTAGTGGACGGATGCTAATAGATATTCAGGCCGTCAAGAGTAAGGACGACGCAGCTTGGGGACCAGCAATGGATGAAGATGGTGCATTTGGAGACCGTCCATCAGGCAACTGGGCTGAAGATATGAGTTTTGCTTGATCCAAAGACCCTATGCAAAAAGAAGTAAACCGCTTTGCACTGATTAGTAATTTCTTCATTCTCTATCATATTCCGTACGATTTGCCATCAGTTTCATCTTCCATTCTCCGCAACCAGCGCGCCCATGAGTTTATTTAAACACAAATAGATCAGGCTGGCGTTTATCGTTGCACTATTACAATTTGGGACACGGAGGCCGTGTGCCACAGGGTTGACTCTAAATGAGGGTGCCTGCAATCTTCAGGAGCTTCCTGTACTGGGCATTGGGAGCCCGTGACGGCTTTCCTGACGATACGATCATAACGGGATAATGCGTGCTGCTTGGCGCCTTCAAGATATGCTATCCGGTAGCGCAGTTCGCTAGGATCTTACTAGGGAGCTGCATGAGACTCGTACGACCTCCCGGGCTGTGATTCAAAGCATGTACACAAGTGGTTACAGTCGGCCCAGCTTTTCACACAAGTACGATCTTCGCGCATGCACGCTGTGTGAGTTCAAGTATTTCAGTCCGGGAAGTTGCTAGTGATTAATTTTAGGCCGCCGTCACATGTGTGCATGCTAATCGGGTAACGGCGCACCAAACCCATGGGAACAAACCCACAGACTCGATGGATGGCGTATTGATGCGAACACGTATGATCAGAAAATATCCATCCATGTAATGGGACTTTGCACGAGCGCGAGATTTAATTCATATTATGCGTGCGCAATATATATACAATCCAAGCCGAATCCATACATATCAATATCTAGATTCACGAGGACTTGGTGTGGCCGTGGTATTGTGCCACGGTATCCCAGAAGGTCTTGCCTTGGATAGCAGCAATCTCCATTTCGAGAGGTGAAGGCTGGCGGGAACCGTCTGTGCCTGCAAAGGTTCCTGCACCCCAAGAAGAACCTGTTCGGAAATAGAACGTTGATAATTAATGCTTGTGTAGCCATTCATCTGAGAGAAGGGCTTACCACCGTGGATCTCGGTCAGGTTAGACAACTGAGGGAAGGAGTGCTTGTAGCCGAGGGGAACATAGATGAGACCATGGTGCACGAAAGTGGACAACGTGTTGGAAATGGTGATCTCCTGTCCACCACCTTGGGTACCAGTGGAGACAAACACACCGCACATCTTGCCCTGAAGAGCGCCCTTGCTCCAGAGAGGGCCAGTGGCGTCCCAGAATGCCTGTGTGAGTACGTCAAGGAACGTGTTCAACCTTGCAGATGTAAGATAACGTACCTTCCACTGAACGGGGAAGTTGCCGTAACGAGTGGGGATACCAAAGAGGAACGCGTCAAAGTTGACAAGGTCATCAGGGAGGAGGACAGGGTAATCGGGTCTAGGAGGCGCCTTGACGAGCTTCAAGATATCGTCGGAGAGGGTCTCCTGGATCCTGGAGTGAAGTTAGTGCACGCTCATAGTTGATAGGTGGATATGGACGGACTGATAGATAGAGGCATTACCACCAGCATTGCTGATACCACTCTTGACGGCCTCAGCCACTGTGAATAATGTATTAAGCAAGGAAGTGGATGTGTGGCGAGGAAGACGCACTCTTTGTGATGTGCCCGTAAAGGGAGTAAGTGACGATAGCGATCCTAGGGGCAGGCATATCGGGTTGAGAAATAGATGAAAGTGGGGGGAGAACGGGGGGAGAGACTGAGTGCTCTGGTTGATTCGCTCGGGCTTTTGTATCTAGAGGTGTGGGTTTTGGCTCGGTGAAGTTGTCTTTTTGTCGTTTTCCAGGGAAACACATTCCGATGTATTAGTAAAAAAGGCACTAGCTTCTCAGTTGCGAGGATATAACGGGTTTTGAGGTCAGCCTTTAAAATGAAACATTCGCGTCTAGCGTGAGATGGGGAAAATGGCCTGCGAAGCAAATTTGTAGATCAAGGTTTATCTGGCACCACAGGATTTAAGAATAAAAGGGAGGCAGTAATAGATGGCTTGGATGGAGGCCGTACCGTTGCATAATCCATTCGATGACGTCTCCTGTGCGATACGATGGTCTACCTCGCCTTCAGAAAAACAACTGGTTCATCGAAAAACATCATGTACATGCGTGTCCAAACTGTTGCTATATCAGGATGAAGTTACCCTGGATACAGCAAGCTGCATACCGAATGTGTTTGATGCCATCTCGGATTCGGTTGCCTTCTCTGCTGCTGGTAGAATACTATGTGCGAGGTGTGGGAGGCCGGTCAGTCATGATTTGTCGATCTTGCCGGAGTACTAAATCCAGGCTGGTTTCGCTAGGCTTGTTGACGGCCACCCACGTTATGTTGGTGAGAAAATTGGATTGAAAGCTTCAGCGTCTGGCAAACGCACAGATAATATTCGGCTGCGGGCGTTGTACTACAAGCTTGGCTGGAACGGGTGTGTGAGGAATCGTACATACGCGAAGAAGATGTTTAGCGATGAATCATCATTGTTCCAAAGAGAGACAAAAGTTCTCGGGATTTCTAAGAGACAGGCACAAGATGACGAGCTCGCGTTAACGCCCAGCTTGGTCAGTTTTACATAAAATGAGGACGATGGTGAGCTCGATCATCCTGGTTTGGTCTTTAGTGTGGGTCGAAAAATACTGCATTCGTGCTTTTTGCAATTACCATTATCGCGCTGAGTCAGTGACGTATGCGTTTCAAGGTACTGTCAAGCAAGGACAAAGTACTGAAATCTTTATACAAATACTGAGCTTGATCATCGATCGTTATCATTACTTTCAGTCATCCTTTCTTCCACTACAACATGTCGTCTCCTAAAGTCGCAATCATCATTTACTCCATGTACGGCCACATCGCCAAGTGTGAGTACAAGCCATCCAGCTGAGATTCCCCTACTTATCCTAATCCACCTTCATCAGTGGCCGAGGCTGTAAAGGCTGGTGTCGAGTCTGCCGGAGGATCCGTCACCATTTACCAGTATGTTATCAATCCTAGTCTCAGATCTCTCACTTATTGGATTGATCAGGATCGCTGAAACATTACCCGAAGAAGTTCTCGTAAAGATGCATGCTGCCCCAAAGCCGAATTATCCTATCCTCGCACCAAGCGAACTTGCTAGCTTTGACGCCTTTATCTTCGGTGTTCCTACCCGTTATGGCAACTTCCCCGCACAGTGGAAGGTATGTCTCTGATCCGTTCTAGTCTCTTTAAAAAATTCTAATTATATGCCTCATTCTCACAGGCTTTCTGGGACGCAACTGGTGGATTGTGGGTCAGCGGTGCTTTGGCCGGCAAATTCGCCAGTGTCTTCGTTTCTACCGGCACTCCAGGTGGAGGACAGGAAGCTACCATCATCAGCTCCCTCTCCACTCTCGCTCACCACGGGATTATCTATGTTCCCTTGGGTTACAAAAACACATTCGCACAACTCTCTAACATGAGCGAAGTTCGTGGTGGTATGTTTATTCCCTCCCGTCTGTGATCGACCGTTGCTAATTTTTACTTCTACTCAGGTTCCCCTTGGGGTGCAGGCACCTACGCTGGGGCTGATGGCTCACGCCAGCCTTCAGCTCTTGAACTAGAACTCGGTACCCTCCAAGGCAAGGGCTTCTGGGAAATCGTTTCGAAGTACAAATTCTAGGTCATTCATAAACACACATACAGCACTTCAGAAACTCCATCATGATTGTAATAGTTACATATGTAGAACAGAAATCAAATTTGGCATGTATCATCATTTATATCTGCTCGCTAAGTTCCGGCACGCTGTTCTGACTGGAAACCTCTCCTATGGGAAAATAATATCGCTATGGGTGTCCTTACATACAAACTTGAGGAGGAGCAATCTCTAGTCGCAGCCACCATATGCACCTGCATCTGTCACACCTTCATGCATGTGGATCATGCAACTAAATTTAATTCGTAGTATCACAATGCCCCCTCCAAGCCACCAGTAGTCGCAGCAGTGCAGCTCCCCGTGGTGGCGGGCCGCCGTAGGCCTGTAGCCTTTCGCGGTTCTTATGTTCCCGCTCCGATAAACACGCGGAATGTCAAGAAGAATTCGAATAAGCGCAAATTGCTTTCAAACAACAGACAGGGGAATCTACCACATTCACCAATTCCACGCACACAAGCGACGCACTAGCTTCGGTCTCAGGACCTTTACGTATGATATCGAGTTAGTCGTCAGATCGCTAATACGCATAATCAATGTGTAAACGTCTAAGCGATTGTCGTTCCTGAGAACTCACAGAACGAAATACACGCGGTGTTGTCTGTAACCATCAGACAGTTTACAAGCGATTCACTACTGGATTTGTTGTATATTGCGGGAACGCGTTTGAGCATGACGCCTGGTCTTGTCACGATAAGCGATGGGCACCCGTGAGGAAGTGATCACATACCACCGTCGGAGTCCGTCGGTAGCCATACGTTCATGAAACATCAACGGGACCCGATATTCGTGCATGCAGTTTACTGACCAGTGGCCGCCTAAGGCGCCATGCCGAACTTCAAGCTCTGGCGGTGTATTTATAGGCGAGCCGCCAGCTCACGTGATCACGATGGTGGGCTGACTGAAATGTTCTCGACGGTCAGATGTTAGGTGTTATTTGCAAGTCGTGGCGACCTCCAAAGTAGTGGGGGCATCGTTGGGGCAGAGAGTTTCTCGGAACCATGTCCTCTGTGCGTAGTCGCTGCTATAACTTGAAGAGGTGCCAACAGCCCGCCAAAAACAGAATTTATGGGCGCATCAACAAGTGAATTTTCCCCTGGAGCAGCGTGCACCACGGGTAAAGCCACCTCCGTGGGAAAGCAGTAAATTCGGTGGAAGACAAGCTGGCATGTGACTGCTCATTTGTCGTAGAATGTCGAGTCAAACGAAATAAAATGATCTGGGGTACCACGCAAAGTGCATTCAGCAATGTTGCTAGGGAGGTCACCAACTCACCACGAGGCTCTGAGGAAAGGAATGCGATAGATCAGTAATCGACATAGCCCGATGGCTGATCACTCGCCGCGGGGTCTAGACTCCGCACTATTGGTAACATCAGCAAGAATCAATCATCATCTGCATACAGAATTCCGCGGCGAAAACCCAGCGATATGAGCAACGGTTGCAAAGGGGTGTTTTGGTGGGTTTAATTGTATCGGAAAAAAAGAAAGGATGTTGCGTAGAACAGTAACCATGACATAGTGATAGGAGAACAGCGACAAGGTTTCCAGCCCTGTCGAATACGGATGGGCTTCACCGCACTGGGAGTAGGCTGTAGGTTTTTCCTTAGGATGGGGTTAGTCAAGTCTTACTGTTTCCGATGAGAAATGGGTCAACATGTCTCCTGCGAGGTCATTTGTGAATGAAGGAGAATACATCCAAGGAAGGACGCTCCCGAAGGTTTAGCAATGGTGACACCCAATAGAAGAGTTCTAGTCTGCTCAGGGGCAGCAAAATGAGGGTGTAGAGTAACGTACCATAGGTTTCTATGTGCATCCTTGTGCGGTGAAATGGTACTGTCGGACGGTGTGATGGCGACTCGCTCATCATGTTGTTGACGTTCATCACCCACTCGACGGGACCCGGCGGCCTGTCAAGAAAACTCTTCAAAACACCACTGAAATAATCACAAGCGAGGGAGATCGCTGACAGTATACACCCTGACGGAGCACACTCGCTGAATGAAGGGACATTGGCTCGCCCGACAGAACGAAAAACTCCGGTACCTTACACCACTTTCCTAAATGTATGGAAAAGATAATTAATAAGGCTTGAACCGCCGTGATTCCTTCAGTTTTTCTATGCGTTGCTTGTCCGCCTCGAAGTTGTTCTTCATGTCGAGTATAACTACAGGCACATAAACCGACATCCTCGTGAAAAACAACTTCACACTCACCTTTCCGTTGTTTTTCAGCCTTCTGGAAGGCATAGAACGCATCCTTCTCCTTCTTTTTGTCCTTCTTTTTTCTACCTCCAATTTGCCCAGTGAGCATGAACTTCTTGCTGGCAACGCCCACACCTCCGCCAAGCGTTTGTCCATAAGCACCTCCTCTAGTGACTAGTGTGAATCCGTCCTCGTCCACGATTGCTTCCCCTTTCCGGTACTTGGCCTCTTGTTTACTCTTTGAAAGGTCGAATTCGAAGCATTCCATAAAGCTGTCTGCGTGAGCTTTGATAGTATCTAGCGGAGGCCGCTCATTATCATATTTTGCCATATAGTGAGAGAGACCACGGGGCTCCTCCGAGGATGGCCATGGTTTGGGTGACGTAGGGGGCGAAAGCGCTTTTGCAAGAGATGAAGAATCGAGAAATATGAGATGGGCACAAGACCCAGTTTTGCGCAGCGTGCGAAGGGATGGAGAAGGGAGGGATATCACTTTAGGAGGCGTGGGCTCGGAAGTTTGGAGCTTCCTTTTCTTGCGAGGTCGTGCTTCAGTATCGAATTCTTCAGCAGCCTCGTCCATCTCCTCGTCAGAATCGGATGCGTACTCTTCCGGAGCGTCGGCAGAGTTGAAGTCAAATAAGACGCGTTCTACTGTCCCACAATCTTTGAATAGTAGTGTGAGCTCATGCTCTGTCGCATCTGGTGGTACGTTGACTAGAAACAGCGTGCGTCCTTCAGGTAGAACATTTTTAGATTTCAACGTTTTGGATTTAGGAGGGGTGTGAGCTCTTGCATAGATGAAATGTGATGAGCTCGGATATGCAATTGGAATGACAGTGAAACCCGATAGACGTTTCGGCAAGACAGGCATGGCGATCCGGAAGATCGAGGCAATTTTCACAAGGTTGTTTGGATCGAAGGCTTTTGCCAAACAAACAAAAGTCTCCACCGTCACGGCCGGTGACATTCAACCTTCGTCTTGAAGCTCACGACTAGCCTTGACTCAAATTTGCTTCAAGTTCTCGGCGCAACTCATGGCAACACAAAATAACCAGAACAACTTCTTCGGTCGTCACTCGTGCAGTACAAGAAGCCCAAACAAATCTTAATGGCCGCCTGAGGCCTGGATAAAAGCAAATTGCAATAGCATTTGCAAGTTGTGAATTTTCAATCGCTCAACAAGATAAATATGGCAAGTAACTTATTGAGCCGTAGAATGGCCAGTTCGTGTTATGTGTTACGAGTCTGTCCGAGTCTCTCAGTATTGGAAGCAGTCATTCCCTCCTCTGCCAATTCTCGACTCTCTTGGGTGAGTTCACATGGGGTGCAAAAGAATGCAGTCAAGCAATCGTTGACGTAGCTTCCATCAATGTGGTAGCGCGCTCTCAATGTGGCCCTTTGTCCAAGCTAATAACCTTTCTTAACATGTACTTGTGAAGAACGACAAAATCTGTACTCACCTGCAGTACCCAACCGAAACCGCACAACACGTTAAGTGCTAGATGCATACAACAATCGGCATCACAGCCCGAACCACCATGTTCCGGATCTGCCGTATCGTTTTCTTGCAAGTGGTCAAACCGCTGCCGGTTTTTCCCATATATCATGCAAGGACACCAACATGACATGCAATCTGTGAAGCAGGTTGTGAATTTAATCACTTTGTGGTAATATTTGATGTGACTCACAAGTCCCAGCATCATCCCAGCAATTAAAAAGTCCGGTGCGCCAATAGTTGTGGGGTCGACCTTGTTGTTGTCCAGGTTGCCCTGCACCCGAACCGGAGCCTTCCTCCTCTTTCTTTTGACTCTGTTCAGTGCACTGGTCCGCTAGTTTCCCTTTATCCTGCGGCACCTCTGAAGCGTCCATCTGTCCTGTGGGTTGCATCTGCTCCTGGCGTGGTTGGGGATGAGCGGTGTGGTCGTCAGGAGCATATTGTACTGGCTTGAGAGGCAAGGCTGTTTAAAAAGACTCGTTCACTATCAGGGTGTGATTTACCTTTGGTTCGGCTGAACCTTGTAAAACATGGTCGTGGGGAGAAACGGGACCTTGGCGCTGATATGTGCTTGGGGGAACAGTAGCCATGTTTGAGGTAGTGAAGAGGGGTTGAATTAGGGGTACTCGACGAGCGCAAAATACAAGTCACCTCGTTCCATTCGAATTCACATCTCTTACATAAAAAAATAAAACGATTGAGATCAGAGAATCGTTATTTTTCAAGTTTAATCGCTGGTTTCCCAATGAATGTCAACTATGTGCTCAGGATTCAGATCCACGAAGACGGCCGTGAGTCCTTGTCTCGATGAGTACTCAAGGAACCAAGGGGTGCACCGGTGAAGTTCCAGCTCTGTTGTTGCGCTCTCTGCATATGTATCATAGCAAGAAAGCCTATAATGCCACTCCATTCCAGTAGTGCCACCATCAGCTGTGAGTTTCAAGCGCGACACTCAGAAAAATAGGACAAGACTAAAAGTTACTTACATAAACATGCTTTTGAGCGTAAACCAGCCAACTCCACATCAGATGGCATATCACACCCTCCGGACTGACTTGGAGCAATGGCGTTGAATTTTCGGAATAGCCACAATTTCAAGAGAAAAACATTGAAGCAACTAGTTTAGAGGACCTCATGACTGATGCGAGGTGGGGCAACGACGACCAAAGAAAAATCCTCAGCAGCTCACTGCTTCGTATGAAACTGCCCCAAGCCTATCACCTCCGCCTTGTATTCCTGTCGGTTGCCCTTGAGACATTTGTGTCCCCGGCACAGCCGGAAATTGACCTGGTTGCGTTTCCATAGGGTGTCCTTGAGACACAGCCTGAGATCGACTTGCTTGTGTTGAACTGCCAGCCTCCGTGTCGTTGCCATTCGTATGGTGCATACCTGCTGCAGCCCATGTTGCGCAACGTTGACTGAGAAAACATTATTACGGCGAGGATCATCGCCTAAGACAAAGCAGTTGAGTTTGTACATCTGACTTTGAGAACAGGAGTAATATAATAGTGTCTCGAGCGGTGACCGCAATGAGTGCCCAGCGCAAGCGGCTGCAGCCTGGCATGGAAATGGGGTAAATCACGTGATTAAAGTATGAACCAGTGTTGCCGGCTTGCCGCGTGCAGCGCAAGTCACGGACAATTTTCAGGAATCAGCCTGAGGAAGATCAATTCGTCACGACTCACCAGGAGTTACTCCAGGACTTTGTTGAAGACGTTATTACCAGCTCAGCGCTCAGCTATCATCTTGATAATCTCAATGCATAATGCGTAATGCTTGATCAGTGCCACGATCACTTACGACTAGTCATTGTATAGCGCTATAGCACTTGCCAATTTTCGCTATACATATGGCTACGGCACCCTCAGTTCAGCGACCGAGATTCAATCCTTCAAATTCATCAGGTGTCAATGATGTCCACCGGCTTCATTATCACGTACCGTCGCTGCGCAATTCAGATTCCAATCCTTTGCACTTTAGATTCCAGTCGTTGGTTAGCTGTCCTGCAGATGTCCCGCTTGAATTGGTGCGCAGTCTACGGGCTATGTGGTTTTAGTTTTGTTGATCTGATTTACTCCAACAGTTCGAGGCGGCTGTTTCACAATTGATTCATCACCCAGAGTACAATTCGACATTGATCTTGCGCTCAGAGACCATCTCAGACTCCGATACCACCATCCCAACGTCTGCTCCATGTCTGGAGGGATACCACGCTGTACGCAATGTTCATCGCAAGCTGCTACCGCGTAGGCCGGGTAGAGACTCAGGACTAGAGCAGCACTGTACGCTTTACGCCTTTGAAACCGGTGAATTTGCGGGCCTTCCGTCCATGTTGGTCCTTACACCACTTGTACCCGAAGGAGAGAGCCTGCCCTACTATCATCCTACGGTGTCACATCTTGCTTTCCGGTTCATCCCTTCCAGCATCACCACAACTTCAGATTCAGCTTCTGCACAATCGGCACTGCGCATTGAAGTTATTCCACTCCCAGGCACGCCTACCGACCCCAACAGTCGCCTCTACCGTACGGCACTTGCACTCCTTGACACACTCCACCGTTACCTTTGGGGTGCATTCACTCATTATCAGAAGCGCGTACAACATGATGTCCTCATACCCCGAGAAATATATCAAGACGTATATCTCAAAATGCGTGAGCGCCATAAAGGGATAGTAAACACATGGAGGGAGACCACCGATCCCTTGAAGCATGTGTTCGAGGTGTGGATGCCTTCTATATAAAGTTGATATCAGCTCATTTGCCTAGGACATTGGCATCGCAACATTTCTTATGCTTTTCTGGAAGGACATGTTTGCTGCTTCAGCTGATTTAGCCGACGTGAAGGAGCTGGATGATTCACGATGGACATCCTGGCCTCGTCCATCTGGAGGCTTCCTTGATCTTGGGTGAGTTTGCCTGTGTCATTATCTATTTATTTATTTTCATATCTTTCATCATTTCTATGTAGCTGTGGCAATGGCTTGTTGACACATATTCTCTCGTCTGAGGGCTATTCAGGATACGGTATCGATCTCCGCGCACGGACTTCCTGGGCACATTACCCTGACTCGTCACAGGCAGCCTTAAAGGTGCACGCACTTGATCCCACTCAATTTCTTTCCCCAGACAGCATCAACGATGAAGAGAAATCCCTTTGGGAGCCCGGAGTATTCCTCATCGGAAACCACGCAGACGAATTAACACCATGGCTCCCTGTACTGGCAACACTCACGGGTGCGAGTGGGTACCTCTCCATACCCTGCTGTGCATGGATGTTCGATGAGAGGTTTACTCGCTCGTCTGCGGCGTCAGCGCTCGATTTCTCTGACAATGAATCGCTTGACGCTGCCGCTGGTGTGATGTCAAGCGAGGCCGAGGATGAAGCTGTTTTTATTTCCAGCCTCGGTATGGGCGCTGAGGGCACACACAAGTCTCAATACTCGACCTATCGCATATGGCTTGCGCGTTTGAGCCGGTGGTTGGGCTGGAAGATTGAGTGCGACACACTCCGGATACCTAGCACGCGCAACTGGGCAATTGTAGGTGGGTGTTGCATTTCCTCAGATTTTCAATGTAGTAAAGCTCACGGTTTGAATTCGGTGGGTAGGTCGCGAAAGGCTTCCGGGAGACCAGAGGATTTATGTAGATCGAGCGAGAAGGATTGTGGAGGACGTTGCACGTAGAGGGACATTCAAGGCACGGACTCCAGAAGGGAAAGCACACGACAGGGCGTCATGACATTAGCCACCCATTTGGACAGCATTTTCTCAGACCAAGATAATAATGAACTACTATTGGAATAAGTTATATGAATAGCGATCTTACACATGTCCAGTGGGAATAGGTATAAAGTAAAAACAAAACACCGATGTCCCAAAGTCATCGATACGTCAATGCAAATGGCGGGTCCTCACGTTCTTCGCTCATCCTCCTACATTCTTCCAGCAGTGCCCTCAGTTCTGATAAACCCACTCCACCTGGTCTGGCCGGCTCCTCATCGTCCGTATAAGAGTACTCATTGTCTTCCAGAAATTCATCTTCCTCGTCCTCATCCTCGTCCTCTTCTTCATACTCTTGAGGTAATGTACCCAATAGTGCACCCGTGCAGTCCTCCAGACGGATACTCTTGCTTTCGCACATCCCTGCCCACCTCTCCCAGCGCTCCATCCCACTCCCTTGCGGCCCGTCCGCACGCTCTAGGTCCGTGAGCACTGTCGGACTCAACACGCGCACTCGTTCGAGTCGAGGGAAACTCGCTTTAGTGAGCGCTGCAAAATTCTTGTCGTTCGTACGCTGCACAAGGAGAGCGCTAAGAGGGTCAGGGGTGGCATAAGCGCTAGCAAGGCCCACTCCGAACGCAAAAAGCAACCCATGGAGCCCGATGTGTGCGATGTGCTCGTGGGGACGATTAGTGAAAACGATGGATCCATCTCCTATGTCAGCATTCTGTGCGATAGGTGGTATCTTCCAGTCGAGATTGAAAGAGAAAGCGGTGAGGAGAGGGCATAGATCTAGTATTGTGCGGATATCAAGTGCTGGGATACAGTCGAGGTCAAGGAAGAGCAGGCTGGTACCGTGGGTGCCGAGGAAGGGTAGGACATCGGGAACGTCTTCACGTTTGTTGCCAAAATCAAAGGAAAAGCTGCGTAGAAGAGGGAGGCTCCAGCCACTGGCTTGTTCGATGAATTCGGCAGAGTAACCACGCAGGATGAGCTGCTGAAGATTCGGGAGGTGGAGCTTAACATCTTGTGCGCTTCCTAAGGTGAGCATGTCACAATCCTTGAGTGGTGCATCGAACTCGACGGCAAGGGAAACGAGGAGTGGGAGGGCATCTAATGCCCATATGACCTTTGGAAGGAGTTCGGCAGGGACGTGCCAATGAGCGGTGCGCAAGTTCTTGCAATGCGTACCCAGCGTGTCTGCAATGGAACCAAATGCTCTTGATAGAGGCCAATCGACAATGAAAATCTCTAGGTTGGGAGTCTGGGTGAGTACAGTTGTGAGGGCGGCTTCGAAATCGTCGAGGGAGGGACCGCGCTCGTAGAGAAAATGTGTAATGTGTAAACGGCGTGTCCACCACCCTAGCGAGGGATTGGAAGTGAGAAGGACAGTAAGAGAGCGGAGCTTCGAAGGGTCATTGAAGAATAAATAGCGGACGAGGAACTCGAGGCCGAGACAACGCCATGATCGGCACGTTGATATGATCGACTATCAGAGGATTACAATGAGAAATGAGTGTCTATTTTTTGTAACGCGACACACCTTCTTGGTAGCATAGCTCCTGCGCTGGACCATGTTGATCAAGTCGCGAGGCGTCCTTAGTTGCCAATCCGTAACCAGAGAACGTGCCCAAGAAGACTGGGTCATGGATGTTGGAAGGCCGGGATAGAATATCGTATCCTCATCCGCGGCCAGACCAAAGATATGTGACCATAGTTCCGGAGGTAACGATTGAGCCATTGTCCTCGATCGTGGTGAAAGTCGTTCCTTCTATCTTGTGAATTCAACTAGCCTGGGTGAATCGTGCGTATAGCTCGTCAACGTTTCGACTGCTGACGGATATTTGAATTGTGATACCTACCTTTATAAAATGATTCTAACCTGTTTATCGCGTCTCCATGAAATGATTTGAACTTCTACGCGATGCTTATATAAGCACAAACTCACGTAGAACACCGAGTCTCGACCTCACACCGTTCATACGTACATGTTCTAGTGCACTATGCATTCTTGGATCTAGAGTTCGCAATCCCTGGTGGACCGAGGCTTGCAGTTCTTAACAATCCAACTCGAAGTTAGATTCTTCAGGCAAGAGCAGAAAATCGTGCTATCAAAACGTACTCTCGTTCGAAGCTTTATCGGCAGTCCTGTCCAGAACACTCAGGCACGTACCTGCAGCGGATGAGTACGATTTTCTCTCTCATAGTAACAAGCGTTTCTACTAGGAACTCAGGAATCCGGGTAAAGCCGCCCGCAGTTCATTCAAAACTGAACAATTCAAGCTCGCCCTTCTCGAAGGACAATCCCAATGTGGAAGCAGTACTAGCCTGTTGTGTCGATCGCGCGAGTGTGTGTGGTGGAAGTTATATTTGGACGGCGCTTGATCACGAGATCCACCGAGTGACTCTTTTGCTTCAAGACGACTTAGAGGTCAAAAAGAAACTGATAATCTGTAGTGAACACAATGATATAGAAGATGCTTGGCTCGGAGTCCGTGGTATGTCCCATGCAACATAGCAGCGCCTGAGCTCATCAAGGGGTCGTATTTGTCATGACAGTTGGAGTCGCTTAGTTTCGGCAGCAGCCTGGTGTCAGAACGTTCATCAAAGATGGATGATGCGATGATGATAAAGTAGGGGAAGACACAGCACGTCGCGGCGCATGACTTTCTTTATCTCCACATCACACGCGGTTTTTGCACAGATTCAGTGATCAAGCTAAGTCAATGTGGTAATTGTGCGGCCCTTCTCATTTCGCGGTGTTCAAGCTTTCTGCCAGGCCTATACTTAGTCGTATAGTACTACTGCTTTCCAGGCCCAAACATATCCCCCAAATATCTTCTGATTCAAGCCTAAAGCCCGGGATCCGTCTTCTTCGTGTTACTGCGCCGCATAATCATTGACGCCTTTCTCGAAAAGCGCCGGATAGCGGTATATCTAGCACGAATCATGAATGTGCTGCGATCAGTATACATCCGAGTTCGCGACTCACTGGTATCAACTTCCTGAATATGGCCACAGTCTCAAATGATCCCAATGCGTGGCCGCAAATCAAGTTGTTTCGCTTTTACAGCTATTTTGTAGGTTCGTGGAGACTCAGTCGGATGGTGTTGGTGATATCTCACTTTATCTTTGACGGCGATTTTGCAGTTGCATCCTTTGCTGCCATAATATATGAATGGGGTAAGCAAGATAGTACTTATTGAATGCATTGTTGAATCTTGATGTCCTTGTGGCGTTTACCAGTACTGACGTTAGGCCAAGAGGTAGGCTGATTTTGACGCCCTGAGAGCCATCTCACTGAGAACGGTTTTACAGATCGAGCTGGTATGGGTGAGCAAAGTCTCTAGCAGATCTGGGACAATCGGATAATGTAATTAATGCGGGGCAGACGAAACGCTGGTCCCTGATGACTATCTTATATCTGAGTGTAAGTTATCTTATAAGCATTACTTGGCAAGATGTGCTGATACCAAAACGAAACAGCTGCGTTGCACTGGGATAATATTCACTGTGTATGTGCGTGGGGCTGACAAGGTGGCCCGGTACTAATCAGCCATCTCAGTTCTACTGTGCTGTGTATGTCTCAAAAGTATACTAGAACGTTTCTTTGACCGATACTATGCAGGGACTGTCCCATCGGTCTCGTTGACGGATACAGTAAGTATTCTGCAGCAATTACTACCATTCCCTCCAACTAAATATACTTCTACATAGAGGTTAGTGAAAGCTTCGATCAGCTTGTTGCTTTACCAAATATAACAACTGCACAGCTGTACGTTTTTTGGAAGCACGAAAGCTCGTTACTCAGTTTTTCAGGCACTATCATTTGGTACTTACAAAGCGGGACATCTGTGGTTGCAAATGCCGTGCTGGGAGGTGGGCCATTCAACTGCATCAACTATTAGCGATATTGACTTGGACGAAATATCATTCTAGTCATCATCATCATCCGGTTACATGCCATGTATGAGCGGTCCAGAAAGATGCTTGCCTTTCTCGTTGTATTCCTTCTCGTTTCCACCATCATATTTGCAGTGATTGCCGCGAGTAGCCATGTTTCAGGAGGTAAGCTTTATGAATCACCTAAGCACAGCAGTCTCATCAAACATCAGAGGAGATCGTTTTCTACGAAACCCATCAGTGCAGTCCTACTGGAGGCAGTTCAAATCTAGCAACCGAGGCATGGGGTTTATCCACTGCATGGGAGCTTACCACACTGTGTCTCGCAGTCTGGGTTGTTGTAAAATACCTCCGTGAACTGAAACAGCCATTGGCGAGATTGACCCTTGGGAACTATTTCAGGGTGTTGCTCGAAACCCATGCATTCTACTTTACAGCGTGAGCTTATGATCAGGATGTCCTTGTATTTCCCCACTGAAGTTTTCCACGTACCAGATATGCTGCTGTTGCTTGCTTGAACCTCGGTAGTCTCTCTCCAAGCATCGGGGTACGCGATCCGCAGTGACATCTACATCTGACTAGTCCTCATCATTCATACAGTTTTCCTTGGGAGGTGAAATCTATTATGGCATTCTTCAACTCGCCCAGGTCATGCAGATGTTTGTACTGGGACCACGCCTCATCCTCAGCATTCGAGAATATCACGACAAGGAGATGACGCGATCAGACGAAAGAACTGATACGAGTACAATGGTTTTCCAGGGACGCACACAGAAGTCGACTGGCTCATCTGTGTAACAGGGAAAACACCGCAGGTTATTCACACTTGCAATGCGCTCTGTAGGGAATATGATTCGTTGGAATCTCGTCGTGTTATTCATTTGGCGTTTTGAAATAGAGAAGCATCATAGTCTCGGGCAAACCAATATTACGTTACATTAGAATGATGTGACCTATCTCGCTGCTCGCAACATGATGATACTGCATGCGGGTTGCGAATTGATCGACATTGCCCGCGGGGCGGTGTCCGTCAATGAGACAAATCATTGACAGATCGAATGATACGGTGTCAACGCGACATCGTGGTGCAGGATTTCTGCGGTCATTCGGTGTTTGAAGCTTAAGTCGAGGCCTCTCTTATCTCGGAGTGTTTTGAAATTGTGCTAAGATTACACTCCTGTTTAACTACTGTTATCAAGAATCGGCAAAAATACCTCAGTACTATTTTACAGTCTACTCGCGAAATTACAGCCTTGGGATTACAATTCATTCCTTTCGGTGCTTTTGGTAGTAGTGAATAAGACCAGTAGTCTGCAGGCCGCTTTTGCCTTAGCTAAAAAGTAAAGCATAGTGAAAAGATGAACGCACCGAACTGTCGTGGCCAGTCACATCGGACGGGTCATTCAGCTGCGACAAAATGTTCTTTGCAAGAACTTTTCCAAGTTCGACACCCATTTGATCTACAAAAACCATCAGCGAACGAGAAAGCGAGAACCGGGAACATCCCTACCGAAAGAATTGATACCCCAGATGACACCCTGGGTGAAGATCTTGTGCTCATACAACGCGATGAGCGCACCGAGGGTTCTTGGGGTCATCAACGGGAACAAGATACTGTTGCTAGGGCGGTTTCCCTCGAACACCTTGCTCTTCACGAGCGCCTCGCTTGCACCACTGCCAAGTTCCTTGCGCACCTCTTGCTCTGTCTTACCAAATGCAAGCGCTTCAGGCTGGGCGAAATAGTTGGAAAGTAAAATACGGTGGTGCTTGGAATTGGCGATGGGGTTGTGACTTGTGGCAGGGGCGAGGAAATCTGCGGGAATGAGTTTCGTGCCCTGGTGCACTAGCTGATAGAACGAATGTTGTCCGTTAGTGCCTGCGGCACCCCAGATGATAGGCTGCGTGTAAGATCATGTCAGTTTCTGTCACGCAGATGGGTCTATTGCACCTACCCCTGTCTGGTAGTCAACACGTTGTCCACCCTTGGTAACGAACTTTCCGTTGGACTCCATGTCTCCTTGCTGGAAGTAATCAGCGAATTTGTGGAGATATTGGTCGTATGGTAGGAGTGCATGAGTCTGTGCACCATAGAAATCGTTGTACCAGATGCCGATAACAGCCATGAGCACGGGAAGGTTTTTCTCGAGGGGAGTCTCCTTGAAATGCTTATCCATACCGTGGGCACCTTGCAGGAGCTGCTCGAAGTTATCATAGCCAATATAGATGGCAATGGACAAGCCTATGGCACTCCACAAGCTGTAGCGCCCACCAACCCAGTCCCAGAAGGCGAACATGTTTGCTTTGTCAATGCCAAACTCAGTGACAGCCTTTGTATTCGTGCTGAGGGCGACGAAGTGCTTTGCAACGTGGGCCTTGTCCTTGGCTGCTGCCAAGAACCAATCGCGAGCGGATTCAGCATTGGTGATAGTTTCTTGGGTGGTAAACGTTTTGGAAGCGATGATGAAGAGGGTGCGCTCGGGGTCACAGAGTCTGAGAGTCTCAGCGATGTGGGTTCCGTCAATGTTAGAGACGAAGTGGGCGGTCAAGTCACGTTTCGCGTATGGCTTGAGTCCCTCAGTGACCATAACTGGTCCGAGATCAGAACCACCGATACCGATGTTGACAATCGTGTTGATTGTCTTGCCAGTGTAGCCCTTCCATGAACCACTCCGAATTGCTTCGGAGAACTCCTTCATGTGTGCGAGCACGGCAGCGACCTCATCAACACCAGCCTCCTGGATCTTGAAATCGTCAAAGTTGCGGAGAGCAACATGAAGGACGGCGCGATCTTCTGATGTATTGATGTGGTCTCCGGCAAACATTTTGTCGCGGTAGTTCTCAAGCTCTGCCTCGCGAGCAAGAGATAGGAGTGTATCTAAGATGGGTTGGGTAATGAGGTGTTTAGAGTAATCGAGCAAGAACGTCGTGTTCTTGTCGGTTGAGTCCACATACTCCTCGGAGAATTTTGAGAAACGATTGGGATCCTGAGCGAACAGATCCTTCAGGATGAGCCTAGCATGTTGGGCGTCATACGTCTGCTGGAGCTTCTTCCAGGCGCTGTACTCTGATTGCAGGATCACGGGTGAGGGGGACGCGGGATAAGATATTCGAAGTGTTGATGGACATACCTGAAGCTGGTCTTCCGCTCATGATGATGGTAGATTAAGAGAAAAGTATATCACAGATCTTGCTTGATCTCTCACATATGACGCCACTTTATATACGTCAGTTGCCCTCAATACTACCCATTACATCGCAGCCGTGGGAACTTCTCGGGGCCGCCACGTTCTCATTGGCGGATCGCGCACAACCCTTAAACGTGCTTACAAACCACTCACAGACTGTTGGAAATGAGAGAAAATCCATCCCGTTTCTCGCTCACCAGTGCAAGCTAGTGAGATGCTGTGACTTTTGTTGCTAGGATGATTTCGGCAAACGTCCCCCGGCTTACACGCTCGGACGTGAGCCACCTCGTGATAGCCACGGCACTGAGAACTCTGCAGTCCGAGCGTCTGGGTTCGTCGCATTTGAGACATTTCGAGAGACTGACTACTGATCCAAAAACACCAACCATTTCAGGGCAGCACGATGCATAATTTGGAATCCCATGATTCGCTTGAAAGTTCAAGACTTGACTCGAACTTTCTGAACAATATGCCCCCTGGGGCTTTCCTGACTGGCCAATAAGTTTGTTGGTCACATCAGATTTCGATTCGCGGCATGTCGCTGATTTTCCTCTCCGATAACCTGCACCAAACAACTCATAACAGGAAGGTGGGCAAATTAGCCGTTTGTTGTTGAGCGCTGAGTTCCAGCAGCCATTGGCCAGCCATCAGTATTTGAATACGCGTGGGGAAATTGAGGTGCTTTAGTTACATGACCTCTCAAGATCTATATCATCTGAGAAGTGGACAGTCAGGAACCTGTGTCCTGTAATCCCTCACGCGATCCGCGTCACTACCATAAATATTCAGAGTTCCGGTCCGTCGAACTGAAATCCACCGGCCAACTGGAGCCAATTCAGCCAACTGGTCGTACTGTTATACCGTGACTGTCATCACAAAAGTGATCATAACACTTACTACGCCCTGCAAGTCGACGCAAACTAGAATTCAGAGATGCGTTCCTCGTCCTTTCCCCTTTAGTTCACGCTTTCATAGCCTCCAGCATTGGTCAGTGTTGGTGCGACTTCCCGATATGTTTGAGACTAATATTTTCTCAGCATGATAGGCTATCATCAAAGCCCTCAAGAGATGCCTTCATCTTCTAATCAAGTTAGAAGCGGGACATTTATACTCGTTCCAGTGGATCCTATCTATCGAGGAGATGACTATCCCGCTCCAGTGCTCGCGCCTGATGAAGCAACCACTGAATTCGTACCGACACAAGAAAACGGAAACCTTGGCCAGTACGCGCTGGTTGCGAATGTGCCATTTGTGTGGGAAGGAAGAGCTACTCTTAGATTTGGGTCTGGCAGAGCTTGCAAATCTGGTGGTTTTACCGGCTGGCATGTAAGCTGTGTCCTTACGAATCAATATCGTTCTCGTTCACAGCAATTAGTAAAACTCTTACTAAAATCTCTATATGGAGCTCTACTGAGTTTCGCCAGGTTCTGCCCACCCCTAGCAGTTCCGATCGGTGCCAATAACACTTACACAGTACGTCTCGGAAGGGGAAAAAATGCACTTGCATAGGTCATAGCGGTACCTATCTGGTCTGCAGCATGGAACCGCTGTGGTACGTACTAAGATATCGGATGATCAGGGATAAAAGTAAGACATTTCGACATACCAACGCCACTCCCGTAACGATACTCACTCTTTTCACTCTCTGGCATACTACCTGGTTGTACACAGGAGCAGATTTGGTCTTGACATCGACAATGAAAGGCTTTTTTCTGTTCGACCCAATTTCTACTATCTACAATCGATCCCTTTACCTCTCTTGATCTCGTACCGCCCGTCGATCTGATCTTACACAACGTTTTGCATTGGACGCCGTTGGATCGTCGACTATTGGGCATGGCTTCAATTTCACTCGTACATAATCGTTGATTGTAATCGGATGATGTATGACATCGGAGAACCCCTGTACCGCGTTATGCCTTTCCTCAGCGGATCTTCCCGAGGCAGAGGGTGATCAGACAGATGGGGCGTCTATTTGAGTTCAACAAGTTCCTCGATGCAGAGTGCTCAGAACCAGGCGAAGATATCTTGACTATGATACCGTGTCAGTCTCCACGAGAGTTGCCTTGCCCATAGGTTCTGGAACAGACATAACGAACGAAGAATTTGTATTAACTTGTGACAAGTATAATGTTGAACGGTGACACAACTGTGCGAAAAATATATATATACACTGTTTAGCAAGAGTGTTGTTACCCCCATGCCGCCGTCGTGCTAAACAGTATGCAATCGTATCAACACGCTGTGCACACGAATTATCGGGAAACTAACCTGTAGTTGACTATCAGATGTCCTTCCGTAGCGAATGACTTTAATAGCTATCAGAAAATGTTCTGCGATAAGACCTAGGCGCATTACCTTGTAGAGATTTGATACTGTGTCGTCGGGAGCGGGAGAAAATGCGAGATTGATGTATGTGAACTGGGACGAGTCAGTTCAACATTAAAGACAAGTTATCAATCCTAACCAGTGGATCTCCGGCTTTCCAGCCCAGCTCCTTCCTCAAAAACTGTATCACTGCCTGGAAACGGTTGGAGGCAGTAATCTTATAAAAGTTCTGCCTCATGATTGGTGCGTTACCGACTGCCTTGAAGCGAACCACCACTGCATATTGGGTTTACCGATATAGACACGCTCATCTAACACCAATGCCGCAGCGCTGACCTTTAGATGGATCCTTCTTCTTGTAAGTGTCCAATGCTTGAAGAGCTTCGGTTGCACTCTCGGACACGTCAGGTGTCCAGGGAAGGGCAGCTTGCCTACCAGAGTCGTCTGGGCTTCCCGAAGCCATCGCGATGTACGCGCGAAGAGAGCTGAACGTACAGGTGATAAAAGTTCGATTTGAAGCTGTAGTAACACAGCGACACTTTCAAGGTGTCCGAAAAAGGCAACTGGCCACCCGATTGCACAACAACCGTGTCTTCAAACCACGTACAGTACTAGTGAGCGTTAGAATGAAGGGTATTGATTGTTACTATCGAGGACAACTTCAGAAATCTGTATTCTACTTATTTCCAGTGGCATTCAATCTACAACGTACGAACTATCTACAAGTTGCTTGATGAAATTTCAGAGCTCAGTCTCGACGAATTCCTCCTGTTTCATCCCACATTGAGCGGTTTCTGTTCCACCTTTGTGAAGATTCGCTGGAGGGGTGGATCCATACCGGAGACAGTCGTTCTGCAGTCACTACGGCGGCGCCGTCGAGTCGGTGAAACCAGATTTGTTGTGGACAAGAACGTTTGTTTGTATGTGTTTATATGCATTGTTTTCGTGGTGTTGTTTTTACGACAAAGTGGACCGTGGTCGGTTTGAAACGTCGTACCTTATCACTTCTTTCTTTCTAACCACCATCTTATCTCTTGCATAACTCTTCTTAGCGAAATCTTTTCCAACTTCATTGACCTTGATCTTGAGACATGTCAAGCTATCAGATACTTGACTCATCACCCATCCGCATTCCCTCTGTTCACGATACGGAAGTTCATTCACGACCCATAAAACGCTCTGCATCTCTGGCATCACTGCCTACGCCTCCCAGAACACATCACAAGCGATCTCGTTCAAAAGCAGTGTCAGCGACCTCTCGATACGCGTCAGAGGAGAGTGGCAGCGCGTCAGAACTCGAGGACAACCTTGGTGGAAGCTATACTGTTCGCAACGATGAACAACACAGCAAAAGCGAAGATGAAAGTGGCGGGGACAAGGATGCCCATGCGCTCATGGGAAGGAAAAAACGCCGAACCATGGACGTCCTTCCTGCGCATGACGAAGAAGAAGATAACGAGAACTCGTTCTGGACTGGTCGTAGTGGTGGCGTAGTGTCTCATGAGCGTAAAAAATCTTCGGCAGTAGAGGATTCGGAAGAGGACAAGTCACCTTCACCCGCACTGTTGAAGTATCGCGTACGTGAGCCTGTTTCGCCTCCTCCCTCCCGCAGAGCACCCCAAGTCCACCCTCGTGCATCATCAGTGCAGCGCTCGCGTTCGCCCCCGCCTATACTTCTTCTACCAAAGCCACCCGTGACACCTCCCCGCAAACTCTTCCTTCGTGCGCTCCCATCTCCCTCGGATTCTAAAGCCAAGACAATATGGCCTACTCGAGACTCCCCTGACAACCCTTTCCTCGCTGGTGAGGGTGAAGCAGGCACATCTAATGCAAGCGGCTGGGAGAGCAGCGATGATGAATTGCCCGTCGGAGAAGCCCCTGAGCGTGCAAGCACGCCAACTCCAGCACCAGTGTTTGAGGAGAAACCGACAATAACCTATGTCTTGTGAGTCTTCCTAGTCGTCAATGACATCTCCATACTGACAGCCTCGTTAGCCGAGGTCAAAAAGCGACATTCAATAACCCTCAATATCATCTTCCCCCTGAAGTGCTTGAGGCGTCTAAACTGCCGATCGATCATCCAGACTTTGAAGTGGCTGAGGCATGTCCACCCCGCCGGCTCTTTGCCAACAAGCTTAAGCGCAAGCCTCGTGACCGTAGTCAAGACGTTTCTCCGATCGGATCCTTTGGTGCCAAACGTGCGAAGGTTGAATATTTAGATGCCAGCGCATCGGAGGGTGAGAAAAGTACCGCCAGCACCGGCTCCCGCAAGAACATAGTCTTCGCAGATGGGACTGAGCGGGACCCTGTATTCTCCAAGCCACAAGGCTCTGACAAAGGTGCTGAGCGCCTTGAGCTCCTGCAGCACGCTCGGGAGGAGCGCGAACGCAGGGAGAAAGACAGCAAACAACGCCTGGCTTCGAAGGAAGGCCTGCGTGCTGGGGCGTTTGTTGTGGAGAGGGACAATCCTGTCCGGCGGGCAATGGGCCCCGCACGTCATTCGTAAGTTGCCGGCGACATCGACAATCCTCATCTTTCTCGATTTATTTTCTTGTATGTGCGATACCTCTTTTCCTACTGTTATGTTTCCTACGATGCCCCATGTTCTCTCTAACTCCTGCGACACCCCATCTAATCTCAGCTCCATTGATACATGATTTTGTTATAGTGCGTATCGCTCACCCATCAGATTCGTTGATTCACTCGTTTACATTGACCGCATCCACCCATCAGTCGCTGCATTGACGTACCATCTCTACATAACTCTACCTAGGCACAAGTTAGTCGCTCGGAACCCTCGCGTCGAGCACATTTGCCTACATACATCTCGAATTCAATGTTTACACCTTGTTAAATGGCCATCGAATGCACTCAGTTGGCTGGACTGGTTCGAATCACAGTAGGAACGATGACAAGATTAAATAATGGGTCCTCTCCGACCTGGCGTGAAGACAGCAGCCGTGATATGCAATTTCACTATCCAAGAGATGGCGCAGCAGCCGAAATCGTCAGATTGTTTACTGCTGGGATGTCACAATTGACGGGCCTCGTACTAGAACAATATGACACGAGCAACATCGACAAATCTTGGCACCGATTGCTCTTCTGTGACTCAAACTAGCCGCGTGCTGCACACTAATCACAACTCGTTCATGAATATATACGTTGCAACTGCAATGCGTCCTTAGTAACCTTGAAAGCGGATGGGTTTTTCGTATTACCGGTAATGCCAATGAGAACTAGCCCTGTCGATCGCAGAGTTTGAGACAGGAAGGTCAATTCTGATATGCTCTAATGTATATAGTAACTGCGTCTGATCACGATGAGGATGTCGGTGATGGAGCAATGAGAGTAATAGTTACACTGGTATCACACTGCCTGGCGCTCGAGCTGGGCTCGCATTCGGTCCATTTCTGCTTGCCACTCAGCCCTAACCTGCGAGAATCGATGAGTAAATAGCATAATAAATTCTGGAAAGAATCTCACCTCCTCTGCTTTCCGTTCCGCCTCCTCTGCTTTCCTCTTCGCTTCTTCTATCATCCTCTCCGCCATCTCCGCTCTCCTCACCGCTTCCTCCTTTTGCTTCGTCGCTTCGTTTGCTTTCCTCGTCGCCTGGTCAATCTCCGCTTGACATCGAGCCCGTTCTTCCATCCGCAGCTGTAACAACAAATGAATGAATTGCATAACTGATTCTGGGAGGAACCTCACCTGCCGTACTTCATCTTCCTTTGCTCTCCTCCTCTCTTCTGCCGCATTCTCGATGCGCGCCCACTGGGTGTGATACTGCTCACACACCACCTCCACGCTGTCTGCCTTCTCTATCTTGATCCCAAGATAACGAGAGCGCCCGCCGCTCTCCGTTATCTCGTGGCAATCTGGGAAGAGCCTTTTGAGGGCCTCCCAGACGGTATGTGCATACCAGTAACACTGGTATTGGTACAGGTGGTATGACGGAGAATGCTTACTGAGAGCGGACAAGAGCACGGATACTTGAATTGCCGAAGGACGAGCGGAGGCGGGGAAGTCGAGGTAACAAAGCTTCTTGAACGGGTCATATGTTCTGGATAGATAGGATTCGATGGCAGAACCGTTGTTTGGGGTAGTGAAGATGGAATCGCGAGCAGGGGTCGGAGAAACTGATGGAGAGACTATGTATGACGACTGCATACGTCTTGACGAGCCATTGTTGTTCTCTGTAGAATTTATGCATGGCGTTCGGTCTAGAACCAAGATCGCGACGGCGTGCTGTTGTGTAGGATGGCGAAAATGGAGGAGCAAAAATTCGTGTTCTTTGCCGCTGGTGCATTTGCAGTAAACGACGCGTTCAAGCTGGCATTGTGAAGAAAGCTCGTTGCCGAGGAGGAGCATCTGCCATTGGCCTACGTCATTCTTACTGTCGCCTGACGTGAACACGCCGGGGGCATCAGAAGGAGAACTCATGAAAGGACGGAAGACGGCTGCAAGGAAACCACGAATACTGGAACGATTCGTTCCATACTTGAAGCTTTTGAAGGACATTGCAAGTTGACAAGGGTCTGAACACGAGGCAAGCAGTGGGCGAGTGGTTGTATCATATCATGAATGATTATACAAGGAACGCAGTCACCCTGTTTCATGTCTACTCCGACATACATCTCATTGCTCCCAGCACTTTGGACATCCGCTATCCGATAAAATCCCCGGCCCTACCCAACCTTATCGCAGACTATTCACGGTACGACAAATAAGGGTTGTGTCTCGCCTGTCTATGGCACGCTGGCAGACCTCTAAGCGACTCCGATCTCCCGTTCCTCGATACCAGCTGCGCGCAGTGGTGGCCAGCAACCAAATTTGCTCGTATTGCAGTTTACAGTCCATAGAGAATCATTTGACTCACTGTCTTTGACTTCTTCAAGTTTACTGCGCTGGTACTTACTTGATCGATCATCGATTATCATCGGTATTCTCGCCGAGCACTGACGTCAAATTGGAATCAGTGTGGCACGCGGAGGATTCGTACCGTGTCTGGACTTAGTGAGGATTGGGCATTTGACTATCCGTGCATAACCATCAGACTCGCAACAAGCGCAGCACTCACTCGACCCTGCTACCGCTCGAAAGATTCAGATTCATGATCAATTTGGTTCCGTAGGAGAGCAATGCAAACAAAACAGGGGCGACAATAAACAAGGAAGTGGTTGGTTAAGAAGCTCAGTGAGCAAGATCGTAGTTAGCGAAAGCAAATATACTGAAAGCAGAGATATCGAAAGCAACGTGCGACAATACTAAACGTAAAATGAAGCTGTTCATTTCGCTCGTGAGGTCTAGGACAACATTCATCATAATAAAATGCAATGGTAAGTTATATACCCTAAGTCCAAATGCGTCAGAAATAGGAATCACTCGAATCAAAAGAACTATACCACATACCAAGTCACCTTGGGAAGTCTAGGGGAGGAAGTAGAAAATGATGTAAATGTCGTTTGTCTTGTCGTCATTATATGGTACAACGGGACGCGAGCAGGCCCGTAGGGTATATATGAGCATAATACGTGAAGGATTTGTACGGCATGTACAGATGTGAGATGAGTGCTCTGCGTCATATTTTATTGTGCATTGCGTGTCTGTAGATACGTTCGTCTCATGAGTAACACACAGGAATGTCAATTAGGACCCGTACCGCATGTGTCTTGGCAAAGCGAAAGCGCTTTGTCATTTCATAAACATCTCGGCAAAGAAAGAGTTGTTATAAAGTCGTATCCAAGTCGTGGTAAAAATTCAGATTCGTTCGTTATGCGCGTGGATATCCGCGCCACCATCTATGATCCAGCTTGCACGGGGTGTCTGAGTCATTGTCGCACAAGCATCCTCTTGCTGGTCGTCCTCTCGATTTTGTACGCTTGTTCCATTGTCGAATTCATGGGTATCAATAGTGCCAAATGTTGTGGTACTATGCAGCCGGTTATTGATGAGCTACACGATGAATCGTAAGCTATGCGGACGGGAGAGCGCGAGGCTAAAACAAAAAGTGATACTTACACCTCCAATTGGCCGGGAGTAATCTTCAAAATCCCGTAAACTTGAATTGCTCCTTCCTTCGAAAGAGTCACGCAGGCGAGGATCAAGAAGTCCGTCAGCCGTAGTAAGGCGTGACTCGTCAGCGGGCACAGGGGAGGAGGTTGACGGCACACTAAGCCATGGCCACGAGGGTGGCTGCAAGCCATCCTCATGTTCCGCCACGTCGGCATGAACATACGGCGAGGAAAGCCATGGATCGGGGTTAGAAAGCACAAATCGCGGGGATGTTGACATGGATCCAGGTTCGGGAGTGGCAGGGGAGACAAAGGCTGAGAAGATATCTGGGCCGTAAGCATTTATCTTCTCAGCAGCTCCCTCGCTCTCTATGTCTCTAGGCAATTCTCTTGGAGAATGTGCCTTTGGGCTCGGGGTATTGCCCCGTCTGAGACGACCAAGGAAAGCTCGTACGCCAGCAGGTCTCTCGTTCACAGAGCCGGATAAAGATGCGGATGCAGTAGTGCTGCTTCCAGTGCTATCTCGCTTCCCCTTCTTCCATCTCGTAACATGCCTGTTCTGGTAACTAGTCGGAGCTGCACTAATCGCAAGCCCTAGCGCAGGTCCCTGATGTGAGTCGGCACCGGACGAGGTACTCCCAAACCCACGCCCATACCCATGCGAAGACGTGCTTCGCAGTGCGCCCTGAGACGAAATACTCCGTAGAACATCGAATGAAGCGGTCGCACTCAGCATGCCAGAGGACTGTGACGTAGGTGAAAGGTTATGGCCATTCATGCTTCCTTCAGGCGAACCAAATGCTGACCCTAGCCTGACTTTGTTGCCAGAATCGAGGTAAGAAGATCCGCTTCCGGCTCTCGTCAAGAGCGGCTCCTCGCTTCCAGTCCTCGTCCTAGTTCCGGTTTCGGTTCTGGTAAGGAAGTGGGTGGAAGAATGAGAGTAATGCGATGCAGCCGAAGGAGCAGGAGCAACGTTATACCCTCCAAACCATGCGGAAGCATCGGGCCCAGGTGAACTTCTTCTTCGGGAACCATTAGCGGTATGTGGGACATACGCGGACGGTGGCGGGGGAGCGGAGTATGCAGATGGAGGCGGAGATAGTGGGAAGACATGGGGACCGTCATCATCCTCTCCAAGTGAATACGGAGGCAGATTAGGGGACGAAGCGCGCGCAGTTACCAGTTCTCCCGACACTTCTCCGCTCGTGTCTCCTTCGATTCGAACATTCCTTCCCGCACCCATGCCCTCATTGAGAGCTGCGATAATCCCACCATAACGCTCTTCCATGTCTACTTCGGCTTCAAGTGGGCCGCCAGGCGCCCATGGGGGAATAGCGCTCGCATCACGAGATAATAGCTTGCGCTGTCGACGACGAGCACAGAAAAGCCAGAGAACAGCGAAAGCAATAGCTCCGAGGACCCCGAGGAAAAGGCCAGCAATAGAACCAGGGGAACGAGAGAGCCTGCGGAGATCCCCATTAGCACAATTATAGCAGGTGACCTCATAACAACGCCACAAAGGAAAAGAACCTACCTGTTCCCATTGGTATCTACAGCTGCGGTGCTGAGCACCCCGCTCGTTGTCGTCGTCCAAGTGGTGACGGGATAACCCGACAGGACGGATGTCAAAATCAGCGTCGATGTCCAAGGAGTATCAGCCCACGTGCTGTATTGATCGACTTCGGTAGTAGAAATAATCAACGTGGTGGGAAATGGAGTGATCGTACTGAACACCGAAGAAGAGCTGGATGCGAGGGCTGTGTCTGACGACGAAGATGGACCTGCTGACAACGAAGAGCTTTGGGAGGCGGAAGTTGAGACTACTGCGGAAGTATATGTTGTCGTTGCTGAAGACAGTGAAGTTGAAGGAAGAGGAATGGGTGTGATGGTGAAAGATGAAGTAAATCCGGGTGCGGTAGATGTTGAGGATACATCAGATGTCATGGTGGGTGTAGACGATGATGGGGAGAGCGTTGATGTTGATATCAGAGATGAACCAGAGGACAAATTATCAGAACTTGTCGTCAAAGAAGACCACAAGGGCGTACTTGAACTTGACCAAGTACTCACGCCCGCTGTCCCGGAATTTGTAATAGATGACGAAGAACTATGAGTGCGAAGTTGTATGAACGTGCCCCAGATAATTTCGGTAGGACCTACCTCAAACTGGATGACACTGGACTGGACCCCGGTTGAGATTCAATACTGATGGGTGGAGATGGAGTGACGGTCTCTTGCAAATAACCATTTCCAGCATCCGATGGATAGACGTTTGCCTGAAGTGACGAGAGAAAAGTGAATAGACAAGGGCCATCAAGAATGATAAGTTTGAAATGGAAGTATAATGTTGATGATGAAAACACAACAGTGGATACGAAATAAAACGAGAATTATGTTGAAGAGAGTGGTGAATGGGTTAATGGTTACAAGAGATGCAACGTGAATGATGCCCGTGATGGAAGCGAAGAAGGTATGGAGCCAATGTCATTGATCGAACACAGACAGTGAAATATCGTGCGCACCTGAGAGGCCATCACACTAGATGTTGGTGGTGTCATAAACGGAGAGCTCTCGGGCACGTCGTTCGTCGGCTGGGAACCAGTACTGCTCAATATATTCGAGCTCTGAGACGTCAATGCTATCGGGGGCAACGGGCCGGCATTAATGGGCGTGCCACTGAATAAATTACTGATGGAGGGCAAAACTGGGTTCGTCGTCGTCGAGCCTGGAGGTGCTGGTTCGACGAGGAATGGCACAGAGTTGCAAGACGTTGGATCGAGAACCATATCTAGATGTTCATGTATATAAATAGTTGGATAGCTGGAGCTCAGAGTAGTAATTGTTGATGATTTTGGAGAAGGTCAACCAAGAAAGAGAGATAAAACGTGTCCGTATCCTTCGTCGCGAGAAAAGAGCCTGAAGGTTTTGTACTAGTCGGAAAATTAGAATGAATTGGCGGGGCTAGAATAAGACGCTTACGAGAAGGTTCCTCGACGACGACTAGACTGTACCATATGATATAGCAGTTTATGCACTGGTCGACGCAGCGACGGCAAGGTTTTCTGTGTCTAATAGCGGAGTTGAGCTCTATGGGCTGTAGGTATTCTGTGTACAGGAAAGAGGTCGAGATGTCGGATGACTCGAAGACCGATTTGCAGATATGAGCGCTTGAATGCGATCAAAGCGCATCGCATCGGGTTGAAGTGCCAAGCATAACAGTTCCCTTCTACGCCAGAAATGTGAAAGTGATTGCCAACGTCAGTGTGTGGATTTACACATCATTCGAAAGGTCAATATACCCAAACCTCCGGAGGTGAATCCTCCCCATACTCTACATGATTCTGCATTCTATGGAGCTTTGAAGAGCGTAAAACATATAACACATGTAGAATGACGTTGGTAGCACCACAAGATGCGTGGCACCTCAGCCTACACGGCTGGGCCGAGGCACCAGAAGGCAGTGAGCATGATGCTACCATGCGTGCATCCTAGGACACCTGCCTTTTTGGGGCCACACATTCCCGGGGATCCCCCACTGTTCGGCTCCATTTGTAGGAGACAACCGGCCAAGTCGAGTAATTACACAGTCTGCGTTTCTATCCTCATGTCCACCAGCATGTAATACCATGCATGTCACGAGTTAAGCCTCGTTCCAACTCACGTACAGGCTTAGCAGCTGTGCTTACCTTCAAGTTTTTGCATGTCAAGTCAAGTAATATAATTAAGCTGACGTCCTTCCATTCGTCATAGCAAGGGACAGGAACACGAGACCCTCAGCTGATCACAGTGGTTACTGACTGGACTTCCGATCTTACCCGTTACACAAACTCCGCGTGTGCGTTCTTCTTGTCAATGACGTTTCTACACGAAGTTATAACACACTAATAATAACGACAACTACATCCGCGTTAAAGCCCAGTGCTATTCTGCATTGGAGGCGGTAAAATCCAGTATGTGACATCTCATGCATGCTGCAGGCAATGCCATACAGTGACTTACTGGTCCTTCGAATTCTAGTCTACACATGCAAACTCTTCCAAATTTCATCGCAACTGTATTCACATGAAGTACATCTTTGATCCTTCTTGATCATGTATGTCACGTTCGACTCATCACTCGCCGTATCATTCGCTTCTTATCTTGCCTCATGCTTGGAAAGCCGATATAATCTCATTTAGAGAATCGACTATTTCGGATCCATATCAGTTCATATCCGAGTCATGCGCTGACCGGGCTCCTATCTTAACGGCCAAGTAGGTTCGAGTACGCCCTGTACTACAAACAAGTCGAATGGCGTAGCCATCAAATATCATCGATAGTCCCTGACAGAGGCCCAAAGCGAAAAGCCGAGCTGATCATCATGCTTTCAAGGAGACTTCGTGTGCCTGCTGCTGTCAGGTAAGCTTCGATGGGTGTAAAGATTATCATTTGTATCAAATTTATCCATCTATCGATGAAGTTCCGTAACGGCCTTCTATCAAACTTGGCATTAGAATGACTCAATGTAATGATTGACGCTTGTAGCCAGGATAGCTTAGTATGTTGAACAAGAGGCTTAAATACGACTCCTCCGCTGCATGTACAACTACCAAACGTGTCAACGAGTACTAACCAAATAGACGAATTTGAGATACCGAGTTTGCCGTCATATCAGGGCGCTTGTTACTCAGCCCTATTACTATGAATAGACTCAACAATGACCAGTCTAGCATTCTTCCGACTCGGATTTTGGCGCTGCCGAGGTCAGAATCCGCCCTCTGCCGCGCCTAGACCCTGCAGGGAAGGCGCTCCTGGTGGTAGTAATGCGGTAGAGCATAGATTCGGCACGCAGCAACACGTCGTTGCATCTAGCCGACAGGCATATTCAGCCGTTGTGACAAGCGAGATAATAGATACATACATGTTTCGAATTTGGGACCTCGGACTAGTAGTATGCTTGCGCACCAAGTCCTCGACTAATCCTCATTAGCACGAATCACTTAACATTCTCTTACCATTCCGAGTCTAGAACAGATAACTGTCATAGGCATATCACGTACAGCATGCACTCGAATGTGGTATCGCCTTACAGGGTCGTTGCGTCGACCCCAATAGGGTTAGGCTTCCATGTATAGTGAATGGGGTTGGGGTTTGAATACACCAATCATGTAGCACGCATCTGCAATACTGGATGGCGAAATATGATGCATATATGATGAGCTGTGGCGGCAGCCTGAACAGAGCAAGACGTAATCAGCAAAGTTCAGAGCTCGAGGGTCGACGAGGTGACAAGAGTCTGTAGTGAGAGGACATTTGAGTATGCCAATGGCCAGACACTCTCAGAGGACTCTGCTCGATCTTCGCCTAAACAGCGTGCGAGGAAAGCGAAGGTAAAAAAGTGTTCGCGCACTGACAAGAAAGCAGTAATGGAAACAAACTTCAAAGTAAGTCATTGGAGACTCAATCATGATTCAAGTTGTGGATAAAACTAGAAAGCCGTGAGAAAACTGGGAGAATGGGCTACGTTTGTGTTCGACAAAGCCACTGCGCATGCAAAATCGTGATGCCTACTGTATCTGAAAACGAAAAAAACTCTAGGCAATACTACACTAAAAGTGCAACAAAATACTGGTATAATTGAACAAAAAAAACATCTCAACTCACATCATCCTCTCGTCCCCTACCCGTCAACACACGTAGCATCTCGTCTCCTAGTCGTCGGAAATGAAGATATGTACATGGATATAAACACGCATGTGAGCACTTCATACGCATATTTACTTCCCAGCTGGCTTCTCCGGGATGAAAAGCCACCATACGCTGACAATCAAACGGATGCCTGTGCCGATGCCCAGCGTAGCAGCTGAACCGATACTGTCGATCAATAGACGGCCAATGAAGCCTCCAAAAAACAGGCTGGCAATAGCCATGATCTTGTGATCACGCGAAATGACCATCCGCCGGATGTCAAAGAGTTTAGGGTCAGCCATAAGCTCACACCAAGTTGTCGTGAGCACAACTGCGGAGAAATGAAAGGTTAGGAAATAAATAGAAATATGCCTGAAACATACCTGTAGTAGTGAATTGCGTATTGACACGCTTCCCCATAATGCCCTGCAAGCCCATGCTCGCGCTCAAGAAGCCAATGCACACAAAGGAAGACACGTTGGTCCATGCGGGGTTTGCGCGCGCATCAGCAACGCTACCCTGATGGCTCTGCCATATCGCAATAGCGGCAGCCATCGTAAAGAGGGTTTGAATGAATGTGCCGAGGGCCAGCCATAACCGTGTCTTGCAGCCCAACTTATCGCCGATACGGCCGATAAATGCGCCGAAAATGAACGTGAGCACAGAGCACAGCGCTTGACGGTCCGCTATATGGAACGAGTGATCGTGCTGCCCGCTGAACAGGCGAGCAAGGGCAAGGGCCAGCTATCGCACAAATGTCAGTGGGAAAGATCCTCTGCAACCGCGGAGGTACTCGTACTTGTAAACTGTTTCCTGTTTGGAAAGCGCACCAGACAAATATAGCAGAGAATGTAACTGAATCGCTGAAAAAAAAATCAGTGAGTTGCGAAGTAAATCAAGAGCACAGTTCACGCACATGAAACCAGTCATGAAACAATACATAGACAAAGGCGCCGTGGACTGATCTCCATCGACTTCCGTCAACAAATGTTTTTTCAACTTCACCATAGCCGACGCGTCATTTTCATCATCGCGTCTATTCTTCGCTATTGAACATTGCGATAACCGGTTCTGGACGACAGGTGCAGGCAACGTCGATGACGTCGAGTCCTGGGAGCCGTGCATATCGATGATTTCAAAGATATTCGAATCGTCGAATGGACCACAGCCGGAATCGTCGTCGAACTCGGGTTCGTTACCAGAAACAGAGAAGATATCGAGGTCGGAAGGAAGGGAGTTTTTGTAAGGAATGAGAGGGATGCCGAATGATTTCACGGAGGCAGTCCGCTGGTGTATCCGATTGAAGCTACCGAGGCTGAGTTTGTTTTTGAACGAACGACCGGGCATGCATCGATGAGTGGGACGTTCAAATCAAATTTTCGTGGTACGATACCGGACTTCCGTCTGGTTTGTTCGCCTCCCTATCGCCGCGTCAACTTGGCGTACGTTGACATTGTTGCGTAACGAGAAGTATGGTTGCTTCGGTGTACTAATTAGAGGTGAGTATGTGATAGGTATTTAGACTTATGGGGAGGACTTCCTGACGTCGGGTCGGAGTCGGTCGGACAGGGTTATGCAAAGAAAAACTTTGCATACTTAGCTGCGCACTAGTGATGAAGCTTGAAGATAACCCTTACCGCGACCGGTTAACTCGGGAGCACGGGACACCAACATTTTGTATCCTCTCACAGGCTACAGTTATTCGAAAAGGAATCAGGCCAGTGCCCTGGTTCGATCGAAATTCTATGGGCTGGTCTATCTTTGTTAGATTTGGCCACTGTCTCTAGATTCGCTTTGAGCAAATGACAGCCCAAACGTTGAAACTCCCGTCGTATAGTAAGTCAAAGTAGTGTTCTCTCAGAGTCAAGCTGATACAAGGATGCAGCGTTCGTGACGATCGTCGACTGGCATTCTTCGGAGATCCGGTATCGTTATAAGTCGACCTCAAAAATTGCCCACTCAACGTCGTAAATTCCTTTTGACTCCGAATTGTGCAACTGATATGATAGGGATGTGTGTGATGTCTGATGATGGAACTTGAAGTATGTAGAAGGAACCTTCTTGCCAGCTCCATACTGATTGACGGGATGAACTAACCAGATGAAGATTGAATCCGGAAGATTAAATTCTTGATAGTTGTTCAACAGGCTCTCCTCCACGAGAGTCACCATTTGCTTAACAGTTGTTTGGATCCGACTCATCCGAGGCTGTTGCCAAACAGGTCATTGATGAGGTTGGTCATTGTATCTACATAGGTATTTCGTCAAGTCAACCTTATGGAATTTTTGTTGCGCATTTGCACAGCAGTTCAAGTGTCGCGCGCGGAATATGTTTGCGATTCAAGAAGCTATTCGTGATGTGGCAGCTTAGAACCCTGTTTTCAATAACGGCTTCGCGATTTGCCACGCAAGAGTCAAGGGGGTCCTGTGATATATGATCCACAATGGCCGAAGCTCATCTACATGCCTTAACAGTCAATTCCTAGGAGTGAAACAAAGAAAAAGATTACTGAGCAGACGATGACAGCCTCAAAACCAGAAGTTGTGGTAGAATAGTACGCCGAGCGAGGTGAGACTCGTTTGGACTAAATTTCTAACTTGGCGCCCATCATTAATAAGTACATGTCACTAGGTGAGTGCGGGCCTCCTTGTGCTGACCACATCGCTATTCAATGGTTTTTTACACCTCTGTCAAATATATCTGCAGTATTCAACTATTCACCGACGGTTCCGACTTGACGCGATGCCTCCGCCTCCGCCAGTCTGAGCAGCACCTGCTCTCATCTCGTCCTCATCGAGGCCGGCCTCGGCCAGGATCTTCTCTACTTCTTCGAGGATAGGTTTGTACTCCGCTAACGGGGTAAAAAAATGAATGCACTCATAATCAATGCTGACCACCTGCAACCAGACGTACCATATCGCTCTTCTGCAAAACTGAAACCATCCCTCCTGAGTTGTTTGCCCCGATTATCGCTCACTCCGTGTGCTTTCTGGGTCCAGTATTCACCTTCATGATGATCAGGACTGAAGCAAGACTGGGGTAAAGTGAAGCTTACGACTTCGAGCATAAAACAGAGCTAGTGTCTCTCCCGGTTCTGGTGTGCTAATCACATCCTCCGCAGAGCGCGCCGTGTCTTTGGATACACCCATGAATGCCGTCGCTTGCGCACGCACCTCGTGCTTGAAGTTTTATCAATTTTCATTGTACCACACAATAAAATCCTCTGTGCACTCACTCGTACATCTACGGGCTCGTCAGCTTCTTCGTCATCGTGACTATCATCAAGCTTTTGAAGGTCGAGCCCCGCATCATCTTCCTCTACCCGCGTCTCATTATCACTATCACCATCCTCGTCGCTCTCTGCACCATCGTCATCCTCATCACTGCTGCTCTCGTCGCCCTCCGCTGGGATAACGATGCCGCTGTGCTTGAGGCACGTGTACCGTTCGAGCTTATCGAGCTGGATCGAATAGAAATCGTCGAGTGTGTATTCCCTTGACCCACGCTCAAAGATACCACCATAGCTGATAGGGGGAGAATGATTCAGGCAGTACACAATGGTCATAGCAAAGAACCACGTACATGTACAGTGTATTCCTCAGCACAGTTAGCATAGCGTTGTACCGAGGTATTGGGGTCGTTAGTATTGGGTCATCAGGATCAACATCAAGGTCCTGCTAGTCTCATCTCAATATCCGACACCATCTACACGAGTGGAAATTGACCTTGGTGTTCTTAACCTCTTGAGTCTTAATTCCATCGTCATCTCCGTCCGATTCTTCTTGCTGAACAGCTGCAGCCTTTCGCTTTCCACCCTTCCCTGCTTTTTTCAACTTCTTGAGTGTCATTGATTGCCAACGCCCATTGCCAACGAGTTGGTATCCGTAGCTACGCAAGATTCGGTCAGTCTGCAGTTCCGCCATCAATACAACCACAAGCCAAGATAGTGCCTCACGAGATGACACTGTATGAAACCATGCAAGAACATTCCGCACGGTGACTCAGGCTCCTTCTGATGACTTACAGATCATTCCAAAATACGCTCTCGAGGCTCTCTTCATCCCTGTCGTCATCTGTCACGCCGCCAAACAGGACGCCCATACCCTTGACCGACCACAGCGCCATTGTGCAGCCACTGCGGATGTGCGGCGCGAAGGATGGTTTCTTTCGCCTTTCCCATTTCAAACTAAGTGGATCCGAGGAGACTGTGGACGATGATGGAGATTGGGAAGTTTCGAGGGACATGCTATGTGCGAGTTGAAGTGGGATAGGGAGCAGGAGATGCAAAATCCTACCGGAGAAACCAGGTATCGTCGAGCATTACGCCAATAGGACGTTTACCCTTGATGTATTCTTTACAATAACCCCCTACATGCATCATAGGGAAGTAGCATCTGATGACCAAGTTGCATACATACCATGTAAAACAATACCTTCTGGCGTAGAGAGAAATGAGAATCCGCTTCTTGCGCTGTGTAGTAATCGATGTATGACTAGGTAAAATTCACAGAAGTAAACAGGGAACAACGCACGATGGTTTCCGATCCATATCCTTGAATTCGATTTGTCGCCATTTATACTCTTGAGTATCAAATACCCAGGTATCATTTAGATATTGGGCTTGATTTTTCGTATATATCAGTGCAATACAAACAAGCGGGATCACATGCTGGAAACATACTGCGATGCCCTGGGTCATAAAAACCGCCAAATAGAACGATGTAGTGCTTCCACATTGCCATCCTGTACCATTCTAAGAATTAAAAGGGGCACAAAAGTATTCCTTACGCACCGATGTCCTGACCTCGCGCTGGGTCTGATCTTAGTATCCAAGCGATCCCACGAATGAGTGCTAATATCAAAGCTCCAAAAATCCCTGTAGTGATGGAACGTGTTCTGATACAATGAGCTAAACTCGCCGCCGAACAAGAAGAGCTTTCCTCCTCCAGCTGCCGAAGTCACCACGGCATGTGCACTGCGAGGCCCAGGGCACGTAGGGCTCACGAACTTGCGCCACTCATCCTTGTCAGGGTTGTAGCGGTAGACGTCGTTGTAAAAGTAGGCCTTGCCATCATCACTAAAGAATTCACCTCCGATGCACCACAAGTGGTTTCCGCTCGGGCAAGGCGTCAGAGTCGCGTTCGCACGCCGGGAAGGTGGGCCCTCGACTAGTTCCTCTGTGACCTTATGCGCATCTTCCCATTCGCGGTTCATCTACTAGCAGGCATCGTTAGGTCAGCTCGATCTCAGATGCATGCGATAAAAATCACCTTGTCGAGGATGGCCTCTAAATCTTCATCCTCCACAGGTGCATCGGTCGTCTTTGTCTTTTTGATCTTCTTCTTTTCTTTCTTAGAAATCTTGGCTTCCACTTTCTGCTTTTTGGCTGCCTTCGCAGCTGCTTTACTTGTATTCTTCTTCTCGTTGCCCATGATCGATATTGATAGATCAGATGATGGTCAATGACAAGCTCGGCAGTTGCACAGCCACCCCCTTCATCGACCGCGCAAGTGTTTGTTGCTTCCGATGGGTGACATCCAAGTCTTCCTTCAGTCTCCTTAACAAACGTAGTGAGTAGGTGAGTGAGATCTTCGACCCGTTCATTAATTCAATGTAATGACTGCAACAGCTGTAAGTGCGTACCATGAACCTTCGGGTTCTCCCATGGTCACCAGTAGCTGTGTAAATAAAATAATCCAGGTACCACCATTTTTAGAGTGCAAACATGGTCGAATTTCATTGTACTAATGGTTCATGCTAGGCGGTAAGTACTTAGTTGCATGCAGTAGTACCTCAGCAATATTGATTTGACTGCAAGTAAACGAACATTGACAGGACGACGGATTGCGATGTAGGAGATCGCACGGATATAGTTCAGCTTCCCTGAACTTTGTGAAAGCTTTCCATGGATCGCTCATGGAGCTATAAAAGGATATGTGTTATACCTGCAAATTCTGACTTTGGACTTCTGATTCCTTGCCAACTGCACAACGAGCTCAGCGATGCGGCAGCGACAACGGAGACGGCTGTGGCAGGGAACCGAAAGGTAAGCATATTTGTTTTCAATAAGAAAGAAATGCTGTAATGCACAGGCGCCATGTGGAAGGGGCTTGTTAGCAACTTCGAAGCACCTGAAATAGTTCGAAATGCAGGCACATTCAACGATATCCCTCGCTCTTTCTCCAAATTTCTAGCCTCTAGGTAACATCAAAACAGTCTGAGCTGTCAGCGCTGTCAAGCTGACGATCAATTTCGGTAGGTAAAGTGTACCTACCAGCTGCCAGTGGTTGGGTATCTCCTTCAAAATCACTATTAACATCAAGCCTCAGGATACGAGAGAGCCTCACCGACGGTCCTTCGAATACTTTCAAATAAAACATTTCCCGCATATGCTAAACTTCGCTAGCGGAGAAATAGAACACGGCTTCCAGATCGCGACAGCCCATTGCGGCAGCAAAGAAATTGACTTTGACACCCGTGTTGACCTTGGAGGGTCACAAAAATGCTATTCCATCCATATCCTACTTTCCGGACGGGAAGCGAATGATCAGCGGGTCAGGCGATAAGACCACTCGTCAATGGGACTTAGAAGCAGGTAAGGAAATTGAAGATGCACAGGATGTTTGTGAGCAGGAAGTATATGCTGTGGGAGTATCAAGGAACGGTCGATGGGTTGTCTCTGCAGGTATGATTATTATATAAGCGGGGATGTGGGGGATTGACGATAATTTACTTGACCGCCGTTAATTAGCAGCGATGGCCCTGACTCAACGCTTCTCCTCTCCGCATGTACACCCGCCATATCCTTCTCTCTACCTCTATCCTCTAAACGACACTTTTATCCCAAAACATATCTCCCTTCACAATGGCCAGCGCGTAAAGATCGGGCGCCAGACAGACACAAGGACAATCCCAGGAGAGAGAAACGGTTATTTTGACTCAAAATTACTAAGCAGACAACATGCAGAGATTTGGGAGGACAGTGGAAAGGTGTGTCTTGTTCCTTGTTTTCGAGGGGAAGACTGACGGACGTGGCGGAAGATATACATCAAAGACGTGAAAAGTGCTAATGGCACGTTCATCAACGGCGAGCGACTCAGCCCAGAAGGGGTCCAGTCCGAGCCGTTCGAGCTCAAAAATGATGATATCGTGGTATGCTTTCCCTCACTTTTCCCCGTCTGACCCACCCAACCCGTTCGCAGGAATTCGGTATCGACATCATTGGTGAAGACAACAAGACCACGATCCACCACAAAGTCGCTGCACGCGTCATGTGTGTGTTCACAGATGAAGATGCGCACATTGGGGCTCGGTGAGAAATACAAATGTTACTAACATCGGTTAATAATACCAATGAAAGTCAGACGCACTTTTAGCCTGTTAATAATTGTTAACAATCATATGTACATATGTTCATTACAAGAGCCTCCAGCCGCATCAGCCAGCATCATAGTATCTAAATCTTGTTTAGAAACACTCTGAGTGACAACAAGAAACGTCACTCTGTATGTCACTGCCATTGCATTGATGGATGAAATCACATAAAATCGTCGCCAAGGCAGTACCAGGATCGCGCGATGCCGAGGCTTCAAAAAGCTGTGAATAATCATTCTCGAAACTTGGAAAGATTATTCTTACGACACTGGTATCAGTAAGTGAACCATGTGCTATCAAAACCGGGAACCATCCAAGAGACCTAAGGGCCTGCCGTTTCATCTTAATAATGCTCAACGAGCATCTGTACTCTCTCCGCTTCGCTCGCCGGAGCGTGTAAAAGCTCATCCAAAGTCTGAAAACAACAATAAATCAGCACCCGCGAAGATGATATGACAGACCAGTTGAAGATACAACATAATAGATCCAGTGATCAAATGACTCACCTCCCCCGCTGCTAAGAATCCCTCTACCAGGCCTCCAAGAAGGCTCTTCAATGCCTCATCTGCCTCCAATGCGGCCCTTGCCTCCTCCCAAGACATCGGCATCCGCTGCGTTACGCCCACTGCCTGCCTTTCTGCCTCAGTCATCAGCGCAGCGGGCGTATCACAATCTTGCTCTACGAGCGGTGCTTGAGACTGGATGCCAAGAAGGCCAGAGCCGATGAGACTGGCGAGGACGAGGTAAGGGGAAGACGTGCCGTCTACACATTTTACTTCGAAGTGGTTCTTCGAGGGGGCGTTGGTCGCAACCTCTGTGTCTACAGATGCAGGAGGAATACACAAGCGTACGGGCGCCTCACGGTTATCCCTGCCCCACGCGACCCATGTCCCGCCGCTCCAAATTCCATCGAGCATGCGTGCATAGGAGGCACGTAAGGGGAGTGTGAATGCACAGGAAGCTCGGAGGTGACTGAGTACACCAGCTAGGAAAACGCTTTCAAGAGGGGTGATAGGATTGTCTGATGTGTCCGCTGGAGATTGGCTCAGATTTTGAAGTTTGGATGGATGCTCGGAATTGATGGGGTGCACGGAGATGTGAGTGTGAGCTGCACTGCCACCTATATGAGAGCGTGAATCAGAGAAGGTAGACCCAGGATGTGAACATATTGGCAGAAGACGGAGAGAATGATCGACCACAGGAATAAAACACAACACATACAGGTGTCCATATGTAACCTTGGTGCAAACGTCGCATGAAACCCGTGTTTGCTTGCGACGTTGGTGATCGTCTCCCGTGTGTGCACGAGCGCATCGGCAGCTTCAAGAGGTGGGAGTGGACCCGTCACGATCTCGTACTATTTGCAGAAAATCAGTATATAGAAAAAACCAATGAAAAGTCAGGTAAACCAACCTGCCCCGGCGCTGCTTCAGAATGATACATTGTCAGTTCGATTCCGCTGTTGATGAGTCCACGTGCAATCTCCTCAAGAACTTCTGTCTCCTTGGTTCCGGAAGGTAGCGCTCGCGTGTGGTTCCATCCGTGTGGATTGATCGCCTCGATCGGGTTGGTGCTTTTGAGGAGAATGAATTCGGTCTCAAATCCAACAAGGAACGCGGCATTGTAAGATTTGGCGGTGCTGAATGTTCAAGTGAGTCCGCATTCAATGTGGTGTTAGAGAGGACGCACTTGACGATACGATTCAGTGCTGATCGTGGACACATGGGCACACCCGTGCCAAGGATGCGGCCTGGAGCAGGGACCTTATCTTGGAACCAGCCCATAATACTTACATGTCCTGGCGCGTAGGGACACAACCTCATAGATGACAAGTCCACCACAAACAGATACTCCCCTGTAGGCCCAAACCCAGCTGCGGTCCTCTTAATTACGAAGCCAAAGACACATTGGGCGATGGTTATACCCGGTCTGGAGGAGGCGAGGAGGCGATGGAAGGATTTGAGAGGGACAACGCGGATGCTAATAACGTTGACTAGATCAACCCAGGTGATGCGCACGGAGTGAATGCTAGGATAATTTGCTAGGGAATCGATCGAAATGGTGTGAGCTTTGATTGTCTGGGGTGAGTAAGCTGGCGAGTTCGACATCACTGCGAATTGTAAGAGTTGTTGATCCAGTGTCAATTCCAATCTGCGACTATATATACGCCTCGCCGAGCGTTAATTTGCCATCTATTGTAAACATTGATAAGGCTACGGTTGGGGCACAAGGAAAATGCTGCGCCGCTGCTGCGACTGCTGCGGTATCTGCCGCGACGGTTCCAAATTTACGCTAAGCAGCAAATTGACTCACGACACTTGCTTGTTGCTTGCCACATACTCTGGACTTCGCATCGCTGCCTTGAAGGGCTTCACATGATTAATATAAAGTCACTTGGTTATTGTTATCTTAAACTGTGTTACTGAAGATTGATCTATAGTGTGTTCCAACTTCCGAGTCCCAGATTTCAGACTTGTGCATTCTGGTTTCTGAAATGATACGCGAACGCAAATCCACCACTGAAGTATGTATTCCAATACACGAGTCTGCAATACTATGATGTGCAACGTAACTGCTGAAGTACCATGTGTTACACAGCTCGAGTTCATTTCCAGCAAGCAAGTACACTAGTGTCGCAGCACCTTGTCGTGGGCGTCGCAGTCATCGCGGGCGTCGCGGGCACCATGTCGCAGCACCACCCAAATATGGCAAAAGAAGACGCCTGCGACGACCGCGACGCCCGTGACGCCCGCAATGCCCGCGACGCCCGCGACAGATCAGTACTAGTGCCAGAATGTCAGTAGTAACTCGTATCCAGTTCCAAATCAAGTTCTTCTCTGAACCACCGGTATGCACTCTATTTTTTAGTGATGATCATACTACATATGCTAATGAAAAGTGTCAGCCTCCCAGTCAGCCCAAACCACGGCCCAGACAGCAAAACTCCCGCTCCCGCAAACAACTTAGAGCATCCCAGGGAATCGTCACCTGCCATTCATACAGAAGATCAATCCCAGCACACTTCGAACATCCCACCTCTGTCATTGAGTCAAGAATCAGAATATTCTGTGGCATGTCGATGTGGAATGACCGGGAATGGATATGATATGCAGCTCGAGGAGGGAATGATCAAGTGTGATGAATGCGATAACTGGTCACACATCGCATGTCAGCGTAATGGCCGAGCTAGCGGTCTTCGTTCACGAGAGAAGTTCGTGTGCAGCCACTGTAATACTGATGAGCTTGTGCCATGGCGAACTCCAGCGTCACAAGGACAACCACCAAACCGCCGGTTAGTTCTGAATGACTTAGTGTATCATATCTTTGACTGACTGAGCCCAGGAGTCGTCGTGAAAAGGCTTCAAAGGTCCCTTTGGCTAAACGGTTGCTGTAAGCACACGTTGCAGCTATTATCTTGCATGCAATGTTGACACAACCACAGTGCAGGAAAAGGAGCACTCGCTCGCCATGATAAATTTTGGTATCCTGTCAGACTCATTCAATTTCACAGGGAGACAGATGCATGGAAAGTGCGGTGGTGGCGCAGATGTAGGTTTCCTGCAGATAGACCTTTGGACCCGCAGGTCGTTGTTCAAACAACAGATCTGGTTGATGAGTTATGGCAAGACAGGGCCGGGAGGCGTGCAATTCGGGTATGTTGCTTGTGTTACAGTTGCATTCGCATACTGACAAACGAGATTAGTTTGGTCAATGGACACATGCACATGATATTCCTGTAGGCGAAGACATAATCTATGCTTTCCACAACATACCTTATCCGCCCGAAATGGATACCATACTCGGCGCCACACAAATCCACGCTACAGCTCCTCATCAGCCTTCCTCGCCTCGAAGATATCCAACATTTGCCTGTCGGACGTCATCTACAGCAGCGGGGAATAAAAGTGTCACTGACTGGGGGTTACACTGTCAAGTATTGCGGTGACCTGACCGCAGTTCAACAAGCACAGGTAGCTCGTTGGCGATTTGATAACATCAAAGACGCACGAGAGACTGTGGTGCAATGGTTAGGGTGTGCAGCATTTGCTCACGCACTCAGCACCATGCTCGCATACAACAAGCGCAGCATATTGGAGGCACATCCCAACTACCCCAGAGATGGCACCGCAGATGCACAGGAAGAATTCATTCTCGGAGCTGCTTGGACAACCCTTTTGGAGCAGACCGGTAGAAGCACAGATGTGACCCACACGGATGTTGACCTGGAATGTCTGTTGGTCTTTGAACAGCGCCTGTTCGAGAATTCAGCTCAGTCGGGCTCTGCAGGAAACCATCAGTGGGGCCTAGACGGCGGACGCCGGGGATCATCAAGATGGTTGGGACCCATATGCTGGGCTTCCATTCCATTGGAACCACGAGGATCGTGACGAAGGAGATCCCGATTATGATGAAAATGAACTTGAGGTATGATGCGTTCTGACTTTTGAAACTGTCCTAGTTAACAATCATCTTAGCGCGGGCCAGATTTCAGTGACAGCGACAATGTCAAACAACGGACGTCAGCAACTCGGAAACGACAGGCAACAAAATCCCACGGAGAACCGAAAAAGCGAAGAAAAGTGGCTCTGACCGCGTCTTGAGATGATGCCATTGCCCGCGACTGCGCAGTCACTTGTTGAGAAGAAATGAAAATAACATTGTATGCAGAGGAATCAGACTACTTACAATGCAATATGAAAGATCGTTTAGTAACAAGATAGTTGTTTGGGAGACCTGACTTGTAGACCGGGAGTACTGCGAATCTCGATGATATTGCCTGACCGTGACTCTGGGAGCGTGGATATAGATATAAGGAATCGGAGCACCCTCGAGTCCATGGCTCGTTTGAAGGACAAGTACTGGGAGGTTCCAGTGATTAGCAGTAAGTAGTAGGTGTAGTTAATGCGCACTCACCGTTTAGGAACACCGCAGCAGTGGTCGCGGCAGATACCGCAGCGGTCGCAGCAGTGGCGCAGCATTTTCACTATGCCCCTATGGTTGTGATAGAACGCAGACGAGGAGCGCCAGATGTTACATAATATTTCGGAAATCTCCTCTCCAAAACACCATCACAGTAAATTATCAACATCACCGTTTCAACACAACCATTGTACTGGTGAATTAGGTTTTGATGATTTTGTCTTGATGTATCTGACTACACGTTGAAGGCTCTCATATGCATTTGGCTACTCGCATGTTTCCTATCTCGCGCCGTCATGTATTCTATTGCTTCGATGGTACGCAAATTAGTACGTACTAGACAGCACTTCAAGTGACAAGGCTCAACGACAATCATGACCTCCCATTGCAACACAAACTCACATTCTCATTCAATTCTCCTTAGCTAATCCTCGCATAGTATTTCGCGCAAATAAGTACGAGGCACAGCTTCAGCTGCTGCTGTGTATTAGGTTGAGTGGTGAAGTTGTGGAGAGCCAATGGTAAGTAGTACATGCACGAGGCATGCAGTGCATCCTGCTGTGTTGTGCACAGCTGCCTAACATTATAAAACTCTGTACAGTTCTACCTGTATTCCCTCTTACCTAGTATCCTCTGACACATCTGATCAAAATGCCCCCTTCGCAACAGATCAAGGATTTTGTCAAGGATTTGGGCAAGGTCTTTGCAGTTCGTTTTAGGCGCCCCAAAACGAATGGACCCAGATCGACAACCACCGGTCATGATGGCGATGGCTCCATCCATGCACAGACCCTCAGCACCTTTTCCTTTCCTTCCCCACCAGTACACTCTGCGAACAGCAGAGAACCAGGTCTCGAACCCTCCACCAATGTTCCATTCGCTAGATACTCTAGGAGTGTACCCCTTTCGCGCGAAGCTTCCGACATGGCTCAGCTGGTGCTGCCCTTGATACAGAATGTCACAAGTGCAATTCCACTTGTCGGCGCTCCGATGCAAGCGGCTATCGGTGGATTATTGACAGGCCTTCAAGCTATAGATGTGAGAGCTTGTATGAATGCGAGCAAGTTTCTTGATTTCAAAGGTTGCTACAGAGACGAAGCCAAAATCAGGAGGGCCTCAATAGCCTGATCTTACTACTTGATCGACTGAGCCGCGAATTGTGCAACACCTCGCCTTCCTCGGATCCTGTTGAACAGTCCCGAAGAGATTCCTTTGCCAGGTATCCACGTTATCAGTGTATTTTTGGATTCACTTGACATCGAGTTGCACTCAGAATGCTGCAAGACACCTCAGCCCGAGTGACAACGTTGCGTGAGCGCTGTCTTGCATCCACACCCGTCACACAAGCTATCGCTGGATACTTTACTGAAATTGACCGCTATCTGGCGGTGTATTTAGTAGTATTCTATCCTCCAGCGAATGTTTACATTCACTCACTACTCTGTTTGGTCAGTGGTCGTGTCAAATGCAAAGTCAACGGGAAGTACACGAAATGTTTGTGATTCTACAGAGGGAGCAGGAGGATCGTCAGAAATTCCTGCTGACAATCGAAAACCTGGTCGCCCGCGCACAGTCCTCTGGGGGACCGACTGCAACGCAATTAATTGGAACTGCTACACGTGGCTGTGTGACACTGATAGACGCAACAGGTCACCAATATCCAATACCGGTGGACTTCTGCACCTCATTTGAGGTACGGCTTTCACCGCAAAAACCCGTCTTGCAAAAGCATACTCATCAAGTTCTCTTCAGCAATTCAATGATATGCTCAAAGTTCTCTTTAAACGCAACTCGATTGAAGCTCAAATCCAGAGACAGTATATGCAGAGCGGACAGTACGATTTGTGTATTGACGAAGGCATGCAAGTAACTCGACTTAATTCCAACGAATGGTCAACACTGGAAGCGGGCACGACAGTTATTATGAGGGCCATCATCCAACAGCAGACGACATCATCCTCTGGAGTTTCCTACAGATGCTCTTGTGGTGGGGTGAATTCCCTTGGCGTTGAGTCTATCATGTATTCGCTTGAACGGCAGGCTGGTTCCTCGATTGATTGGTGAGTATGCTTTAAGTCTTCTGGGTCCTGATTACGTCTAACAACCGGCAGTCGAAAGTGCGGACGACGGTTTCAGATTTCTCGCGTATCTTCTCCTGAAAAGCGGAGTTCTAGTGCTCGTTCGTCTAACATTGACTCTGATCACAGAACTGACGCAGGGACGGATCTTATTCGCAACTTGCATATCCAGCAAACTGTGTGTCGCATGAGATTGTAATCTTACGCTGAATACCTAACAATGTTTCATTCTCAGGATATTTTAGTGGGTGATGTTGCCTTTTGAATTGCTTATTCAACATTGATCATGATGTCAGTCTCTTGACGGGGTGTTCCGGTGTCTGTGGGGGAACTGCAACCACATAATTTTTGGCCACCAAATTGCTCGTCACCTCCATATTCCGAGAAAGGCATCTCAGAATTGGAGATTTTTGCGACCCCTGCAACAGGGTATTCTTGCACGCGCACCACATCGACTTACACAAGAGAATTTGTACGGGTCTGCAGCAGTAGATGTCAGTGTCACGACTTTCTCCTGCGTATGACTGACACTGATTGTGCGATTTCAGGTATTGCTTCGGTATTTCGAATCTTCGACCTAGATTCCGGTGTGCCTGGTTTCCAAAGACTTCTTACTTCAAGAGTCTTTTTTGCTCCGGCATCACGGTGTTTACCCATGGTGTCTTGGGTTCAGCTAGTGCTTCTATCGATGTTCGGCGTTTCAGTCTTCCTAGCCACGAGTCCACGTTTAGAGTAGCAAGATGACTGCGATCGCGTCAAATTTTTGAAGTGCACGCCTGGTTTCAACACTTTTTGCCAGTGGTACCGCGAGCAAGTTTGTCATTTCTCTAGTTATGTGTCCGATGTGTTCAGGCGCCCTGCTATCTACCCATAAACGCCGACTCAGTATTGAGGCTGGAACCCGCAATTCACGTTGCAGCCCCTCGATCATTGACCAGTCAGTCTCACACAGATCGGTGTAAGAGAAATTGAAGGAGGCTAGCCTGTCGGCTGAATCTGAGAGCTGTTCATGAGGAGTGAGAGTGGCAGGTCTCGTAGATCCAACGACCGGAGACCACAGCAGCTACCTTGAGATACGATGTGACGGCGACACGCTGAAGGGTAATTTGTGATGATGTGCTACTTTATGTAAAACAAATTGAGTTAGTGTCCTCTAGAACAAACGAAAAAAATCGTTCCTTCTATAGATCTCTGCAAATTGAGGCGTCCGTCGTCACAGTAAAACTCACCTCGAGCTCCCATCAATCACCTCATAAACCCAAACAAAAAAGTCATGACTGTCATTAAAACCGAAAGCACACAGAAAGGCACACCTGCATAAAATACGTATATACTCAAGTAAAAAGAACGCATAAACAACGACAAGAAACGCAGATCAACAATTTGACGCGAGCGTGACAGAGGAGAGAGAAGAAGAAAAAAAGTATAAAATAATTGTAATGCGATGCGATGCGTGGATGCGTGCATGAACGGGTGGTATGGGGTTGGGTTGGGGTGATATGCTATAGCGAAGGATATGGAAGTATAAAGTTGAAAAATGAATGCGTTGCGTCAAAGAGAGCGAGGGACAGAACAGACAGACAGATAGACGAGACACCCGAACCGTCCAATGCATGCACATTCCACACCGGAAATACCTGATACTCGATACGTTTTATCCATTGCAAATAGCACATAGGGAAACGGGAGTGGGAATAGAAAAATACGCACTCCTCACCCCCTCAATACTTGCTTATTCTGGTTTCATGCGATATATCACGGCAGCGGCCGCGACACTCAGGACGAGGACGCCAATGGCAGCTGTTATCGTTGTTGATGCCGAATGCAGCTACGCTCAAAGCGTCAGTACTAGTGATTATATGCATGTAAAAAAAATACTCACCCGCTGCGTCACCTCCGTCTGCGTCTGCATTTGTAGGTGCACTTTCTGTCCCACAGTATCCGTACCCCCGGCATCGGTGACAGATGATTCTGGAGTGAGAGGTTGCACGCCCTCGTGCTTCTCCAACTCGCCCTCTGCCTCAGGCTCGCTTCCCACAATCGACGGTCCAGGTGAAGGAGATCGTGATCGACCTGCATCACCGTTCAAAATCCCATTTCCATCCTTGTGCGCATCATCATCCAACTCGATGGAAGACACAGATGGAGATCTCGAACGTTTTCGTCTTCGCGCTTTCCCCCGACCAGGATTAGAAGCGACGCTCACAGGACTTGGAGGCGTCACCAGTCCTCCACCTAAAGGGTTCGTCCCGTTCGCGGTATGCAGCTTGAGATCACCGTTTTGAAGTCTTGCATGCGTTTGCGCTTGTACGTGCGAGGCAACGACAGTCGATACCCGTGCGTCTAATCCGTTTTCTAGCCCCTCAAAGGCCCGGCGTAGCCGTTCACGCTCTGTCCCCCATTCTTCTTGAGCTGCGCTCCATTGCCCTTCTACACCCTTCTTCCACTCTGCCATTAACGCGGTCAACCCTTCCGCAGGATCCGGTTGCTGCTGTTTATGCGCGCGAAGCTGGGCCTCTACCGCACTTTCTACGGCCTTGGCGAGTTGGGCCTCCACAGCTGCAGCGATCTGCGTCTCGAACTGCCGGTCTGCAACCAGCGCCTCCAGCGCGGTGATCTTGTCCTGCAACACAGTGATCGTGCCCTGAGCGGCAGCATGTTGCGCCGCTAGGGAATGGTTGACTTCTACAGCGCTATCTATGCGTCCGCTAAGAGCTACTAGCCGTGCTGAGAGCTCGTCTAGTGCAGGGTGCGATGGCTGTGGTGAAGGAGATCGTGGTCGTGGTCGTGATGTCGAAGGTTCAGTATCCGATGCACGGGCATGCATAAGCTCGTCCTCGTCCATTCCCATCCCCGATGGTTCTGGCGTCCGCGGCCTACCCAGCTCCTCCCTCCTCTGTGCACGCTCCCTATCCTCTTCGCTCTCATCCTGTTCTTCGCTCTCGTCCTCTTCCTCGACGCGCTCCAACTCATGCGGGGTGACTGTACGAATGCTAGATCCGTCGTCATCGTCTTGTCCACGGCGACCGCGCTCCGAGTCTATGTTCATACCATTGTCGTGCTGGGAACGTGCGGATGAAGCATGGATGAGGTCGCGGAGAGCTGCAACCTCGGCCTTAATGGCCTCGTGCTCTGCAAGCATGTCCTCGAGTGCGCGGACCTTGTCGACATGGCTTGCGAGGCTGGCTTGGGTCTCGTGCAGCTCTGTGCGCAGCTCGGAAAGGGCAGGGTGCTCCGGGGGAGGTGCAGGAGGTTCTGGATTTGCGGGCGCGGCAGATGCGGGTGCGGGCGCAGAGTTTGCAGAGGTTTGTTGTGAACGTACGGGAGGGAGTGATTGAGGGAAGTGCGGTAGGTTTTGGGGCTGTGGGAGTGGAGATAGTCAGTATGTATGGATGTAGAGAGTAATGGAGGACGGACCACCGAGCCACCGAGCGTGTCGTGAATATCATTCATCACAGTGCTTAGGGAGTGCAGTTCTGTACCGGTCTCGCGACTCTTCTGGAGTTCACCCTGAAGCCTACTTAATATGTGGTCAAAGGTTAGGCCATTTTTTCCCGGTGGACGCATACTGCCGCCCATACCACCGAGCTGGCTCTGTAGGGCAGGGCGGCGCTGTGGATGTGCAAAGCTAAAGTTATTACCACTTCCAGATGATGAAGTGGCGGGAGGAAGGACGGAGGGGATATTGGGAGGAAGAGAGTTGGATGATGGGATGGCCTCTACGCGGGCAGCGAGGTGCGCATCTTCGTCTGTGAACACACACATGACGCGTGCAGCGACTTTGTGGTGGATTGTGGTCTTGTTGTCTTCACCAATGATGTCGATACCGAATTCCTGCGAACGGGTTGGGTGGGTCAGACGGGGAAAAGTGAGGGAAAGCATACCACGATATCATCATTTTTGAGCTCAAATGGCTCGGACTCGACTCCTTCTGGGCTGAGTCGCTCGCCGTTGATGAACGTGCCATTAGAACTTTTCACGTCTTTGATGTATATCTTCCGCCACGTCCGTCAGTCTTCCCCTCGAAAACAGGGAACAAGACACACCTTTCCACTGTCCTCCCAAATCTCTGCATGTTGTCTGCTTAGTACTTTTGAGTCAAAATAACCGTTTCTCTCTCCTGGGATTGTCTTTGTGTTTGTCTGGCGCCCGATCTTTACGCGCTGGCCATTGTGAAGGGAGATGTGTTTCGGGATAAAAGTGTCGTTTAGAGGATAGAGGTAGAGAGAAGGATATGGCGGGTGTACATGTGGAGAGGAGAAGGGTTGAGTCGGGGCCATCGCTGCTAACGGCGGTCAAGTAAATTATCGTCAATCCCTTCTAGCCGCATCCCACATCCCACTTCAACGCTTATGTAATAATTACCTAATTCGTCCATCCTCTGCGCACGAACCGGTCAACATTCCTCGTGCCCAGTATCAAGCAGACATGCATCTTTCATTTCTGATCCACATTCATGAGCGGCGTTTTCTGGCGAAACAAACCTGACCACTTAACTGGAATCGACCAATTGCGAATATTTTAACATTTAAATATTCAGGAGCGTGACCAGGTGAGTTTTTCCCATTTCATCACTCTGGTGCCCCACGGACATTGAGCAAGTATCAACATTGCTTAGGCTCTCGCTAGCACGAGCGCGCAACCACTTCTCTGTCTACGGGAAGAAAAATACAAAACAAAGACCCCTTAGTGGTTTGAATGACGAAATTAACTGCAACACGACCTTCAACATGTGATACAAGCAAGCCTCAAGGCGCCTACAAGCACGCTGTGCAAACTTTGTCATCTAAGCCGTAAGGCTATCTGGTCTCCCAACTACCTCCACCATAACTACCTCTCTTTTCGCCGTATTGTTTGCGTAGAGCTATATTTGTGTATTTGAGTATTATGCCTTTTAATCATCTCTTCGTGAATATCTTTATTAAATCTATGGATTTAAACAGTTCTCCTCGTCAGCAGATTCCATTAGGACGTGAGGATGAGACCCCTCGTAACCCTTCCGCTCCATCTCTGACCAGATGGTCTTCTATTGCGGGTTGTGATTGATGGTTGTGTAGTGGCAGAAGGTTGTCCTCAGGTGAGCGGTATTGCTAACTCCTGAAGATCACAATTTGATTGATATGTATGTCCAAGACCTGCTTCTATCTTTAGGTCGGAGTCCCGATTGAGTCAGAATGATAGCCACATTCTACCTTCTGCCATAGACGTATCGTTCTCAGATACCACCAGCCCGTGAGTGATATATGCTAATCTTTGTCTATAAAGGCGAGATGCTTCGCTCTGTCACACTCAGATGTTGTCTCCTTCGTGTCTTAGGACGGGTCAACGCGCGCTTACAGATCCGACGGCTCTAACTCACGTGACCGAACTGTCAAGATGCGGTCTCCACAACTGTCAACAGTCAACTACTTAACTTTATTATGGACACACGTGGCAGGCGCGCCGGCTACGTTGACTTCTACCCAGCCTCGGATAGCCCATAACTCGTCACGACGGGTGATGACCGGACTATCAAGATTTGGGACTACCTTAGCAAAAGCTGCGTGCAAACGATGGAAGGACATACGAACGACCCAAGCTTTGCTGTATTCCACCCCAACGTGCCCATCAGCAGTGAGGACGATACCGTAAAGATATGGAATGGCAATAGTACCTGAGAACACCCTCAGCTATGTGCTCGAGCGCGCATGGTGCGTCTCGCTGCGCCGAGATGCGAATGAGGTGGCTGTCGGTTTTGATGAGGGTATTGATGTGACCAAGGTCTATATCTATCGTTCACATGGGGATGGAAGTGGGGAGACGAGTTAAGGAAACGGCTCGCAAGATTCTGATCACTTTCTCAAGCTTGTCAAGTATCGTTCTTGATGTTTAACCTCGCGGCCAATTATATGTTTGCTTTGTCCTGAGCTAAACTTCGTCGTGATATGCTATGCTTTCTTTTCCTCCGTGATTCTGTGAACTAAGGTAGCATGTTACAGATTGTACACTGGCACGACCATGGCTTATTTTGGACCAAATGCAATTTGTTTGTTGATTTGTCGATTATAATGTAGCCTCTCTATTGAACACAACTGAATATCGGGATATAAGTATGTGCCAGTGTCGGAGGTCGGATATTCTGGGATCGAAATACTTTGCGCAGACTGCACCCAAAGTTTTGCCAGTTCTGTTTGTGAGCGACAAAACTGATATCCCCAAGTAACCCTACTAGGCTAACAAGTATGTGACACATAGTTACCCGTCTTTCTTCGCTGGCAGACTCTCGGATGCCCAGGTCGACTATTTATCCCCGAGGAAGTTTTGTGCCACTCTCCAGTTCGTTCTGGGACTTCTGCAACTTCTACTAGTAAAGTGGCTAGGCACATATCCGACCTTACGCCGTAATGGCGCTACTAGTAGTGCTAGCACCGCGCTGCAACGATTCGCGTCAAGTGCCAACGTTTGGCTACCCAAGGTATGGAACATCCCAAAAACATTTCCATGCCGACCAGATACTTCTATAGTGCGCGTGGTTTTTCTACCAAGCCTGTTCGAACGGATAGCCTTTGCGCAAAGTATCGCAGATGAGTCCGGGGTGAAAGGACGGATAAGTCAGCTCGTGAACAAAAGTGATCAAGCTTGTTCCTACTAGACAGTAAGACTGGTCGTGCAGGACGGCGCCGACAATAGTAGTTTCGGTATACTGGTCCAATGATAAGCAACGACCATAAGGGGACGCTATTTCAAATATCATCATCAAGCGCCGTTCGACCAGAATGTCACCTAAAAGATTCGCAGGCGATGCTGGCATCGCGAAGCTCATTTGAATGACGTTATACGATTGTTCGGTTTAGCCCCGCATGAGGGTATAAAGCTGGCATCTACTAGACCCTAAGGCCCATTTTCATTTTTTGCACCCCACCAACAGTTCGAGCAGTATGAAAGTCACTCCAGCTTCCGTCACTCTTTTAGTTGTTGCCGCCCTCCATGACTTCTGCGTGGCCGTACCTGCTAAACGTGATGATAGCAGTATCCCAACAGGTGAGTTCGTCGCTTACCCCATCTGACTCAATGATATCATATCACTGTGTTCTTAGACATTCAGATTCTGAATTTCGCACTCACACTTGAACACCTCGAAAATGCTTTTTACACTCAAGGCTTGCAGAAGTATACCCAGCAGGACTTCCTCAATGCAGACCTGCCCACCTGGGCGCGTGGACGATGGAACGAAATTGCACAACACGAGTCGACACACGTGTCGTTCCTCGAGAGCGTAATTGGTGAGCAGGCGGTACAGCCATGCACCTACAGTTTGTGAGTAGAGATTTCATAAGAGCAATCTATACGTCACTGAATGGGCTGTGGTCGCGTTAGCCCTGACACGGACCCGATTTCTTTCGTCACAACTAGTTTCATGTTGGAGACGGTTGGCGTTTCAGCATATTCTGGTGCGGCGCAGTTCTTGTCCCAGTCGGTAAGTTGTGGACCAACCTTAGGGTTTGATCGTAGTCGTGTATTTATTTTATCATGCTCTCAGGATTACATTACGTCCTCGGGTGCTATCCTAGCTGTTGAAGCAAGGCAATCGGCGTGGATCAATTCAGCGATTTTGAAAGCTAACCCGTGGAACACTGCGTTTGACGTATGTCATCATGCTGGTCGCTAATGATCGCTACTCACATATATCTGTCTAGACCCCACTAGACCTCAATCACGTGTGGACACTCGCATCAGGCGTCATCGTGTCATGCCCTTCCTCTAACATGCCACTGCCTGTGAAAGCGTTCCCCGCATTATCTTTCCCTGCTGGTGCTCAGCCGGGCCAGACTGTCCAAGTTTCTTTCAACGCAACAACGGTATCGTCGGTACCTCCACAACTTTATGTTGCGTTCATTGCTGGCCTCGGCGCTACTTTTGTGCCACTGAGCTCTCAAAACACAGTTGAGATTCCATCGACTTTACAGGGTGTCGTGTTCCCTATAATCACTTCCAGTAGTACGGCGGTGACTGACGACGTGACGATTGCTGGACCCGCCTTTTTGAGTTTCCACTTCAACGCTGCTGGCGAGGATGAACTCTAAAGTCCTCTTTGTGGTTATGCTGCTGTATCGGATTTTTTCTTTTTTCTTTTTGGTTCGTGTCTAGTCTATCGATGGAAATTTAAATATATCTACTCGCCAGAACATTCCCCGTAGTACTTATGTGTACGGACACATGTTGTTTCTTTCGCTAGAGCGTTCTGTGCGTCATGCACAATTGCAATCTAGATGTGAAATATTCTACAAATACTGTGTTCCGTATATTGTCCTCCAGGCAATCTAGCAACGTCTCAGGCCTCAGGTGTAGGCAGCCGCAGACCAGCTTGATAATATCATAGGAGGATAAACGTTCCTTCATTGTCGGCGTATCGGCCATCACTGATCGTAAGTCTCCCCCTGCAGGGTGCTTTACGTGGATTGTGGTGGTTTTCCAACGTTATGCATTATGCAGGACTTTATAGTATGACTTTATATTACAATATAACGAAAACAGATCATATATGCCAGTATCTGCGCCTCACTGACTCACTGACGTGCATCATGTGCTTTGACTGACTCCGAGTAGGTTCGGAACCAGTTGATGACAATGTATCATGTTACCCTCTTACCTTTTACTCTCCAGACACATAGTGTCATCCTCCAATTTCCTTGCGATTTGATCAACCCACAGATTTGATTGCATTTGGAGGCTGATAATGGATGACTTGATCCAAATTTTGCCGTCATGGATTATAGCCAAGGGGCGGCTGACATGGGCTGACACGCCTGCTAGTACACATAAAATGTTCCTCTGGTATTCTTTGTGAGCCGCTTCTCTTTTCTTCTTTGGACGATACCCACATTTTTCAGCAAAACCCTACTGTATACCCTTGTATTATTAGCGTTTCACGATGAGGGTCATATTGACGTTTCTCGCCCTTGTCATCCTTTCCTCTTCCGTTCTCTCCCTTCCCTCAGAGCGGCGTGACGGCGATAGGGCACTGACGGGTGAAGTTAATTTTATTTCTCGAAGCTTTAAACTGACGAATACTACAACAGAGATCCAAGCTCTAAATTTTGCTCTCTCCCTCGAACACTTCCAGTACTACTTCTACAAACGGCTGCACCAATATGAGCCGCAGGACTTCTCCAATGCTGGTCTACCGCCCTGGTCGCAGGGGAGATACGCACAGATATCCTCCCATGAGCTTACGCATGCTCAGTTCCTTGAGAATATCCTGGGTGACAAGGCTGTTCAGCCATGCACATATAACTTGTCAGCTCGTTTCTTATCCTTCTTTCACGTGTGGCCTGAATGAACCCTCCGTCAGCCCAGACTCCGATCCGAGATCATTCGTGAAGACCAGCAACATTGTGGAAGCAATAACATCCTCTACGTATACAACTCTCGCGAAGTATCTCTCCGATCCTGTACTTCGATTTCTATCGCTCTATATTGGGATCCAACTCAAAAGCATTTTAGGACTATGTCATTTCTATCAGCTCTATTCACTCCGTGGAAGCAAAACACTCAGCGTGGATCAACGCGGACATGCGTGAAGGTGCTGCTTGGAGCACAGCATTTGATGTACGTGGCATCTCTTCTCTCAACATACATTTTGAGACCAACAATCAACAGGCGCCACTGAGTCTGAGTCAACTATACACGATGATGAGTGGCTTCATCGTATCCTGCCCATCCTCCAATTCGCTGCCGCCGATCAAAATATTCCCCTCACTCACGTTTCCCTCCTACGTTATCCCAGGACAGACTGTACAAGTGTCGTTTTCGCCCGCAGCTCCGGAACACGATTCACACACGTTGTACGCCTGGTTCATCTCAGGGTTCAAAGCGCTCGTTGTACCTCTCAACGCTGATATGACGGTCACCATCCCGGATACGCTGCAGGGTTTTGTGTTCTCGGTAATCACGAACAACAGGGAGAGCGTGTCCGACGATGCTACAGTTGCTGGGCCAGCGTTCTTAGTCTTCGATTATGACTACCAAGGAAACGATCAGTCGCTACCCATGTAAAGAAATCAATGATTTCTCAAGTGCGTCCGAGTCGTTAAACTACATTCCATCGACTTGTACATTTATTGCCGAAACCTACTTCAATTTTCTCCACGATCAGTATCGGGATGCTGGAGCTCCAGGTTCTCCGCCTAATGCAACGATAGCGTTTGCTGCCACCGACTCACTCATTGCACCAATGTCAGAAGCGACATTAATCTACATGACGCAAAAGGAGTGAGCTATAAACGCGGAATTTCAATCAAGTGATCTCACTATGTCGAAGCCTTCCTCAGCACGCTTAAGGGCCTGCTTTCCTGAGCTGCAGTAAATTGCGCTGGGTCATAAACGGATCAGTGGCAATTAAGTAGCAGGAGATTCAGCACACATGCTTACCACTTCTTTCCTTCCTTGTGTGTAGCTTTGAGAACATGTTGGATGACAGATTCCACGTCAGGGTGTGGATCGGGAGAGGGGGGAGGGTATCCCAAGGACAGGGAAAGATCGTAAGGACCAATGAATAAGCAATCTAAAAGATCATATCAGCGATGTGCGCAATTACTTATACCCAACTCACCAATGCCATCCACAGCAGCAATGGCCTCAACATTTTTCACGGCCTCCGGCGTTTCGATTTGTATCATAACAACTACATGTTCGTTCGCAGATTTGATGTACTCGGTAGCATCGATGCCCCAGACGCCATGAGTGAATGGACTTCCAAACCCGCGCCGGCCTCCCGGAGGGAAGCGACTATCGGCCACAATCTCCCTCGCCTTCTCAGCATTAGAGACCTACAGCCCAGCACAGGGTCTAACAACGTTCCGTTCCATACTCTTCCAAAACCACTCACCATAGGAACAAGCACACCCCGTGCGCCTGCATCAAGCGCGTATTTAATCTGCCACGACGTACTATTGCTGAAACCCGTGGCTGGGATTCTCACGAGCGGGCTCGGCGCGTTGGGTCCAAGACCAGTGATAGCCTGAATGGATTCTGCAGCGCCAGGCTGGAGCGATGTGAGGCCGTGTTCGCAGTCTATCATCACCCATGAGAGGTAGGGGCTGGCTTGTGCGACCGCGCGTGCGTTCAGGATACCTGGGAGGGTGATCCAGGCGCCGAATGCAGGCTTGGAGGCCTTGAATGCTTGCAGGAGTGCGTGCGTTGTCATAGCTGGAGATTGAGCGTATTCGGGTCTGGAGATGGGTTTATATAAGTAGGGCTAAGATTATAGTCATGAGGGGTGTTTTGCGGACCGATTTGAGCCGCTGACGCCTTAGTGCTATTGAACTTGCATCATGATCATGCTAAATAAGCCTAGATTTATGTAAAGTCATTCAATTTGAGAGCTGTTGGGGGTATTCAAATGGTCATCTGAGTTAATTTCACGAGAGTGTGTGCTGTACATTACCTGTCCATGCGCACTGCAGCATCGTCACTTAGATGGAGAAACAAACATACAACGACCGCAAACTCAATAGACAGAATCAATGATGGAAGATGCCGGGTTAGGAAGTGGCATCCATCTGGCGGGTCTTCAAGCCTACCAATAAAACGAAATCCATTACATTCGACTGGTGATAAAAGGAGCTGTGATTATGCGTGCTCGGCGGCAGTCGCAGGTTGTATGGGAGTAAAAGTATCGCGAGGGCGCCATTCACGTTCTGTTGTCCAGTATCGTATCCACCTCCACTCCTTTCCCGTCTTTTTATGTACCTTCTCGATCGTCTTGAGGGCGTCCAACAACCAGATATTGGGTTTCTCTGCGTATCTTGCCCTAATCGCTCTTTCCTGTGGAGCCTTGACGGGAGGTTTGTCTTGGACTTGTTTGTGGAGCTCTTCGTACAACGCCTTGGCCACGACACGTGCATTTGCCGAATTATCTTTGAGACATGCGACATAGAGCATGGAACAAGCAGCCAGGTCAGATGAGACAGGTGGGAGCTTGTAGACACCAAATAGAGCTGCGACAGTCATAGAGTCCGAAAGCGGGCGCTTGTCATAGACGGAGTGCAGCATATGTCGCGCGGCGAAGAGAGAGCTCAAAGCCAGACCGTATTTCGAATGGTCTCCAAAAACCTTGAGTGCGAGCGTCGGGCAATTCAACTCCTCACAGCGACCTTGGTTTATATCAGCAGAGAACGGGGCAGCGACAGGGCACTTGGACTCACGGATGAAAGCCTCTGCGTGTATGGGGCGGAACTCCTTGCCCGAGTCTCTCCACCTCGGAAACAGCTCTGCAACTATTTCCAGCTGTTCTGACGAGCTTGCGAGCTGGAACAACCGAAGCCATGCAGTTTGGCGCACTTGGCCGGCTTTGATAGCGCGTTTGCGTCCTGTGCGGTTGGTCACGTACTCTACAAGTTCGTAGAATTGTGGTTCTCGACGCGCAGCGGCGTCCTGAAATTTAGCTTTTTGGACGGTAGCAGACTTGGAGGGGTCCGTTTCAGATGGAGTCACAGACGAGAAGAGGTCGTCATCCCTGGTCTGTTGAACTGCGTAAAATTTGTTGAGCACTTGATGATGCTCTGCTGCCGTGCACCTCACCTGCAGTCGTCAGATGGAAATTTCTGCGACACACTGATCGATTGGCGGCGCTTGCTAGTCGAAAGAAGGCCTGTGGCCGGGAACTTAAGGAGAAGAGGCTGGCCATCCTACGGTGCATCATTCACAAGCTTTGCGGCAGAAACATGAAACTGAAATTTCTTGTCAAACATTGCCAAACAAAGGTTATTTGATAATATCATTTTTGATTCTTCTACTCACCCATGTGCAGGCTCAGCGCTCCGCAGAATACCCGGAAAGTCATCAAATTTTAAGACTCGAAGGCCGACGACGCGGAAGGCACGAATCCCCTGCAAAATGTTTCAGATGAATAACGCTTCTTCGCCCAACGCCGGTGATATCTTATCTCAGACTTTGCGTCTCATTCCAACTGTCCGATAGCTAGGCCTCTTATCTGGTTTCATTCCGCGAGCATTTATTGATCACTAATCATGATATCGTCGGGAAACGGTTCGACTTGATCGGCTCTGTAATGGATGTCTTTCCATGAATTCGTACTTTTAGATTTCGAGGATACGATACATCGTGGTGTAGATTTTCCCTTGACCGGATCACTAGTACTGACTTGTCTCTCAAATTAGCCGCTCCGTTCTATCAGTGAACTTCAGCTCGTGCACGAAGGCGTACAGCACCGCAGATCAACACTCGGAGATCTCATACGTCGATGATAACTCCGTTGCTGTACTCATCCGACGGGCAGCCGCAGAAGTCTTGCTCGAGACCGGTGAATTATTCATATTCCGTTTTTCACTTGGCTTTACGCATTTCACAACTTGCATGCTGTCGATCGTGTCTGTGACTCTCAGACGGCGATACCCTGATATTATCTGGGGTGTGCACGGCATGGGAATCACACAGACGATGAGTGCGATGAGAGTGTCTTGGGAGGTGATGTAGTCACCGTCGCTGGGGTGGAGAGAAGGTGAAAGACCGTAGGAAATCGTTAGCTCACACGAGCTCTGTAGCTCTCTTGTGCTTATTGCAAGCAAAGCCATCATGTGGCACGTCAGCAGCACGTCAAATCCGACTGATCTCAGGTTCAGGGCTCGCTGGCACCACTTCTTCGAATACAAGGGAGAATTCGGGTGTTCCAAACTTATCTTAAAAGTCCCCTGGGCAATTGGACTACAGACGTACGTTTGTTCCTGATATGTCAGGCTCCTTATTTTTTCCGGATGTGTTCGAGTTCACGTTCTATTTATACCGTGCTAGCGGTATTCAGCATCTACATCGCATAGCTGCGTGTCCATGTATGTCAATGTATTCCCCATCCGGGGATGAAGGCCTGATAATCGAGTTAGCCGGGTCGTTTTTGGGTGTGCGTCAACGTGGCCTATTCGCCCCACCGTGCAGCCAATTCACTGGGCGGGCTACACGTATTTTCATCAACCGTACAGTATCGTCATTGAACCCGTCCAGTGATTGATATCCCGGTTCCAAAGATAGAAATGTCCGAGGGCTTTCATTGGGATGAGGGTTAGTATACTTGCGAGGATGCAGACCACGTACTACCCGATTGCTCGAAGTAGGGATCCTCGGGGACTAGGCTCATTCACAGAACAAAAATAACAACGTCACGAGGACGGGGTGACTCGAGAGCCACACCTCTTAGCAGCATGTAACATGATTTATGAGCGATGCTCAGTCGGGTGATGGGCTGAATTTTTGATGCCGTATAGTCCATATCTTTGACGCCCGCTTCGTCGGATAAACTTCGGTCGTGTGAGCAGATGTGTTAGATGTTCCCGACGCTGACGCGTCGACGGTCGGCCATGTATTAAATAGAGTGTGACTACGATGAGGCCGTCAGCGCGCAGTAGTACTCTTTGTAATACTTTGCTTACTTACTACGCGTATTATTGTAGGATGGGGGCCGTTCTCCATATGCTCTGGTACGGAACGAATAGGTTCCGCCGGAGATGAATTTGAGGGACCATTGCACCCATTTGACCTTTTTACTGCTTCTCCCGCGACTGACTGCAAGATGTGACGGGCTGAAACGTCAACATAGCCCTGCATAGCCTACAAGCCAATCCAAATGACACTGCAAATGTACAGCAAGTGCTGCGAAGTGACGAATTCATACATGAAGGGGAATTCCGAACAAGCACTAGGCTGGTACTAGAGGTTCCGTCAGGTACACATGCTAGTACATCCGCGGTCAATCGTCCTCTACCTCTCCACCAAGACTTCAAGCTTGTCAAGTTGCCAGTAAAGCTCTCACGAAATGGTGACAACGATTCTCATGCAGGTGAGGATGTCACAATGTTTTCTGATCGTGTCATGACAACACTTTGTTCCTAATGAGTGAGTACCAGTTCGAGGTGAAGGAGTTGCATGTACGTAAATATAAGCAAGGGTCACTGTCGAAGGAAGGCGGGGAATCAGTAGCCAAACTCGGGTCCATGATGGGAAGTTTCTCTAGAAAGAGCTCACGTTGGTGTTAGTGTGCCATATGTCAATCAGGCCGAGCTTAGGTTTGACGAGTTAATTATGATGGAAAACAGCGTGACCAGACAGCCCGGCGGCGTTGTCAATCTGTTTTAATTTAAGAGTTTTATGAGGTACTTTGGAGTATTAATTTTAAGTATATCGCGCTAGTTAGTATCAATATTTGATCGAGGCGAATGGAGCTTATCGCGCGCCATGCAGACCGCTCTTTGAAAAAAAAAACATTGAAAAGGAAGGTGAGGGGAAGGTGGATGCCGCCTGAATTCAGACTCCGCGCAGGTGATGAATGCCGTACTAGTCGTCGTTCATTGGAGGATAAACCAAAGTACAGCTTATTCATCATTTCTCGTTATCTCTTGCCAAGTACTTAAGACAGCGGTAGCATGAATTCACGTACGGCAAATAGTCCGACGTCAGGTCCCACAGATATTCGTATATCTACCCACACCTGGCCTCCCTCCTTTTCCAAATACCGTACATTATCTTTCATTCGCAGGAACGTTAATTCGCCCCAGCCCCCATCTCATCGTCAACGCGTATTAAGGGCAAGATGGTGAACGTTACCTACGATGCTTGTGAGTCCCCTACGTCATTCTCCTAAAAAATACTCATCCCAGCGCTGTCCAGCTGGCGACCTCTATTCGTCTACTGGAACAATATTCAACTTGGGTGATATTGCCTGGACATTGGCATCAACCGCTTTAGTATGGATCATGATACCTGGGGTTGGCTTCTTCTACTCCGGTTTACTCAGGAGGAAGAACGCCCTCAACATGATCTATCTCAGTATGATGACCGTTGCTGTGGTTTCCTTCCAGGTCCGTCGCACTTTATGAGATTTTAACTGCGCTCTATGTGCTCATAGACATTGTAGTGGTTCTTCTGGGGCTATTCTCTAGCTTTCAGCGAAACTGCCAGCCCCTACATTGGCAACCTCAGTATGCTTTCCCTCAGAATTCAAAGTCTCCACTTTTGACCGCTATTCGTCAGAATACTTCGCCTTGCAAAATGTACTAAACCAACCTTCTATCGGTAGTGAAAGAGTACCGGCCATCGTATTCTGCGTCTTCCAGCTTATGTTCGCTGCCATCACGTACGTCATGATCAGTATCGTCTCTTATTCAGAACACTCATGTCACTCCAGTCCTATGATCGCCCTTGGTGCTGTCGCAGAACGCAGCCGCTTGGGTCCTCTCCTAGCTTTCGTTTTTATTTGGTCCACACTCGTTTATGATCCCATCGCCTGTTGGACATGGAACTCCCAAGGCTGGTCGTACGTCCTTGGTGGTCTTGACTTCGCTGGAGGTACCCCAGTACACATCTCCTCTGGTACTGCCGCACTTGCCATCTCACTTTACCTTGGCAAACGTCGCGGATATGGCACCGAACGCCTCGCCTACAAGCCTCATAATACAACTTATGTCATTCTGGGCACGGTATTCCTATGGTTCGGCTGGTTTGGCTTCAACGGCGGCTCTGCCCTCTCCGCAAACTTGCGTGCAACCCAGGCGTGCATTGTTACCAACCTTGCAGCAAGCGTTGGTGGTTTGACTTGGATGCTCTGGGATTATCGTCTGGAACGCAAGTGGTCCGTCGTCGGTTTCTGTTCTGGGGCTATCGCAGGTCTCGTTGCTATCACTCCTGGTTCGGGTTATGTGGGTTCTCGTGAGTTTTACTTTTTTAGAATCCGTTGAAATTTTTTGAGACATGAATTAGCGGCTGCTGTTTTGTTCGGCTTCATGGCTGGTACCGTCTGCAACTTTGCCACCCAGCTCAAGTTTATCTTCAAGTACGATGATACGCTCGATGTAGGTGAACATCCTATGAGTATGGAATTATCGATGCTCATTCTACATTAGATTTTCGCATCGCATGCCATTGGCGGTATTGTTGGCAACATCCTTACTGGTCTCTTCGCTCAAGCAAGCGTTGCTGGTGCTGATGGCATCGCTGTCATTCCTGGAGGCTGGCTTGACCACAACTACCGTCAACTCGGCATTCAGCTCGCAGATTCTGTCTCTGGGCTTTCTTACTCTTTCGTCATGACTGTCAGTCTCATGTTTCTCCGCCCTTCTTTATCTCACTCTTTGCTCGTCTATAGACCATCATATTGTGGGTCATGCACTTTATTCCCGGCCTCCGGATCCGTTGCGACGAGGAGACTGAGATCCTCGGTGTCGACGATGCGGAGATGGGCGAATTCGCATACGACTATGTTGCTCTTGAAAATGAAGTCATGCCTCGTAGCGAGTACAACGTAGGTGCGTCTTCCGGCAACCGCGAGCCGCAGCACAACGCCGCAACAACATCGCAAATAAGCGAAGAAAAACATCCTGGGGAGGAGGATGTCAGTCGTGTACAATAAGGGTGCATGGGGCCGAGGATAAGAAGACTGCAAGCAAGTCTACCACTCATTACGTTATAGTCTGGTTTCTTTGTTCTAGCGTATTCACACATTTTTGCATGTTCTGTTTTAAACAGTAACATGCGTGTTATTTAGTTATCCGGACTTTTTATTTAACTTTTAAGATCGAGTCACTTCTTGATGGACTGACTTGAAGGCTTGCCCCTTGTTAACCCAGTTACTCGTGATACCCTTGTGTCGTGTAAATACAAGAAAGCCAGAAATCAGAGTTCTTATGGATAAACAAAACAGTAATCATGTGCAAATGCAATTAATTTGCAATGAACAACCTAGAGTGTGTTTAATCTCCCGACAGGTGGGATCCGGACACTTCCTATCATTAATGTGGCAAAGACCGGGCCCCGCCTCTTTTCCTAGTCATCAATCTCAACTTGTGACGCGCGCTGCCCTCGCGCAAAACCGGTCCGTGAGTGACACTAGCGCCACTTCCTTCAATCCCTATCGTCATAGAGCTGACCTGAAGACCCTGTTGATCCAGGGTGTGATTGACATATGTCGCCACCCAGGAGGTTCTACATTGTCGGGCACAATCGTGGACGAAACCAAAGCAACAGGGAGTTTTGACAACGGATCACAAGGTCGAAGCTCATATATCGTTATCTAGATGACTTGCAGAATTGACGAGTCAACCTTGATAGCGACGCACCCGGAGAGGCACGCTTACACTCCCCTCGGTCTTGCCAGTACAGTGCCCAAGCTCTCTACGATCGGCACCGTTGTCCCATCCGCCATGTACAAGGACAATCCGGGACGAGTCCAAACTCGGTCAAAAGTCAAAACGATCCGGAACCAATAATCTTGATTCTTGACAGTGCACTGTAATGCAAAGAGCCTCCCTAGGCACATCCGCGCTCCATCCCGGAATATGAAAGGTAACCCTGCAGGGTTTCTCCGGAAATATGCGGACTTTTGAGCTAGCGGAAGGGTTGGACGTCTGCCCTAAGAGAACGGTTGAGTGCTGCAAGTGGGATGGTGGCTACCGTCCCCTTCGGAATGAGTATGCTCTTGGTAGAGTTGTTGGCAGCTGTACGCAAGGATTTGCTTGTCATGGTCAGCTTGAATGCTTTGAATAATTTTTTTTTGTTGGATACGCACTCATCGCGCAATTTCCTTGACTGCTGCGTGAAGGCAGGGAACTCTGTTTAGTACGGCATCCAGGTAAGGATAAACGATAAACGATCTTTTAAGGAAGCTTCTTTGTAATATCATCATGTAAGGGGGGTTCTCTATACATTTGTCACGAAGCTTCGTTTGAATGTCTGGATAAGTTCTAATGTGCCCACTGTAAAGTTGGAAAACAAAGTGACAGCAGCGGACTGTTTGAAACCATGGTGACTGATTAGAATGCAAGGAGTGGTGGGAATGCGCATGCAGTCTTTTGCTAGATGAATGCATGTGGTCTCAAAGCCCGCGAGAAGGAGAACCTTTGCCTGGCGATTACGGAGATCAGTGTCACATCGTTCAGGAGAGTTCTGTGAATTCGTATACCTCGTCTAATATTTCTTGTGGAGTCAGTCTAACGCTCTCACCAGATTCCTCCGCTTTCACTGAACAACAATTTCAGAGTTTACAATTTGAATCCGAAGGGCGGGACGCATACAACAAACCCAAACATGATCGGCAAATTATGCATATGGATCTTGAGGTCGATGACTGGAGGTTAGTATACAAATTTCTTACCATACCATTACATAGTTACAGACCGTAGTCAAACCTCATAGCGACGCACCCGAAGAGGCACACTCCCAGCCTCAGCACTCCCAACCGCCCTCGGCCTTGGTAAAGATCCCAAACTATCCACAATCTGCACTCCAGGGCCATCCATCTCAAACACAAATTTTCGCACGAGGACGAATAGTACAGCCTGCATGGACGAAACTAGACGCGGTCAAAACAATCAGGAATCAATATTCTCAGTGCGTACCTTGAACTCTGCCAATGCAAAAAGCCTTCCTAGGCACATTCGCGCTCCATCACCGAATGTCATTAAATGACGGTAGCCATGCAGGGTTTCTCTGGCACCGAGCATACCTTCATCCCCTTCAAACCACCGGGAAGGTTTGAATGCCTTTGCGTCAGGGCCCCACATGCTAACAGAGCAATTGAGTGCAGCGAACGGGATCACGATCACAGTCCCCTTCGGGATGCACACGCTGTCCATGAAGTTACCGGCAGCTGTGCGCAAAGGTTCGCTGAGCGGGATCACGTCGTCTTGTATAGCCTGTTGTAGTCAATTCGAGTAGTTTGTGTTGCATCTGAGCGGGATACACACCAATCGCGAGAGCTCTTTGAGTGGTGCATGGAGGCGAAGAACTTCGTTCACCACAGCGTCCAGGTAGGGAAGCTTATTCGTGAGGTCATCGTATGAGGGGGTTGGCCCAAACTCTAAACACTCGTCGCGAAGCTTCCTCTGTATGTCTGTATTCTGTGCGAGTTCTACTAAAGCCCACTGTGGAGTTGAGAAACATGGTTGGAGCAGCGAACACTTCGGAACTTACTGTCATGCTCACTGATTAAATTGGAGCAATAGTGAATATCTACTATTCTTTTGCGAGATGAATCCACGTTACCTGCAGTAGTCTCAAAGCCTGCGAGAAGCAGAGCCCTTGCCTGGCGGAGACGGAGGTCAGCGTCCCATCGTTCGAAAGAGTTCAATGATTCGTGTACCTCGTCTAGTACTTCTTGTGGAGTCAGTCCCGCGCTCTCACCATATCCCTCAGCTCTCACTACGCAACAATTTCAGGGTTGACAATTTCGCAAATGAACGGCAGAACTCACAAAGCAAACCTAAACATGATTTGTCTCCCTGCTCAGCGCCGCCAGTTTCATTTTCCTTGCGTGTACGCGATAGCATCTCCTGGCATATTTTGCCAACTATCAGGCGAAGCTTTAGGGAGAATCGTATGGCAGGCAATGGCAGCTTCAGGATGAAAGGAAAGTTTTGTGCCAATATGATCAAGTTGCTAGGAACATTGGTGGATGAACCAAATGCATCCAGGATGTGCCCAACGTCGGAGTCATTTCCATCGAGTGCGCCGAAGTCATGGGACAGGACGGCTATGCCCACGCTGTCGAGTCTATGTCGCAGGGGATGGATAAGACATCAGCCTAGTAGAAAGAAATGGATATACATACGAGATATGATTCATCCTGCATAATGTATCTGAGTGCGCAGGTACGAAACTTTGAAGGAGAACTCAGAAAAGTACCATTGTTGAACATCAATGGTTGCGCAATGAGTTCCTTGGTTCAATTCTATCTCATTGTCCCAGGCGATTGCTGTCTGTAACACATTTTAAGTGAAATTCAGGGTGAATTGGTTAGAGACCGACCTTGTGAGCGGCATCATGGAAAACAGATGTCAAGTTGCGAATGACAGCTGCGGTAAAGGCGGGGTTGAGAGCCTTGCGCTGCCTGACGGATGAAAGAGAATCGCATGGATTTAGCTCGACACAACTTGCAAGTCGCAATTCTACTAACCTTTGGTGACTTTCACCATCGGCCCACAACACTCCTCTTCCGATCTATCAGTTGCATAAGCACGCCGTTACACTATAGCTGTACAAGTAAAGAGACATACCACTGTTTGAACGACGATCTTGTTGAATGGAGTTTGGTTATACAACCATGTGTCTCTTGCAAAGAAATGAGATATTGCTTTCGGGTCCCATAATACGACCCTGGACTGTCCAAAGACACCCGGAACCTTGTACACTGGACCATACTCCTTGGCCCAGCGTTCGTACAATTCAGTTGTAGCGGTAGAATCTAGCATTGTCTTGGCGAAGCCAAACACCCAGCCTGGGCTCTGAGGTCCTCGTATATGTGTTGTTCGTTGTCTTCGGCGATAGACTTGCAGGGGATAGAAGAGCGCCAGTATCACAACCGCGATACGTGTCGTTGAGCCTGACAAGGGCGAGACAAGACAAAGGTCCTTGAAGGCAAGCCAAATACCCCTGGCGCAGGGCTTACTTTGCAACAAACCTATGGTATCAATCACTGGCAGTACCCGCTCTCAAATGTTAGCCACAGGATAGCAAGGGGGCGGGTGAGACAAAGCCAGCTCATACCCGTATATGTCTAAACTGGATTTCCAACCAAATGAAAGAAAAGAAGACATTTGCCAGCGGGTGGGCCCAGTCAACTGTTCGCCGAATCCCGATAAATATCCGACTTGGTTGAACTGACCAGTTTCACAGGGTTCAAACAGTCTGTCTATATCTATGGCTGTGACGGTTGATCCTGACCCTCATGCTTCAAGCTATTTGAAAGACTGGCGATCGTTGCTGGACTTTCGTGTTTGTCATCCTGCATGGCAGTGATTCGGACGTCCACATCGTAAGTGCTTCATGCAGCGAAACAATTTGCGGGTAGAACTGTGGGGAATAAATTCTTGTTGGGGTCTTATGGGAAGGCAAAGATAAAAGGTATCACCATCATGTAAGTACAGGACGGCAAGACAGCCTTAGACAGGTCACGATTACAGCAGAAAGGACAGAAAAAAATGATGACCAATAACTTACCGGCAAATATTCAACATCTTGAATTTGATCCGATGATATGGAAGACAGGACAGCCGCGCTCACTTAGGGTCTGTTCGGATACACAAATTTTGCCACGAATTTTCAAATTTCAAACATATGGTGCTTTGTAATGTTTGGGGGTCAGTGTGACATATGTGACAAAGCATATCAGCCCATCGATAACATGCCAGCTACGCGATCTAACACTAGATTGACTCGTTCAAGTCTCAGCCACCGTGGACGTTCAAAGAGCACCATGGTACGTGGAAAGAAGAGCGCACCGGAGTGTCAGGACCCTGAAACCAAGGACCGATGTTTCTGGACACTGGACGATGAAACACACCTCATCCAATACATCGCTACCCACCGAGCTAAGGGTGGTAACTAGTGATGTTCCGGCCCGGCTTAGGCTCAAAGCCCCGGCTTAGGCTTGGCCTCGAGGGGCTTAGGCTCACAAGATTCCTGAGCCTAGGCCGTGAGCCCAAGCCAGCCCAAAGCCGGGGCTTAAGCCCAACCAGGCCGCGGCTTTTCGCAGCCAACAGACAGCTCAAGACCACTGTGGCATTAGGCAGCATAATTACAATATATCTAGTAAATGTCCGTCTCAGTGTCTGACACATCCTCAGCATCATCGCCCAAAAGCAGAATGTCCCAACCTTCTTCGTCATCACCAGTCTCTTCCACTTCCACTTCTTCATCATCGTCGTCCAGGTGCTCCAACTCAACGAGAGACGATGGCGCAGGCTCCCAGAACAGAAGATCGTGTCGTAGTGCACATTTAAGACACTGGAGTGCTTCGACGATGTCGGCCTTAAGCTGGTTGCGTCGTTGAGGACTTCGCGAATTAACTTCTTGAGACTGCCAGTTCTGCTGGGCTTAGTTGTGTGCTGCGACGTCAATGATGTCACTTGGTTCAGCTGAAGATAACGGGCTTTGAACTAGTTGTAGCACATTCAGATTAAGTTGATAAAATGAAAAAGATGACTCACCACTGTCTCCGCAGTAGAAAGCACGTCATCGTGCAGATCCTCTGGCCAATGCTTCGTGAAATATGACATTTTCCCTGTGGGGTTGAGTACTGAAGTGCAAATGTCAGACTCGCAGTCGTTCATGAAAAAATAAACAACGTACACATTAACAATACATACGCAGCGGAGTGTGTCGTCTTCTCGTAATACTCATCTACTTTTGCGGCTGCATCTTTGAGCGCGGGAGCAAACTTCGCATATTTCGACCTTTCTGCGCGCGATGACCAAGCCTTGTGAAGAGTTTCGAGTGCCGGAATTCGATGTGAGTAACGTCGACCAACCGAAGCACAAATAAGACATGGCAACTCACTGCGACATATGGACCGTCGAAGCTGATAAGAGTGATGGAAGTCAGAAGGTCGAAAAGACAAAAATAGAGTCGGGAAACGTACCTCCGGTGAGGCTTCTATGGCAGTGCCACTGAACATACCAAAGCCACGGCTTAGGCCGCCGGCTCAGGCTTTTCGAAACTCAAGCCCAGGCCCAAGCCTTCCTCAGGCCGTGACTTAGGCCTGGGCTGGGCCCGGCTTATTTGGGCCCGGCTTGGGCCGGCCCAGGGCCTCAAGCCGAGCCGTGCACATCACTAGTGGTAACGGAATGAACTTTGACAAGACCTTCTGGACCTCTGCTTCTAATGAGACATCTAAACATACCACACAAGGTGCGCTGAAGACAATTGATGCATGCCAATCGAAATGGGTGCGGGTAAGTTCTCATCATGTTGCACCAGTACTAGAGTCTATACTAATAAGACCTCCAGCTCCGTAGCACGTTTGGTGTTGTAGACTCAATTGCGACCTATTCTGGATGGGAGTACAGTCTGGAGCATGGCGCCAACATCACAGCTGAATCTGAGACGGTATGGACTGACTACATGGGCTCATCGAAAGTGAGTGCTGTCAATACTCCGCTACCACTGGCAACTACTAATATGATCCAGGCTCCTATCACTGCAAGGAAGTTTAAGAATAAAGGCTGGCCCCACTATGAAGCAATGAAGGAACTCCTACCATCGCCAAATACACGTGGAAGCCGTGCTTTCTACACCCGCATGCCTGCTGACAACGCTGCGCTGGTAGGGGCTCCGAGTCACGCTACCTCTTCTCACCTCCCAGATGGCATCAGTTATGATGAAGCCAATATACTCGACCAGGAGGAAGCGTTGAATGACATCGAGTCGCAGGATGTAGATATCACCATGATGCCGCCACCCTCCACCATCATGACTGAGCCACCCTCTCTCTTTGATCCGATGCAACGGCCCACCTTCACTCCCTCTACACCAGGTACTTCTACCATTGCCAGCGGCAAACGAAAAGCAGCTGGAGAATCAGGTGATAACATGAGATCGCTTGCTCGCCCTCCGGGCTCTACGAAATCTGCATCCGAGTCAGGGAAGTCCATCAAGTCACCACGTGTGGCTGTCCCAGAAGCTTTCCAAAGCATGTCCAAGGAGATTCGTGGTCTCTCCACCTCCTTCGATCGCGCAACAGATGTCATGCATGAGTGCGCAACTCAGGTTGCCTCGCGCCCCACAGTGGATCCCATTCCGGTGCGCAAGCAGAAGGCTATCATCCAGCTACAGAAGGAGGGTCTGGAGGACCATGAGATCGTCGAAATTATCAAGCATTTCCAAGCAGATGTTGCCATAGCTGATTCGTACCTTGTCATTGAGAAGGAGAGCGTCCGGAAGCTTTTCTTATCGACATACTTGAAGTAAATTTTCGCTGTATCACCTTCGCATTTGATATTGTTAGTAGTAGTAGCAGCACCAAATACTATGACACTTTGCTGCTCAACCGTCTATGAAAAATCGGTGCAAATGACTACATAAAATTGACGCAAACGACTACAAAAGATTGTCCGCTATGACTGACTGACCTCTCTGCTCTCTCGTCAGATTGTAGTCCTCCCACATGCGAAGGGCGATCTCGTCACGATGTCGGTGTGCACGTGTGCGTGCCTCTGCAGTGGGAGGACCTTCTGCAAGTGTGCCAACATTATACTCCGGCTCATTCACATCAACCTGGCGGTAGTCCATCATGTCGTTCGGGTCGTGAATACGGATGACGTTGTGCACCAGGCACAGTGCCGCAGGTATACGAGCCTGCACGTCCATGTTATAATGAGGTGGGAGAAGCAGGATGTTGAAGCGGTTCTTGAGCACACCAAAAATACGCTCAATGACGTTTCGGAGCATGGCATGACGTAGATTGAATAATTCTCTGTGATTACAGGGCCTACAAAACAATGTAAGTACAAGTTAGCTTAAGTTGAACATTACTTACGCCTGATGTCCACAACCCCATTCAGCAAGATGGTAGCGTACTCCACGATACGGCACAAGTAGTTCATCGCATGCAGCAAATCCCGCATCAGCAAGATAGTATTTGCCTGGAGGGATGTTGAAGTCTGTAATGTGAGCATCATGATAAACACGTGCATCGGCCGCTGATCCCTCCCAGCCACTCAGTATGTAAAGGAACGACATGTTGAAGGAGCAGGCTATGAGACAGTTCTGAGTTAAGTTGCCTTTACGATCGCGAGTCACATCGCGATCCTTGCCACTAGGGTGGCATGCGATATGAGTACCGTCTATAGCACCGATGGCATTGGAGAAGTATGGGAAGAATTTCGGGTTTCGAAGGACTTCGAGAGGTGTTGGACTGTCTGCGCTGGGTAGCCGGACATACAATGAATAAATTGGGGGGGAGGAAAATGCGTTGAGAATACGTTTGAAATACCTTCAAAAAAAATGAGTGAATTTATCACACTGGGGAATCACATACTTTGATATCGTGTCATTGGAGCGTTGAAAGCGTTCACCAAGATGGCGAACAGAGAGACCTGTGACACTTGCATACAAGAAGATGGCGAGCTGCTCCTCAAGCGGGACATATTTTGAATTCCTGCACCCTGAATCATGAAGTAGATTCAACAGTACATAGAACACATGGCGCCGCACACCAAGTTCACATCGTATGCGGTCTGGATGTCCTGTGAGGAGCTCATTGACCCATGCCATTCCAGACAAGGCGGAAGTATGATAGGGCTGCTTGTTGTAGTGAGTGTGTGTGTGATCTTGGAGTACTTGGCCAGCAGCATCAGCAATAGCCATTGCTACACGAGCAGCACCGCGGAACATCGTGTCTATCCAGTGCAGCTCATTTACATCCAGCTGGTCGGAGTCCGCTGCATTAGCATGATTGGACTCTTCATCCAAACTGTCATCATGTTCTTCAATGACAATATCATCTTGGTCTAGTGGATCTAGCAGGTCTAGCATATCGAAGTCGGCATTGAGGTCGTTGGGATGCATTGCGTGGCACAATAGGCTCGGTGACCGCTATCAAATTCATTATCATTAGCATCAGCGTGACATCATTTTCGGTCTCCGACTATTTGGTCTTGTATGTGTTAAACTGGAATTTTGAAAATGGCTGATGTCCGAACAGACCCTTAGTCATGTCACAAACACATATAAGGCAATAGGACACCGTGCACTTCGAACTCGAATAAATAAGTTATTTACAAGTGTTCTTTCTGACTTGGAAGTGGCTCTGCCTGGCAGCGTTTCATATCATGATTACAAGGTCCATCGTAACTCGTCAAAATAAGTCTCCTAAGCATATACTTTCAACCCAAATCCTGGCCACTTGCAGTAGTGGTTACAGAGATGCTTTGCCTCAAAGTCGTCCACCACACTTGCGATGTTCCCATCACCAAAAAGATCGTTTCCTTCGCTGACCGAGCTAGAGAAGCAACACCAGTTAACAAAGGTCGCAATTCATAGTAGCTGAAAATGTACACACCGGTGGGTCAAAATCTGAGGATCAGTCAGAAGCTCAGTGCTGCCTTGATAATCAGAAATGAAGGCCAGACCCTCTGTCTTTGCGTACTGAATGTGCTGAGTAAATGCAAGAAAGACAGCTAGGTCATAGCCATATTCATCCTCATCGAGCGACGGTCCATAGTCCTTGTTGTGGATGAATTTCGTGAACGTCTGATCATCAGGAGTATCAGATGTCACCCGCTCCTCAAGGAGATATACCGCCGAAAACATCCCTGCCTTAACATCCGCCATGGGAGCTTGTTTGGAAGTGGCCTGAGTGTTCGACGAGTGGTGGGAAAATGCTAAAGCAATGCCTGCATCCACGAAACGCACACGGGGTATTTGGAAAGATGGAGGACTCGGTGCGGCATTGACACAGTGATCAATGTACTCATAAGTGAAGTTAAGGAGAGATTTTGCCCAGTACAACACGTTACTTTCATTTAAGAGTTTTTCGTGCTCATCTGCTAGTGCGTAACGTGAGATCTTGAGTGTACTGGATCCAGCAGCGTGAGAGGGAGGTCTATGAAATGGCCGCTTGACGACGACGACCTGCTGAGCGCGCGACCCGAGGCCACTGGAGGACAGGGGAGATAGTGTGAGCCATCCTGGATGTGCTGTCTTAAAAGCACCAATCCCAATCATGCTGCGAAGGGGGACGTATAGGATAGAAAGATGTACCCCAAAGTTGATGCCACGCCCACTTTTCTTCCGCGAATTCCCCTCGTATACAGCTGATATCTCTAGCGTAATGGTCTCTGCAGGGGGTGGAGCATATGCTAGTTTAGCCCATCGTTCACGCTCCAGACTATACTGAGCATGGTGCGCAGAATATCCTGCGGCACTGGATACCATGTTCTGGTTGGAACTGGCCAGTGATTGTTGCCAGGATAGAGGCACGGCAATATCTGGGCCTGAAATGCGGCCCATGTGCGCAGTGCTACTGGAGGGCTGAGACAAGAAGGGTACCACGCGGGGCGGATTGATACTGGAGTAGAGCCATTCTCTGGTCGTATCATGTGGATCCGAGTCTGGCATTCTAACCGCAACCCTCAACTCATTCTCACATACTATCTTGAGACCATCGAGAGACTAGGTCGTAAGTTCGTTTAAATAAGTATCTATCACACTGTTACTTATTAAAGCTGCCTTGCTTGTAGATATTCCGATGGTGACTCAGAGCGATCCCGGCACTGAAAACTACGGAATCACAAATGCTCATACCATGTTGCGTCAAATGTATGATCCGGCACTGCAAGGTACATTACAGCACTGCTGGATGCGGACGAAGAAGAATGTGAAACCGGAGATTACCTGGTCTCAGTTACGGCGTTGGTTTACTCCTGGTTTTGAGACACTTTTGGATGAAGGAGTGGAGAGTGGCTGGTATGATAGCGATAACACCCTTCAGGTGTAAGTAACTTTCGCTCTGGCTTTCCGACATTTTGATGCTTACAGTCATACATTTAGCATGATCTTCCGTTGGGTTTTCATTCCATGGTTGCAGTGCGAGCTAGATAGGTATCAGGACCGTGTTAATAACACCCTCAAGAGGCCAGATCGCAACAAGGTATTTAATAACACTCATCTACATTCATTTAACGCTTACGATCGGGTCATTTAGGTGCTTCCACATGGTGTGCCTAACCTAATATACGAATCTCCAGAAGACTTTGGCACCTTAGACTTTAAGGTATGTTTCGTTCAAATACTATTTGAACCGCGTTGTAATTAACTGGCTTATCATTCTAGGTAACAGTCAAACAAGACGCTATAGACCACATCTGCAGTGTCTATGTGAACCCCGATCATCCTGTCTTCGATTTGGTCCCCCAACCACTCAACGATTTTATTCAACGCTGTTATGATGAGCTAGGTCGTCCTCCAGTGACTCGCCAGTCCGTGTGGACAATCTACTTAGATCTGTATCATTCTATGCAGCGCTCTGTACAGGTTCCAGCTATTGTCAGGTCTCTTACAGATATCACTGATGCAGACGAAGAGCCTTTGCCTCTTCTTGAAAACCAAAAGGACCTCTTTTTTCGTGAGGACGCTGATGGCGCATACTACATGGGTGGCATACATGGCGGACTGGGTCTTGGTAAGTTTTCTCTCAGCTTTAACAGGGTTCGTCCTAAGTTACTGCACAATAGATGCATCAGATCATCGCCGGCTGGATGAACTAGCTGAGTTGGATGAACCAGGCGCACACTTACTGCCTGCAGCTCCAATCGTGGAAGAGGAAGGTTTAGTTGTTACAGATTTCTCTGATGAGGAGGAGGATGACGAAACATACGACTGGTGACTCATTGCAGAGTTCGTTTCTTTGTATTTTTGACTATCTTGTTCATTGGGGCAACGCGCTATATATAATAGAACGGCACTTGGCCATACATTTATTTGAAAAAACAAAGCTGGCAAAGGTGTACGGAGTCCTTGCATCACACCTGCCTAGTATGGGGTGTGGTCACACTATGTAACGAGCGCGGCTGTCCTGTCTTCCATACGATGAAGACGTGGATCCGAACAGTCACAAACTTGCAAGGCCTAAGACGAAGCAATTCGCTCATTGGCAAATGCAAGCTGAGCACTCTTTCCTTGCAGTTAACCCTCCTGGATTATCGTTACTTTTCATCCACTTCAACCAGTTCATGTTTGTCAACGTTATCAGGACGGCAAATATGAAGAAATGTCTTCGGCGGTACGCACTTCACGGTAGCCTTCCAATCGACAGAATATTGTGATGTGTGCCTCTTACTACCTGCGACCTGCGAGTCTATCAAGGGGTACGGATCTGTTCTCATGAAGCTATCGTTTCCGGCGCATCTAACACAGAAAATGGAATACGCCCGTCGGATCATGTGTGTTGATGCGTCTTCGCAGAATCATGCCAGAGAACAAACGATTCCCATGTTTCTGTCCGTGGTGCCAGGGAAATCATTGGAACCTTTGAACCGCTTGTCGTGGCTCCATCGATTCATTTACATTTTCCACGGGAGTACGACCATTACAGTTGACAGGAATATCGAGTCGCTATGCTCACTTCTCACTGGCATTATCAATTCTCAAATTAGCACACATCCCCTCCGCTCGTCCCTTCACAACTTTCTCAAGTCACGGAGTCATATAGTTCTTCGTCAATGTGTCACCTTACCTCAGCGTCAGTATGCCCATACTTTCTTGTCTGGTCTTACTCCCCACAATTACAAGCTAATATCAAGCCTGTTTCACGATCAGGGGAATCACGCGTGATGGACCGTACTAAGTTACAGTACGGTTACAACTTGTGTTTTGTCACGTGAAGCACCAGCATTGACAATGTTAATACAGGGCGACGATACAAACCACACACTTCGACTTCGCTCGCGGCCTACCATGGCCATATCAGTATTCAACGAAATGCGATGCGCGAAGCTTTTGTGAGATTCCCGATCATTGCCCCTTAAATCCACCATCTAATAAGATCAAACAGCCATTTTTAGAGATACAGCCTTGTGAGGCGGATATAATTTAATATAACAGAGTCGTGATCAAACTGTAGCGAGGGCACAACAGTCTCAAGTATGGATGACCAACACAAAACAGAAGACTCACTGAGTCACCGTCTACTATCTATTGCCTTACAACCAGATGTCATTTTGTACCACCTTTCGGCTTCTAGTTTTGGAGTGGAGTAACGAAGCGCCTTCCTTTCGGTATCGCCCAAATATAACTGATATGTCTGGCCAGCTGGGCATTATGATACAACGATCACGTTCATACCCGAAATCAAACGTCCCTGTGCCTCATTGTGCTCCCACCATCAGCGTAAGATGCCATAGAATGGACAGCAATGCAGTACACTGACTATGAGATATATAGATAAATGTATTACTAGTGGGGTTTACTCGGCCAGCAATGTCTTCCTCTACCCAGGACCTCTCACCACACATTAACCTAGGAAACACGTTTGGCGCACTTCTTATTGGGGTCGCCCTTTCAGCAGTGTTTGTGAACTATTTCACCATGTAATCAATGCTGAAAACTTGTCGTATTATTGTCACGAATAGTTTGTTTGGTGTGACCAACGTTCAAACCTTCATCTACTTCCAGACACATAAGGGGATGACGTTTTTTAAGCTGATTGTACGTATATCATGCTGCCCTATTTTTTCAATTCAATCATTGACACTACGTCAGGTTATCTGGCTTTGGCAAGTGTCCCCCTGAGTTATGATTTACTGAACATGTCAATTTTACACTGTACCCCATATTTTAGGATACTTGATGCTCTACATCTGGCACTGATTGTACATTGCGTCTATTATTATTTAGTGACCAACTACGCAAACTTCAATGCGCTCACAGAGATCGTGTGGAGCTTGAAAGTGAGTTTCCTATGGCACTCTATGCAGCCTGATAACGCTTATGATATTGATGGACTTGTGCAGCTTCAGCTAATAGTCGATGTATGTTGTTTCTTCTGAACTCTGAGATTTACACTAGACATGCATTTTTAACAGGTTCTCATCGTTCCTACGGTACATCTGTAAGTTCGATGTGCAATCTTACACGCAACATTCTAATTGATGCTGTCTGGACCCATAGTTCGTATGTTTATCGCATATGGATAGGTATATCATTCCTAGTGATGATTTGTTTCTACTAACATGACGAGTCTAGTCAGTAAGGGCCGATCGAGAGTTCTCCCGGCTATAATAATGGTAGGTTTGAAGTCGGTGCTCGATAGTATATCGTTTTGTTGACGCACTGTCAGTGCATAGTCGTGGTTCTATCAGGAGGTGAGTCTGTCACTGGAAACGCTCTTTACTCGATTCTGAAAATCTGTTCAGGTGTTGCCGTCCGTAAGACTTCAGTGCCACTACCTTTGTTATTAGCTCATCACTCGACGTAATGCCAGCTGTCGTGTTAGTGCAGTGAGTCAGACAGATACCTAACTTCGCGAAATTGCCGATAGCCGCTAGATATCGGTGCCGCGTGTTCCAGGATGTGGTTACAACCGAGTGGGCGACATACTTGACTTTGGGCGCGGTTACTTTTGATGACATCCTTATCGCATCATCACTATGTTATCTCCTCGCTACTTCCCGTACTGGATTCTCTAGGTAGCGAGATGCACTTTGTTCGCTGTCGTGATCTGATATACTAACGCAATCATTTAGTACCGATTCTTTCGTAACAAAGCTCCTGGGTTATATAATTAGTACAGGCTGTCTGACGAGGTATCCCTCTCTCCAACTCACCACATGCTTGAACTAATATGTCTGCAGTATATGTTCAATAATAGCTGTAATCGCTGTGAGGTTCCTTCTCTTGCACTGTCCATGATTGAGGTCTCAGACAGCCACCTATAGTGTGCGGCGATGCCGAGGAACTTCATCTTTCTCAGTATTGAATTTTTAGTGACTAAATGTAAGACCGACACATTCTCTCAGGATCGTGCTGACTAACGGTGCGGTTTCAAGTATACGTGAACTCGTTCATAGCACTTCTGAACGCACGATACTACCTGCAGGCTGGCGCAGATAGTGTGGGTTCTCCCAAATTTCGTGCTGGTCATGACGTTTTCCACCCCGAGCTACGCATTGAGACGTCGCAAGACGAGAAGCTTCAAATATCGCGGACAGATGTATCTGACGATGCAGTGCTCCATACTACTCGACCGATTCAAGCTGTCAAAGTTGGTAATTGTATTATTGTTGATGCAAAAGGGCTAATGGCGCAATTTATCCATAGCTGCCAGCGACGAGGACGATGCAAATGCAGTCTTTCTCGTTGGCGTGATGAACTTCCAGTGGGCATGCATTATTATTTGTGCGTTTCCTCGCGAGTAGCGCTCACAAATAACTTATGGGTTCGTAGTAAATCATCACTCCCTACTTACGGAAGGACTTCGATTGCTGGCTATGAAACATCAACTTTCTTGCACGTCGTATGACCCGGACTGTCCTAAGCCACGCCCCCTGATCCTGTACGTTGGTCCGTGCTCTTCCACTCAGCATTTTTGCAATTCAGTGGTTGCGGCGGTATCCAGCTTGGCGAAGCCAGATACCCAACTTGGGCCCTGAGCGCTTGAGCCCGAAGCCACATGCGTGCCGTTCATTGATGATCTTTGGCGATACACTTGCGATAAGGCTTGAAATGAGTCAGCGCTGAGAAATCCATCAGCCGCACGACATAGATATCCGTCGAATCTAACCGAAAGTGCTTCATGCACTGCTTGCTTCGAAGGAAATGAATGTTCCGAACAGGGCTCTTAGAAGCGCTACATGGGGAAGAACAGCACCTAGATACAGAGCCCGAGATCCTTTGAACCAGAATCTGATGGCTTTCTGTAATGGTTGGTTGGTTTACAGTACTAGTGTGTTGTATATGATATAGCAGGAGATAATGAGACAATGTGATATTTTATGCTACTTAGCAAGGTTCGTCGAATGGACATCGCTACTAGGTGTGGCATGTGATCGCAACGTTAGGTTCGTTGTGCGCACAATGCCGAAATGAATGGTGACCATGATATGAACCTGCTCACCGACAATTATTAGCACTGCCTTGTGGGATCCATGCTGCGATACACAGCCAAACTTGCAACAGATTGGTGATCACTACAGGTATTATACCTCAGTATATTTGACCTTCGTGTATGCGTGGGTCCATCATTAATGATATCGATGGCATCCTGATCAATTCTTCCACACAAGATTAACATTTAATGTTTCGACTTGCGCGTCGACGGTCCAAGGTATGGTCTAAAAGACACAAGTGGGTTATAGCCCCTCCTCCGGTGGACGAGTAATTGCCGCAGGTAATACATACGTCACTTACGTACAGTCTGTACAGTTGTCGTGGGACATAGCACCTTCGCATCAATGGCATCATGCAATGTACTATCATTGCTGTACTTATACATCTTATATGCTTCTACCATCAGCGTTCAGCGTCAGAAGTCATGATTCTCTCACAGAAAAAATGGCAGTGTGATTGTTCTGGGTTATATAGTATGTGAACCTACTACTGGTGGACTCGTTCAGCGACAATGTCTTCCTCGGCTCAGGATGCCATTCCACAACTTGACCTGGGAAACACGTTCGGGGCACTTTTTATTGGGGTTATCCTGGCAGCAGTGTTAGTAACACTATTTGTTCATCATGCAGTCAAAAGCTGAACGTTTCCTGCGACCTTTCGTACTAACATACCCCATGGAAAACAGTCTCTTCGGTCTAACCAATGTTCAAGCCTTCATCTACTTGCAGGCGCATAGAAACGCGGGGATGACATTTTTCAAGCTGGTTGTACGTCTATGCTGCCTTGTTGTTGGTTCCGGTCTTGATGTCACGTTCTGGCAGATTACCTGGCTTTGGTGTGTCCTCTCGATTCGCAATTATTGTTCGCGTAGAGATTGTTTCCCAAACTTTTAGGATATCTGATGCTCTGCACCTGGCATTGACAATCCATTGTGTCTACTATTATCTGGTGAATAACTATGCGAACTTCGGCGTGCTCACGGAAATCGTATGGAGTCTCAAAGTGAGTTTCTATAATGGCCCTTTATGCAGCGTCTAATGGGCTAGGACAGCTTCAGTTAGTAATCAGCGTAAGTTGTGTTTCCGTTCTTTGTGACCCACCCAACAATACGCACTGCACAGGCTCTCATCGTTCCTATGGTACATCTGTAAGTTCAATCACTGTTACTACATACAACACTCAAGTCATGTCATGGTCGACAGTTTGTATGTTCATCGCATATGGAAAAGTGATTATTCCCTCATTATCGTGAATTTGCTACATCTACTGAATGAACCTAGTGAGCGAAGGTCGATCAAGAGTTCTCCCGGCCATATCGTTGGTGCGTTTGCAATCAGGGTTCAATTGCATTTCATTGTGTTGATTCACTGTCAGGGCATGGTCTTGGTACTAAGTTCAGGCGAGTTTGTTGCCTGCAAATGCTGTTCAACCGATCTTAAATCTCCCCTTAGGTGTTGTCATCCGTGAGATTTCAACAGTGATACTAATATTGTTATTGGCTCATCGTTTGACCTAATGACAGCCCTCGCTTGGGAGCAGTGAGTCAGGCAGTTCCGTAACTTCAGGAGGTGCTGATAGCGAGTAGATGTAGGGTCAATTTGTTTAAGGATTTGGCCAAGACCATGTGGTCGACATATCTGTCTTTAGGAGCAGCCACTTTTATCGATATTATCATCACATCATCGCTATGTTATCTCCTCGCCACTTCACGTACTGGGTTCTCTTGGTACAGAGCAGCTCATTCCTTATCGGGATCTGACATGCTGACGCAGGTTACTCAGCACCGATTCATTCATAACAAAGCTCGTGGGCTATACCGTCAGTACTGGCTGTCTGACAAGGTATCCTCCCTTCCAGCATGCCCTATAGTGCTTTGACTGATATTTCGACAGTATTTTTTCGGTGTCAATGATAATCACAGTGAGTGATATCTATTATGTTGTCTACATCTGAGGTCTCTGTTGGTTTCCTGCAGTGTGCTGTGATGCCGACAACCTTTATCTTCATCGGGCTTCAATTTTTAGTGACTAAATGTATGATCAACAACACATTCTTTCGTGACCATGCTGACCAGCTGTATATACTATTTCAAGTATATGTCAACTCGTTTATCGCACTCCTGAATGCGCGATACTATATGCAGGCCAAGGCAATTGTCGATCCTCCCCAACTTTATGAGCGCCACGGCGTCTATCACCAGGAACTCCACACTAGTGGATCGCAAGATGAAGAGTTTCACAAATCCCAGGGAGATCCTAAGGATGAGGTACTGCGTATCACGCAACCTATCCAGGGTATCATGGTTGGTGGTTGTGTCATGGTCGATGGGAGAAGGATAATTGACACACCTTAGCCACAGTCAACGACATCGACGATGGAAATGAAGTCTCTCTCGTCATTAGTGTGACATGTTAACTATGTGTCTGATCAAGAGATGACACCTACAGAAACATAGTTTGTATTCTAAAGTTATCAGGGCGGCGCATCTACAACGGCCGGCGGGAATGGCGGACTGGTGAGGGTATATAGGCATCACACCAGGTTTTGAAAGCAGAAGAAAGGGTTAACTTCGTCGACAGGGAATTTGTTTACTGTTCATCGTACGGTTATGTTTATTGGTTTTGCGAGTACAATGTACAATTGGGTATAACTTTATCGTTTCAATGTTCAACGTTCAGCCACAATAATCAAGCTGTGAGTAACCTTTACAGTAAACGTCGTATTATAAGGTAATGAGCAAGCGCAGGCTCCCTTCTAACCATGATTGGCATGATTCGGCATTTAGATATGCGTTTGGTACGTGGACAATCTTCCTGCGCGCAGAGTCGTCAGACTTTAGAAATGGCGACATATTTTTGGTCTTTCAAATTGGACAATTGTTTAGACCAATGCGTTCTCTCAGGATCGTGCTGACCCACGGTACGGTTTCAAGTATATGTGAAGCACTTATGAACGCACAATACTACCTGCAGGCTGGCGCAGATAGTGAGTTCTTCTGAATTTCGTGCTGGCCATGACATTTTCCATCCCGAGCTGCGCATTAAGATGTCGCACAACAAGAAGCTTCAAACAATGATTAAGTGGCCATTATTTGATGCGATACCCCTTTGAACCAGGCTCCAATGACTTTCCGTAATGCCAGTGGTGACATTGTAGGATGAGATAGGGTGATAGTTCATGCTACTCGGCGAGGTCCGTTGAATGGACATCACATGTCACAGGTGAAGATAATTTGTGAAACCTGGTCAGATGAGATGGATCGTGATATCGATATGATAGTAAGAACAAACGTACTGCATGTGCTCCGAGTCATCGAAATGAATTCGAAAACGTACTCCTTCGTGTCATGTGACTCAATGTTTGGATTTTGCCATTCAAAGTGTTTATCGTTACTCCAACGCACGAAACGCAGGCAGAGTGCATATCACACAAAACATATCTGTGACCTGCGTTGTGTCAGCGTCTCGTGTCAGCAAGACGTACCTTTGTCGACACACCATGCCCAAGGCTCCACACTACTTTACAGAGTCAGTCACGGCGACACCAAAAAATATCATTGCGATTGCGAGAGATTATCCAAGAGCTAGCTGCACTAAGTACTTTATGGAACGTGAAGACGGCATGCATAGAGTGTGGAGGTCCCGATACGAAGGGGACGTATTCTCTGAAGAAAAGAACGCATAATGGTATGGCCAGCTCTGCTGTGCAACGTGCTTTCCGGGGCTGTTCTACTAATGGTAGCGCGTCAGATATTCGTAGGTCTCTGGATCGAGACCCACAACCTGTCCAGCAGGATGAACAGGATCATGATCTTGGTATAGAGGTTCGTCTTGTTTTGCTTGCGCTTTCTACTACAGTGACTTATGATTTCAATTTATCCCTACAGGAGAACTATTTTGCAGGTTATGACGCCTCTGGAGGCGTTCACAACACAACGACAGGTGTCCTCCCTCCCATGTTACATCCACAAAATGTGGTTTCACAACGATGTCCGTCCCCGGATTCACTACTATCAGACCCTAATGACAGCGGTGTTCTCGCACCCCTAGATGCGGACCAGTGTGTCCTTATGGAGGATTTATACTCACGTGAAGCGTCATGATTCGTCACTCCTACATGTTTGTCTTGTGGACGCAAACAACCAGTCTAGATGACGAAGACACCAGGCTGAGCACAGAAACCGTCGCACAACTCAAATTCCCACTGCAGTTCACGCCTTCGCTTGAGGGGGATTACCACTGCCGCTGTCAAGCTCTACCTTCCACATTCAGCTTCAGACAAGGATGCGCAAGATAATCATCGAGCTTCACGGTTGGGCGCCGGCATGCAATGCTATGTCTCGCTATGTTGTTGACATTTTTTGAAATGGCTGGATACAAGACATACAATCACGCATATCGTTCAAACCAGTGAGTCATGGATCATACCGCGAGTTCTTGTACTGATCGTATCCTTGCCAAGGCATGTAATTTTGTACGTTCCAGGTGCAGAGCCATGTACTTCATCACCTTACATCACGACGGTTGACGCTATATGATTTCGATGTGATCTCAATACCGTCGAAAGACAGCCGGGACTCGCTAAGGACTGAGAAGCAGTCAGCCTGAACGACATCACCCATCAGAGTAGGCACCAGCAGTGCGGGAAGAGTCGGAGGAGAGTCCAACGGTGGTGCACATTGCGATTCTTGAGGCTGCAAGAAGTTTGTCCATCGTGCTCATGAGTGAGTATTCAAGGGTTCTTGGGACGGAGTTTGTTATAATCCAGCGAGACGCACGCCAGCGCTGAGAATCTACGTGTATGTTGACCGGTACGTCATCTTTGATACTTGACAATATATGCGCCAATTTATAAAGTATGATGGACATTCGGACTCATCTGCGGACGTGTACCAAATCTGCCCCGAGTCATCTATGAATACACAAGCTCCCGCGGCCCGCTACATCGGCCTTTCCAACGAGCGTGCTCGACGTTCGAGTTCACCCAACACCCACGGCATCTACTGCTCCGTCGCCCCTTAGTTCGTACTCAGGACCAACATCTTCCGGGGGAAACTCCAAACGTGCAGATCTTGTCGAGCATCACAGGATGTCACCCATTCCAGAGAGTGTCTCACATCCTGACATGCTCTTGTTTGCTCTCAGACGTTTCAAGGATAAATCGTCTGGAAGATCGAGCTTATTCACATTTGCAGAGATTTCCGATATCACTGCTTTTCAGCTAGACAGGTAGGAAAGAGCGAAATTCTGTCGTTTCCGTCGTATGCTGATCATTCATCATAGTTCATGTCTCTGTCAATGTTCTCATTGGTCGATATCATCTGCTGTGTCATCCTTGTGTTTTATCATACGAACGATTGAACAGTTGCAAATTCGTATCTGTGCGAGGGTACAATCAGTTGCCTGATTGGCAGGGAGTCAGATAAGAGATAGACGCCGTGTATAGCTGTTGTGCCACAAGCTATAAGAACGCTTGCTTCGTGTTCGTTCGCTGCCATATCTCGCCACGACCTCATTCTGTACCACAGTACAGCTTTCACGATAAACCAAATCACCTCTACTTCAGGACGCACATTAAGATCTCCCAATGGCAACCATCGAAGCCCAGGACCTCAGAGAAAGAATTGGGCGCTTTCGAGTTCTGATCATGGGGAGAGCAAACGCAGGCAAAACGACCATCCTTCAGAAGGTCTGCAACACCACGGATCAACCAGAAATTTACGATACTAAAGGAAAGAAGGTGTGGGTGATGATCGATGTCATGCACGCCTTTATCGCTGATCAATTGTGGGTAGATTGATACTACCATCGTGGAATCCTCAATCAAGGTGTGTGCATCATTTTCCCTGTGGGCATACATGTGCTGACGGATGTTCAGCGCGGAAATCACGATATCGCGAACGAAATGGTATTCAAAAGCAATCCCGGTTTTGTATTTCACGACTCCTGCAGTTTCGAAGCGGGATCTGAAGAAGAATTCAAGAATATGAAGAAGTTTATCTCAGAACGGGCACATGCGACAAAATTGGAGGAGCGAATTCACACCATCTGGTAAGTGGCCCCCTTCTGACATTCCGCGCTTTTTGATTGCCATCAGGTATTGTATTCCGATGGACGAGCATTGTCGAACATTCCAGCGGTCAGAAGAGAAGTTCTTCCGGGAGTGCGACACTGGGCACGGTGAGCTTTCAATTTCATTGTCAGTTGCCGTGTTCGGTCTAAATGATTGATCTTCAGTTCCTGTGGTCGTGGTGTTCACTAAATTCGAAGCTCTACGTCCCGTCGCATTTGGAGAAATGAAGAAGCAACTAAAAGGAGTATCGGGAGAAGAACGCTCAAAGAGGATTGCCGAGCGCGTCGAGGAACTTTTTACTAAGACAGGAGTCTTGGATCAGTTGCGCAACCCCGAAAACCGTGCGCGTCCCAAGGCCTATGTACGCTTGCAGGGTAAGCGGTTCAGTTTTGATTTGTCCCATGTCAAAGTTGACATTAGCAACCGTGCTAGAAATGAACAAAACGGATGCAAACTGCAACACTCTACTGGAACACACCACTTTTGCACTAGACAACGAAGAACTGCGGTTATGCTTGGTGTCGACACAAATATCAAACATGGAGCTTTGCATCAAGTGTGCCATCGCGTGAGTCTCAGATTTGCAAATCACATAATTTTGTTTCAACATCATCTAGAACACTCGTTGATCGTGCGCACAAGAAAATCGATTATGGAGACTATCAGCACGACATTGCTAAGTGGTTTCCACATCTCAAAGTAAGATGAAGATTGATTCAATCTGACGATCCCTGGTAATGGTTCTCATGGATGGTAAATTTCGAAGCGCTAAAATTGTAGACATTCTGATGTGTTCCTTGATTGTAGTTGTTTATTGATAACAGCTGGTAAGATTGTGGCCTAAGCAAGGACAAAGCTGATGCCTCATTACTGCTCGTCTGTTAACAGTATGTGAGTGCCTTGACTGTTTCTAGTCCTGGGTCCATGCTCATGATCCCCATCCCTCGCTGCTGCTCGCCTGTTGACAGTATGTAAGTGCCTCGATGGTTTCTAGTCCTCGGTCCATGCTCATGATCCCATCCCTCGCTGCTGCTCGCCTGTTGACAGTATGTAAGTGCCTCGATGGTTTCTAGTCCTGGGTCCATGCTCATGATCCCCATCCCTCGCTGCTGCTCGCCTGTTGACAGGACGTAAGTGCCTCGATGGTTTCTAGTCCTCGATCCAATGTTCGTCATCCTCATGCCTCCCTACTACTCGTTTGTTGACAGAAGGTATGTACTTTTGACTGTCCCTCATCCTCAACCCATGCTGACAATCGCTGCTTTTAACCTATGGACAGATGGTCAGTCCCTTGATGGTTTTCCGTCTGCAACTCATGTGAACAGCTCTTACACTTACTGTTTTTTGGCAGGTGGTGCGTGTCTTGATCATATTTTGTATTCAGATGATGGTCAATAGTATAATGATGTTCACTCATTTTCATAGCCCCATGTAAGCGTATTCTATTCCATCAGATGAGGTGAATCATCATTACTCACATGATGCTTAGTTCGTTGAGTATCCCTCCTTGATAACTTATTTTCCATGTTCATTCATCTTGCATATTTTTGTGTTCTATGCAGAATGTGAGTTGTTTGACCTTCATAATGCGAAGCGTTAAATCTTTCAATCATTTTGACTCCCTCTGTCGATAGGATGTAAGTCTATTTCAATCGTCAATCATTCTAGCCAGATAATCTCTTGCGTTCCTCACGTGTTCGCAGAATGTATGTTGATCATATTCTGTCTGACATCATGTTACTCCACTGACAATCAATCTCATCTAGCTCGTACGTCCATGAATGGTATTCGCTAGTATATAGTGATGCTCATCCGGTTCTGACCCCTGACAGTTTGTAAGTTACCCAAGCACAGCAGTCATTGTCTACAATCTGGTGGTTTATTATTCACAACCGTTACGTCGACAAAATAGAATGTGTGTCTCTGTTATCAATCAAATGCCAATTTTCCACCTCATAATTCTGACATCCCTTTCCCGCAGGGGGCAAGTACTTTCCTCCGTGGAGTTGATTCCGATACCCATACTTTAAACCTATGGCTAGGTAGAAACCTACCGAGATGATATTCCCCGCGTCCTTCAGCTCTTGGTAGGTTGGCTTCCCTCCGCATTGATTCCCAGCACTATACGAGTGTGCAACAGGCTGTGAAGGGTTCGCTGTTCAGTTCTGCTGCGAACATAATAATTCAGACTGGCATCGGTTAGTTTCTCGCCACACGAATGATTGTAGTCTTAATCACAGAAAGCAGCTACCATTATCGTCCTCGAGTACTCTGCGTTTCTCCCGCCCAAGTCGAAGGGCTCAGAGCGCGTTGAGTCTGCGTTGGACTACTACCTGAAATCTCCGACGGCTGCTGCAGTGGAGAAAGGAGCGAAAGAGATTTCTCGTCAGGGCTACCATGGAGAGAAACTGGAAAAGAAGATTCTCGAGTTCATCCTTGAAAATCGCTTGTGTACGTCCCTTGTCTTGTTGTGAACCTAGAAGTCGAAGTTTACCAAAAGTCTGCAGCAAAGGACTTGATAGAAAAGAAGTAGATGATGATCGGGCCAAGCTTCCTGTTTGATGCGTCTTTCCTCATGCTATGCGCTTGTGTCATGTACGATACCAAGCACGCCAGCTCTAACTCCTGGGCGGTGCACTGGCAGTTGTTTCTGATTTTCTTCCCCGTGTTATGTACTATACTTGGCACTCCAGTTTCAACACCAACGAGTTTTCTATACCAAGTCAAGCAGATTGTTACTGAGTTTACTGTAGTCGAGTCCATCATGCGTGACAGATTTCGCAGTCAGTGGTCCTAGCACTTAAATGCTACAATTCATCCGCCCTCGTTCTAATTTTCTCGTTTGCAATTTGTTGCTGTGACTTACGTCTGCTTTCGCTCGCTTCCTCTTGCTATCGCACCTGCATTGTTTCCATACTACTAGTAGTATTCACTAGTTATGCACTCTACTCGGATTGCGCACTATTGCATTCACGATTGTACATGCTGCAGGACCATTGTGCACGCTCGTAGACTGTACTGATAACTATTGTGTTGCTTCTGGCATATGCCGCGACTCGTCGCGGTCCAGCGTGAGAAAACAGGATCACCATTTACCACGGCCAGGCTGCCATGTTCAGGTTCTCCCGTCGAATTTCCATGGCCTACATACGGTGATACCTATTACCTACAGCTCCGCTCACGGCTAAAGCTGGCCACAAGCTGGAGCCGCGGCAACACTAGGTCACCGTCACACACATCAATATTTCAATCCTCAGGCCTCAGGCCTCAGTCTCGTGTAAGTGACTGGATTACTATATATACCTAGACACACGTCAATCTATCGAGATACCGTTAGTGTCTAGGCAGCGTGTAAGTGACTGAGAGAAAAGGGGAAACGTAAGGAAACAAGTATATAAGCGTCTGTGTTGGAATACCAACAATCATACTCCGTGTCGCGTCGCATGTGCTGCAACATCTGTGCGTCAACACCATGCAGGCAATATTTTTAGATTTACATAAAACCTTGTTTTGAGTCCTGACTCTACCATGCATCAAGCTTTACTTGTTCCCGAAGTCCTTCTGGAGATATTCGCCTATGTGAAGATAATACCATCTACAACACCGGAGAAATTGCTTGCAGCGCTTGCAAGGACATGCAAAATCTTCCATGAGCCTGCGATGGATTTGTTGTGGATTGAAATCCATGGGTTAGAACCACTGCTAGGCTGTGTAGTGAGGCTACATCCACTGATATATCATAGTGGTACAAGGGTCAGTGCACGACTTCATTACCGCTTTGTTTGTTTCTTTTCGGCTCACCGAGCGTCTACATAATCATAATAGTGGCACAACTCGAACAGGCCCTGGGCGAAAGGTGTCGAGCCATTATCTGCCCATGAGACCCATCAATTTCTGCGTCACTCCTCTCGTATACGCACATTGGACATACAATCTGAACATCCACACCTTCTCTCTGTCATCCCCGCCGAGGCATACATATTTCCGAAGCTGAAGTCATTAAGCCTTTCCACCATATATTTGAACCTCTTTCTGCCTCCCATGCTGCACCGATGTCATCTATTGAGCGTCGATGAGGGTCTGCAATCTTTCGTGACACATTGCATTGCTCTGGAGCATCTATGCATCTACGCTCCTGAAATATGCAATGGTGACAGCACAGCAAATGAACTGTCCCTGCTATCCGATAGGATTCATTGGTGCACGCAGCTTGTAACTCTTTCTTGTCCAATGCTCGACTGGGCAACATGGAAGCACCTCTCCTCCCTCCCTACTCTTCTCGAATTGAGAATTGATTGAGGATGTAATGGCCCTCCTTCGCTGTCAAACCGAGATATCGTGAATCTATCATTCCTTAACATCACAAGCCTTTGCTTTGAAGAGCTCTACGATGCTAAAGACTTCATCACGGTCATGCAACACTCGCAATTTCCGTCGCTGAAAGAATTCTGGTTTGAAGCCAAATATATCTCTTCAGAAGAGGCCGAGCAACTATTTCATGCTCTGTCCCGCTGCAAAGCATGTCTGACTCTAGAAAAAATTCTCATTCGTTCCCTTGATGAGGGATACCTTGTACCCCTAAACAGCTCACATTTGACACCAATTCCGCATTTCCTTTGCTTCACGCAGCTCCGAACCCTGCAGCTCACATTTTATAATTCCTGCATCTACCTGGACAATGACATGCTCTTGCAAGCTATTTCTACTTGGCCGCACATCCGCGCTCTGGAAATCGATAACTCAGGTGGCTATGTTCCTTGTTCCGAAATCTCCCTCCGTGGATTATTCACAGCGCTTGGTCTATGTCCACAGTTGCATAGACTACGAGTTCCAATCAATCTTGCAACTATCGACATCGATCCTAACGCTGAGCCAATACAGCATACCTCCCTACAATCATTGGCTTTGCAGTCATCCGAGTTTCAAACAGCTGATGCTGAAACTATTGCTCGCATCATTTCCACCTGGCTCCCTTGTGTCGACCAAGTTCGAAACATATATGGTTCGAGTTGGGTTGAAGTCAACAGGCATCTTAGATCTTTGAGAGCGGCTGCTGCGCCGTATGTTGTCCGCAGAAAGAAACGCACACTGGAATAGAGCAAAATATGAGTGAGGGAGATATGTTCGGGGAGTCGAAGGTGTTTAGATAAGTTGCGGATTTGTGGAAGCATGGAATGACCACCAGATCATACGTGTGAAATGTGTCAGAGCCAGCTACTTTGAGAGTTTAGAGACATACATGTATAATGATCACATATGACACTAGCAATGAACGCTCAAAAACAGTGTCTGCCGTAGGAATGCATTTAGTTCAGGCTTACGAGATGGAGTCCTTGATCATGAGGCCGGGTACAACACAGATTCTGTTTCACCATCGTGACGCCGTTCTCTGATGACTGGGGTCATAGCAGCAAACTCCTGGACAGTCAAGTTCTGCGCGCAATGTTAGACAGCTTTCAGGGGCACGATGAAAGCGACCGACCGTGATCAAGGCCCCTTGACATGAGTATTATATGGTAGGATGGTGGTGTCAACCACAAGCGACAGGCTAGTCTATGCCATAGTAGTAAGTACCTGTTAGCAGTCGCAATAGAGATGTAAGTCGTTATCTTTGAAACACCTGTGACTCACTCTACGGCTTCTATCATACGCCTGCCAGAGTTATGAGAATGAGTGAAACTGTCACCAGGTTTATCACTTACTGAGATAGCATCAATAACAGATGACCACGGCTTCACTCTAGTTTTGCGTTTCGAAACTTATCACCCCACACGACCAATTGCACAAGGCTGGTCTAGCAATCATCAGATGACAGAGAAAAACTGGTTTGAAGTCTGCGGATAAGCGAATGAGATCTGTTTGAAGGAGGAGCCCGTGTGCGTCGTGTGCCAGGAATAGTCTTGGCTGGACAGAGAGCTCAGGCCTCACTGACTCACTGAGGGCTAGTACGGTTTGACTCGAGAATTCAGTAATATTCAGTGGCCCGACTCCCACGTTAGTAGAGGAGGGTCATTGTCAGATCGATACATCATGTGCGCGCTCCACTTCAAGGAGGCTACACCTGTACTAGACGGACTGGTCACGAGTTAGACTACTTTGATCAAGGCTCCACAGCCTCCACCGAGCACCAGTGATTGATTGACCCATGATTCAGTACAGTATAAATAAAATCAAACCCGATTTGAATTGTTCGCTTCAGAATATTTTTTATGTGAGCCCCTCTGATAATCTCATGTAATATGGAGATATTATACGCTGGACGATATCAACAAGTGATTCAGCGAGGTCCATTGAGTGGACCTCGCATGTCGCAGGTGAGGATAATCTTCAGATGAGATGGATCGTGACGCGTGATATGTTGAGAACAAAACGTGTGCTCATCGAAATGAATTCGAAAACGTACTCCTTCCTGTCATGTGACTCAATTGTTTGGATTTCTCCATCATTCAAATACGTTTATCATTACTCCAACTCACGAAATGCAGGCAGAGTGCATATCACACAAAACATATCTGTGACCTGCGTTGTGTCAGCGTCTCGTGTGAGCAAGACGTGCCTTTGTCGACACACCATGTCCAAGACTCCACACTACTAAATTACAGAGTCAGTCAGGGTGAGACCAAAAAATATCACTGCAATTGCGAGAGATTATGCAAGAGCTAGTTGCACCGAGTACTCTATGGAACGTGGAGACGGCATGCAAAGTTTGAGCTCCCAATATGAAGGGGACGTGTTCTCTGAAGAAAAGAACGCATACTGGTATGGCCAGCTCTGCTGTGCAACGTGCTTCCCGGGGCTGTTCTACTAATGGTACCACGTCAGATATTCGTAAGTCTCTGGATCGGGACCCACAACCTGTCCAGCAGGATGAATAGGATCATGATCCTGGTATAGAGGTTCGTCTTGTTTTGCTTGTGCTTTCTACTACAATGACTTATGGTTTCAATGAACCATTTTGCAGGTTACGACGCCTCTGTAGATGTTCACGACACAACGACAGGTGTCCACCCTCCCATGTTACCTCCTCAACATGTGGTTCCACAACGATGTCCTTCCCCGGATTCACTACTATCAGACCCTAATGACAGCGGTATTCTCGCACCCCCAGATGCAGACCAGTGTGTCCTTGTGGAGGATTTATACTCACATGAAGCGTCACTCCCACACGTTTGTCTTGTGAACGCAAACAGCCAGTCTAGATGACGAAGACACCGGGCTGAGCACAGAAACCGTCGCACGGCTCAAATTCCCACTGCAGTTCACGCTTTCGCTTGAGGGGATTACCACTGCCGCCGTCAAGCTCTACCTTCCACATTCAGCTTCAGATAAGGATGCGTAAGATAATCATCGAGCTTCAAAGCTTCATGGTTGGGCGCTGGCATGCAATGCTATGTCTCGCAATGTTGTCGACATTTTTCGAAATAGCTGGATACAAGGCATACAATCACGCACATCGTTCAAACCAGTGAGTCTCGGATCATACTGCGAGTTCTTGTACTGATCATATCCTTGCCAAGGCATGTAATTTTGTACGTTCCAGGTGCAGAGCCGTGTACTTCATCGCCTTACATTACGACGGTTGACACTATATGATTTCAATGTGATCTCAATACCATCGAAAGACAGCAGGGAGCTCGCTAAGGACCGAGAAGCAGTCAAACTGAATGACATCACCCATCAGAGTAGGCACCAGCAGTGCGGGAAGAGTCGGAGGAGGGCTGAGTCACACGATGGTGCACATTGCGATTCTTGAGGCTGCAAGAAGTGTGTCCATCGTGCTCATGAGTGAGCATTCAAGGGTTCTTGGGACAGATTTTGTTATAATCCAGCGAGACGCACGCCAGCGCTGAGAATCTACGTGTATGTTGACCGGTACGTTATCTTTGATACTTGACAATATATGCGCCAATTTATGAAGTATGATGGACAGTCGGACTCATCTGCGGACGTGTACCAAACCCGCCCCGAGTCATCTACGAATACACAAGCTCCCACGGCCTGCTACATCGGCCTTTCCAACGAGCGTGCTCGACGTTCGAGTTCACCCAACACCCATGGCATCTACTGCTCCGTCGCCCCTTAGTTCGTACTCAGGACCAACATCTTCCGGGGAAACTCCAAACGTGCAGATCTTGTTGAGCATCACAGGATGTCACCCATTCCAGAGAGTGTCTCACATCCTGACATGCTCTTGTTTGCTCTCAGACGTTTCAAGGATAAATCGTCTGGAAGATCGAGCTTATTCACATTTGCAGAGATTTCCGATATCACTGCTTTTCAGCTAGACAGGTAGGAAAGAGCGAAATTCTGTCGTTTCCGTCGTATGCTGATCATTCATCATAGTTCATGTCTCTGTCAATGTTCTCATTGGTCGATATCATCTGCTGTGTCATCCTTGTGTTTTATCATACGAACGATTGAACAGTTGCAAATTCGTATCTGTGCGAGGGTACAATCAGTTGCCTGATTGGCAGGGAGTCAGATAAGAGATAGACGCCGTGTATAGCTGTTGTGCCACAAGCTATAAGAACGCTTGCTTCGTGTTCGTTCGCTGCCATATCTCGCCACGACCTCATTCTGTACCACAGTACAGCTTTCACGATAAACCAAATCACCTCTACTTCAGGACGCACATTAAGATCTCCCAATGGCAACCATCGAAGCCCAGGACCTCAGAGAAAGAATTGGGCGCTTTCGAGTTCTGATCATGGGGAGAGCAAACGCAGGCAAAACGACCATCCTTCAGAAGGTCTGCAACACCACGGATCAACCAGAAATTTACGATACTAAAGGAAAGAAGGTGCGGGTGATGATCGATGTCATGCACGCCTTTATCGCTGATCAATTGTGGGTAGATTGATACTACCATCGTGGAATCCTCAATCAAGGTGTGTGCATCATTTTCCCTGTGGGCATACATGTGCTGACGGATGTTCAGCGCGGAAATCACGATATCGCGAACGAAATGGTATTCAAAAGCAATCCCGGTTTTGTATTTCACGACTCCTGCAGTTTCGAAGCGGGATCTGAAGAAGAATTCAAGAATATGAAGAAGTTTATCTCAGAACGGGCACATGCGACAAAATTGGAGGAGCGAATTCACACCATCTGGTAAGTGGCCCCCTTCTGACATTCCGCGCTTTTTGATTGCCATCAGGTATTGTATTCCGATGGACGAGCATTGTCGAACATTCCAGCGGTCAGAAGAGAAGTTCTTCCGGGAGTGCGACACTGGGCACGGTGAGCTTTCAATTTCATTGTCAGTTGCCGTGTTCGGTCTAAATGATTGATCTTCAGTTCCTGTGGTCGTGGTGTTCACTAAATTCGAAGCTCTACGTCCCGTCGCATTTGGAGAAATGAAGAAGCAACTAAAAGGAGTATCGGGAGAAGAACGCTCAAAGAGGATTGCCGAGCGCGTCGAGGAACTTTTACTAAGACAGGAGTCTTGGATCAGTTGCGCAACCCCGAAAACCGTGCGCGTCCCAAGGCCTATGTACGCTTGCAGGGTAAGCGGTTCAGTTTTGATTTGTCCCATGTCAAAGTTGACATTAGCAACCGTGCTAGAAATGAACAAAACGGATGCAAACTGCAACACTCTACTGGAACACACCACTTTTGCACTAGACAACGAAGAACTGCGGTTATGCTTGGTGTCGACACAAATATCAAACATGGAGCTTTGCATCAAGTGTGCCATCGCGTGAGTCTCAGATTTGCAAATCACATAATTTTGTTTCAACATCATCTAGAACACTCGTTGATCGTGCGCACAAGAAAATCGATTATGGAGACTATCAGCACGACATTGCTAAGTGGTTTCCACATCTCAAAGTAAGATGAAGATTGATTCAATCTGACGATCCCTGGTAATGGTTCTCATGGATGGTAAATTTCGAAGCGCTAAAATTGTAGACATTCTGATGTGTTCCTTGATTGTAGTTGTTTATTGATAACAGCTGGTAAGATTGTGGCCTAAGCAAGGACAAAGCTGATGCCTCATTACTGCTCGTCTGTTAACAGTATGTGAGTGCCTTGACTGTTTCTAGTCCTGGGTCCATGCTCATGATCCCCATCCCTCGCTGCTGCTCGCCTGTTGACAGTATGTAAGTGCCTCGATGGTTTCTAGTCCTCGGTCCATGCTCATGATCCCATCCCTCGCTGCTGCTCGCCTGTTGACAGTATGTAAGTGCCTCGATGGTTTCTAGTCCTGGGTCCATGCTCATGATCCCCATCCCTCGCTGCTGCTCGCCTGTTGACAGGACGTAAGTGCCTCGATGGTTTCTAGTCCTCGATCCAATGTTCGTCATCCTCATGCCTCCCTACTACTCGTTTGTTGACAGAAGGTATGTACTTTTGACTGTCCCTCATCCTCAACCCATGCTGACAATCGCTGCTTTTAACCTATGGACAGATGGTCAGTCCCTTGATGGTTTTCCGTCTGCAACTCATGTGAACAGCTCTTACACTTACTGTTTTTTGGCAGGTGGTGCGTGTCTTGATCATATTTTGTATTCAGATGATGGTCAATAGTATAATGATGTTCACTCATTTTCATAGCCCCATGTAAGCGTATTCTATTCCATCAGATGAGGTGAATCATCATTACTCACATGATGCTTAGTTCGTTGAGTATCCCTCCTTGATAACTTATTTTCCATGTTCATTCATCTTGCATATTTTTGTGTTCTATGCAGAATGTGAGTTGTTTGACCTTCATAATGCGAAGCGTTAAATCTTTCAATCATTTTGACTCCCTCTGTCGATAGGATGTAAGTCTATTTCAATCGTCAATCATTCTAGCCAGATAATCTCTTGCGTTCCTCACGTGTTCGCAGAATGTATGTTGATCATATTCTGTCTGACATCATGTTACTCCACTGACAATCAATCTCATCTAGCTCGTACGTCCATGAATGGTATTCGCTAGTATATAGTGATGCTCATCCGGTTCTGACCCCTGACAGTTTGTAAGTTACCCAAGCACAGCAGTCATTGTCTACAATCTGGTGGTTTATTATTCACAACCGTTACGTCGACAAAATAGAATGTGTGTCTCTGTTATCAATCAATGCCAATTTTCCACCTCATAATTCTGACATCCCTTTCCCGCAGGGGGCAAGTACTTTCCTCCGTGGAGTTGATTCCGATACCCATACTTTAAACCTATGGCTAGGTAGAAACCTACCGAGATGATATTCCCCGCGTCCTTCAGCTCTTGGTAGGTTGGCTTCCCTCCGCATTGATTCCCAGCACTATACGAGTGTGCAACAGGCTGTGAAGGGTTCGCTGTTCAGTTCTGCTGCGAACATAATAATTCAGACTGGCATCGGTTAGTTTCTCGCCACACGAATGATTGTAGTCTTAATCACAGAAAGCAGCTACCATTATCGTCCTCGAGTACTCTGCGTTTCTCCCGCCCAAGTCGAAGGGCTCAGAGCGCGTTGAGTCTGCGTTGGACTACTACCTGAAATCTCCGACGGCTGCTGCAGTGGAGAAAGGAGCGAAAGAGATTTCTCGTCAGGGCTACCATGGAGAGAAACTGGAAAAGAAGATTCTCGAGTTCATCCTTGAAAATCGCTTGTGTACGTCCCTTGTCTTGTTGTGAACCTAGAAGTCGAAGTTTACCAAAAGTCTGCAGCAAAGGACTTGATAGAAAAGAAGTAGATGATGATCGGGCCAAGCTTCCTGTTTGATGCGTCTTTCCTCATGCTATGCGCTTGTGTCATGTACGATACCAAGCACGCCAGCTCTAACTCCTGGGCGGTGCACTGGCAGTTGTTTCTGATTTTCTTCCCCGTGTTATGTACTATACTTGGCACTCCAGTTTCAACACCAACGAGTTTTCTATACCAAGTCAAGCAGATTGTTACTGAGTTTACTGTAGTCGAGTCCATCATGCGTGACAGATTTCGCAGTCAGTGGTCCTAGCACTTAAATGCTACAATTCATCCGCCCTCGTTCTAATTTTCTCGTTTGCAATTTGTTGCTGTGACTTACGTCTGCTTTCGCTCGCTTCCTCTTGCTATCGCACCTGCATTGTTTCCATACTACTAGTAGTATTCACTAGTTATGCACTCTACTCGGATTGCGCACTATTGCATTCACGATTGTACATGCTGCAGGACCATTGTGCACGCTCGTAGACTGTACTGATAACTATTGTGTTGCTTCTGGCATATGCCGCGACTCGTCGCGGTCCAGCGTGAGAAAACAGGATCACCATTTACCACGGCCAGGCTGCCATGTTCAGGTTCTCCCGTCGAATTTCCATGGCCTACATACGGTGATACCTATTACCTACAGCTCCGCTCACGGCTAAAGCTGGCCACAAGCTGGAGCCGCGGCAACACTAGGTCACCGTCACACACATCAATATTTCAATCCTCAGGCCTCAGGCCTCAGTCTCGTGTAAGTGACTGGATTACTATATATACCTAGACACACGTCAATCTATCGAGATACCGTTAGTGTCTAGGCAGCGTGTAAGTGACTGAGAGAAAAGGGGAAACGTAAGGAAACAAGTATATAAGCGTCTGTGTTGGAATACCAACAATCATACTCCGTGTCGCGTCGCATGTGCTGCAACATCTGTGCGTCAACACCATGCAGGCAATATTTTTAGATTTACATAAAACCTTGTTTTGAGTCCTGACTCTACCATGCATCAAGCTTTACTTGTTCCCGAAGTCCTTCTGGAGATATTCGCCTATGTGAAGATAATACCATCTACAACACCGGAGAAATTGCTTGCAGCGCTTGCAAGGACATGCAAAATCTTCCATGAGCCTGCGATGGATTTGTTGTGGATTGAAATCCATGGGTTAGAACCACTGCTAGGCTGTGTAGTGAGGCTACATCCACTGATATATCATAGTGGTACAAGGGTCAGTGCACGACTTCATTACCGCTTTGTTTGTTTCTTTTCGGCTCACCGAGCGTCTACATAATCATAATAGTGGCACAACTCGAACAGGCCCTGGGCGAAAGGTGTCGAGCCATTATCTGCCCATGAGACCCATCAATTTCTGCGTCACTCCTCTCGTATACGCACATTGGACATACAATCTGAACATCCACACCTTCTCTCTGTCATCCCCGCCGAGGCATACATATTTCCGAAGCTGAAGTCATTAAGCCTTTCCACCATATATTTGAACCTCTTTCTGCCTCCCATGCTGCACCGATGTCATCTATTGAGCGTCGATGAGGGTCTGCAATCTTTCGTGACACATTGCATTGCTCTGGAGCATCTATGCATCTACGCTCCTGAAATATGCAATGGTGACAGCACAGCAAATGAACTGTCCCTGCTATCCGATAGGATTCATTGGTGCACGCAGCTTGTAACTCTTTCTTGTCCAATGCTCGACTGGGCAACATGGAAGCACCTCTCCTCCCTCCCTACTCTTCTCGAATTGAGAATTGATTGAGGATGTAATGGCCCTCCTTCGCTGTCAAACCGAGATATCGTGAATCTATCATTCCTTAACATCACAAGCCTTTGCTTTGAAGAGCTCTACGATGCTAAAGACTTCATCACGGTCATGCAACACTCGCAATTTCCGTCGCTGAAAGAATTCTGGTTTGAAGCCAAATATATCTCTTCAGAAGAGGCCGAGCAACTATTTCATGCTCTGTCCCGCTGCAAAGCATGTCTGACTCTAGAAAAAATTCTCATTCGTTCCCTTGATGAGGGATACCTTGTACCCCTAAACAGCTCACATTTGACACCAATTCCGCATTTCCTTTGCTTCACGCAGCTCCGAACCCTGCAGCTCACATTTTATAATTCCTGCATCTACCTGGACAATGACATGCTCTTGCAAGCTATTTCTACTTGGCCGCACATCCGCGCTCTGGAAATCGATAACTCAGGTGGCTATGTTCCTTGTTCCGAAATCTCCCTCCGTGGATTATTCACAGCGCTTGGTCTATGTCCACAGTTGCATAGACTACGAGTTCCAATCAATCTTGCAACTATCGACATCGATCCTAACGCTGAGCCAATACAGCATACCTCCCTACAATCATTGGCTTTGCAGTCATCCGAGTTTCAAACAGCTGATGCTGAAACTATTGCTCGCATCATTTCCACCTGGCTCCCTTGTGTCGACCAAGTTCGAAACATATATGGTTCGAGTTGGGTTGAAGTCAACAGGCATCTTAGATCTTTGAGAGCGGCTGCTGCGCCGTATGTTGTCCGCAGAAAGAAACGCACACTGGAATAGAGCAAAATATGAGTGAGGGAGATATGTTCGGGGAGTCGAAGGTGTTTAGATAAGTTGCGGATTTGTGGAAGCATGGAATGACCACCAGATCATACGTGTGAAATGTGTCAGAGCCAGCTACTTTGAGAGTTTAGAGACATACATGTATAATGATCACATATGACACTAGCAATGAACGCTCAAAAACAGTGTCTGCCGTAGGAATGCATTTAGTTCAGGCTTACGAGATGGAGTCCTTGATCATGAGGCCGGGTACAACACAGATTCTGTTTCACCATCGTGACGCCGTTCTCTGATGACTGGGGTCATAGCAGCAAACTCCTGGACAGTCAAGTTCTGCGCGCAATGTTAGACAGCTTTCAGGGGCACGATGAAAGCGACCGACCGTGATCAAGGCCCCTTGACATGAGTATTATATGGTAGGATGGTGGTGTCAACCACAAGCGACAGGCTAGTCTATGCCATAGTAGTAAGTACCTGTTAGCAGTCGCAATAGAGATGTAAGTCGTTATCTTTGAAACACCTGTGACTCACTCTACGGCTTCTATCATACGCCTGCCAGAGTTATGAGAATGAGTGAAACTGTCACCAGGTTTATCACTTACTGAGATAGCATCAATAACAGATGACCACGGCTTCACTCTAGTTTTGCGTTTCGAAACTTATCACCCCACACGACCAATTGCACAAGGCTGGTCTAGCAATCATCAGATGACAGAGAAAAACTGGTTTGAAGTCTGCGGATAAGCGAATGAGATCTGTTTGAAGGAGGAGCCCGTGTGCGTCGTGTGCCAGGAATAGTCTTGGCTGGACAGAGAGCTCAGGCCTCACTGACTCACTGAGGGCTAGTACGGTTTGACTCGAGAATTCAGTAATATTCAGTGGCCCGACTCCCACGTTAGTAGAGGAGGGTCATTGTCAGATCGATACATCATGTGCGCGCTCCACTTCAAGGAGGCTACACCTGTACTAGACGGACTGGTCACGAGTTAGACTACTTTGATCAAGGCTCCACAGCCTCCACCGAGCACCAGTGATTGATTGACCCATGATTCAGTACAGTATAAATAAAATCAAACCCGATTTGAATTGTTCGCTTCAGAATATTTTTTATGTGAGCCCCTCTGATAATCTCATGTAATATGGAGATATTATACGCTGGACGATATCAACAAGTGATTCAGCGAGGTCCATTGAGTGGACCTCGCATGTCGCAGGTGAGGATAATCTTCAGATGAGATGGATCGTGACGCGTGATATGTTGAGAACAAAACGTGTGCTCATCGAAATGAATTCGAAAACGTACTCCTTCCTGTCATGTGACTCAATTGTTTGGATTTCTCCATCATTCAAATACGTTTATCATTACTCCAACTCACGAAATGCAGGCAGAGTGCATATCACACAAAACATATCTGTGACCTGCGTTGTGTCAGCGTCTCGTGTGAGCAAGACGTGCCTTTGTCGACACACCATGTCCAAGACTCCACACTACTAAATTACAGAGTCAGTCAGGGTGAGACCAAAAAATATCACTGCAATTGCGAGAGATTATGCAAGAGCTAGTTGCACCGAGTACTCTATGGAACGTGGAGACGGCATGCAAAGTTTGAGCTCCCAATATGAAGGGGACGTGTTCTCTGAAGAAAAGAACGCATACTGGTATGGCCAGCTCTGCTGTGCAACGTGCTTCCCGGGGCTGTTCTACTAATGGTACCACGTCAGATATTCGTAAGTCTCTGGATCGGGACCCACAACCTGTCCAGCAGGATGAATAGGATCATGATCCTGGTATAGAGGTTCGTCTTGTTTTGCTTGTGCTTTCTACTACAATGACTTATGGTTTCAATGAACCATTTTGCAGGTTACGACGCCTCTGTAGATGTTCACGACACAACGACAGGTGTCCACCCTCCCATGTTACCTCCTCAACATGTGGTTCCACAACGATGTCCTTCCCCGGATTCACTACTATCAGACCCTAATGACAGCGGTATTCTCGCACCCCCAGATGCAGACCAGTGTGTCCTTGTGGAGGATTTATACTCACATGAAGCGTCACTCCCACACGTTTGTCTTGTGAACGCAAACAGCCAGTCTAGATGACGAAGACACCGGGCTGAGCACAGAAACCGTCGCACGGCTCAAATTCCCACTGCAGTTCACGCTTTCGCTTGAGGGGATTACCACTGCCGCCGTCAAGCTCTACCTTCCACATTCAGCTTCAGATAAGGATGCGTAAGATAATCATCGAGCTTCAAAGCTTCATGGTTGGGCGCTGGCATGCAATGCTATGTCTCGCAATGTTGTCGACATTTTTCGAAATAGCTGGATACAAGGCATACAATCACGCACATCGTTCAAACCAGTGAGTCTCGGATCATACTGCGAGTTCTTGTACTGATCATATCCTTGCCAAGGCATGTAATTTTGTACGTTCCAGGTGCAGAGCCGTGTACTTCATCGCCTTACATTACGACGGTTGACACTATATGATTTCAATGTGATCTCAATACCATCGAAAGACAGCAGGGAGCTCGCTAAGGACCGAGAAGCAGTCAAACTGAATGACATCACCCATCAGAGTAGGCACCAGCAGTGCGGGAAGAGTCGGAGGAGGGCTGAGTCACACGATGGTGCACATTGCGATTCTTGAGGCTGCAAGAAGTGTGTCCATCGTGCTCATGAGTGAGCATTCAAGGGTTCTTGGGACAGATTTTGTTATAATCCAGCGAGACGCACGCCAGCGCTGAGAATCTACGTGTATGTTGACCGGTACGTTATCTTTGATACTTGACAATATATGCGCCAATTTATGAAGTATGATGGACAGTCGGACTCATCTGCGGACGTGTACCAAACCCGCCCCGAGTCATCTACGAATACACAAGCTCCCACGGCCTGCTACATCGGCCTTTCCAACGAGCGTGCTCGACGTTCGAGTTCACCCAACACCCATGGCATCTACTGCTCCGTCGCCCCTTAGTTCGTACTCAGGACCAACATCTTCCGGGGGAAACTCCAAACGTGCAGATCTTGTTGAGCATCACAGGATGTCACCCATTCCAGAGAGTGTCTCACATCCTGACATGCTCTTGTTTGCTCTCAGACGTTTCAAGGATAAATCGTCTGGAAGATCGAGCTTATTCACATTTGCAGAGATTTCCGATATCACTGCTTTTCAGCTAGACAGGTAGGAAAGAGCGAAATTCTGTCGTTTCCGTCGTATGCTGATCATTCATCATAGTTCATGTCTCTGTCAATGTTCTCATTGGTCGATATCATCTGCTGTGTCATCCTTGTGTTTTATCATACGAACGATTGAACAGTTGCAAATTCGTATCTGTGCGAGGGTACAATCAGTTGCCTGATTGGCAGGGAGTCAGATAAGAGATAGACGCCGTGTATAGCTGTTGTGCCACAAGCTATAAGAACGCTTGCTTCGTGTTCGTTCGCTGCCATATCTCGCCACGACCTCATTCTGTACCACAGTACAGCTTTCACGATAAACCAAATCACCTCTACTTCAGGACGCACATTAAGATCTCCCAATGGCAACCATCGAAGCCCAGGACCTCAGAGAAAGAATTGGGCGCTTTCGAGTTCTGATCATGGGGAGAGCAAACGCAGGCAAAACGACCATCCTTCAGAAGGTCTGCAACACCACGGATCAACCAGAAATTTACGATACTAAAGGAAAGAAGGTGCGGGTGATGATCGATGTCATGCACGCCTTTATCGCTGATCAATTGTGGGTAGATTGATACTACCATCGTGGAATCCTCAATCAAGGTGTGTGCATCATTTTCCCTGTGGGCATACATGTGCTGACGGATGTTCAGCGCGGAAATCACGATATCGCGAACGAAATGGTATTCAAAAGCAATCCCGGTTTTGTATTTCACGACTCCTGCAGTTTCGAAGCGGGATCTGAAGAAGAATTCAAGAATATGAAGAAGTTTATCTCAGAACGGGCACATGCGACAAAATTGGAGGAGCAACTTCACACCATCTGGTAAGTGGCCCCCTTCTGACATTCCGCGCTTTTTGATTGCCATCAGGTATTGTATTCCGATGGACGAGCATTGTCGAACATTCCAGCGGTCAGAAGAGAAGTTCTTCCGGGAGTGCGACACTGGGCACGGTGAGCTTTCAATTTCATTGTCAGTTGCCATGTTTGGGCTAAATGATCGATCTTCAGTTCCTGTGGTTGTGGTGTTCACCAAATTCGAAGCTCTGCGTCCCGTTGCATTTGGAGAAATCAAGGAGCAACTAAAAGGTGTATCGAAAGAAGAATGCTCAAAGAGGATTGCTGAGCGTGTTGAGGAACTGTTTACTAAGACAGGAGTCTTGGATCAGTTGTGCAACCCCGAAAACCGTGCGCGTCCCAAGGCCTATGTACGCTTGCAGGGTAAGCGGTTCAGTTTTGATTTGTCCCATGTCAAAGTTGACATTAGCAACCATGCCAGGAATGAACAAAATGGATGCAAACTGCAACACTCTACTGGAACACACCACTTTTGCACTAGACAATGAAGAATTGCGATTGTGCTTGGTGTCGACACAAATATCAAACATGGAGCTTTGCATCAAGTGTGCCATCGCGTGAGTCTCAGATTTGCAAGTGACATGAGTTTGTTTCCACAGTATCTAGAACACTTGTTTGTCATGCACATATGCAAATCGATGATGGAGGCTATCAGCATGATATTGCTAAGTGGTTTCCGCATCTCAAAGTAAGACGAAGATTCATTCAATCTGACGATCCCTGGTGATGGTTCTCATGGATGGTAAATATCGAAGCGCTGAAACTGTAGACTTTCTTATATGTTTTCCTTGATTGTAGTTGTTTATTGGTAACAGCTGGTAAGACTGTGGCTTACAAAGCTAAGCAAGGGCAACACTGATGCCTTACTGCTGCTTGTCTGTGCTGTGTTTTTTGTGTCCAATTTCCGTTGCTCGTCTATTGACAGTATGTGAGTGCCTCGATGGATTCTAGTCCTCGGTCCATGCTCATGATCCCCATCCCTCGCTGCTGCTCCCCTGTTGACAGCTTGTAAGTGCCTCGATGAATTCTAGTCCTCAACCCATGCTCATGATCCCCATCCCTCGCTGCTGCTCCCCTGTTGACAGCGGGTGAGTTCCTTGATGGTTTCTAGTTCTTGACCCATGCTCGTCATCCTCATGCCTCCCTACTACTCGTTTATTGACAGAACGTATGTACTTTTGACTGTTCCTCATTCTCAACCCAAGCTGACAATCACTGTTTTCAACCTGTTGACAGAAGGTCAGTTCCTTGATGGTTTTCCGTCTGCAACTCGTGTGGACAGCTCTTACACTTACTGTTTTTTTGAGCCCATTCAGTCACATAGTCTGTAAAATACAGGCAGCCGAGGTTGAAAATATGCTGTTCCACACAGGCCAGCAGATGTCGGCCGATTGAATGTGTTTGCCCGAGTCTAACATTCGGCCGACTGACTAACTGATGGACCATTGGAACAGCTGGGCCTATACACGGTGTTGCTTAATATTAACATGTTGGCCGGTCACCAAGAAACAAAGATGGTGGATTGTGACGCTCTCAACCCGGCCCATGTAGACAATAGTGACTGTGTGTACCGGTCAGCCGATGCGAATAATGGGTATGAAGGTATCATGCAGGCCGATGCAGAATATATCTCCTGTGCGTGTCAGTCAGCCCATCAAAAATATATTGCTCGTGCTGATCAGATGGCCCATGCGATGACAATGAATTCACGATGGTCTCCAGTCGGCCGATAGGAACAATTGTCTGGTATAATCAGGTGGGCCATTGGAACCTATCCTATCCGGTCGGTCGATGGAAACATATTCCCGATGCCATCAGGTCGGCCAATACACAGGAATGTCTCATACAATCATATGAGCCCATGACATTGACACCATCATGTGGGCCGGTGGAAAGACATTTCCGATGCCATCAGGTCGGCCAATATAAAGGAATGCCTGATACAATAGGGTGGGCCAATGGAACCAATACTATCCGGTCGGCCGATGGAAAGACATTCCCGATGCCATCAGGTCGGCCGATATGAGGGAATGCCTGATACAATAGGGTGGGCCAGTAAAACCAATACTATCCGGTCGGCCGATAGAAACACATTCCCGATGCCATCAGGTCGGCCAATATGAGGGAATGTCCAAGGCAATCGGGTGAGCCAATGAAAGCAATACTATCCAGTCGGCCGGTAGACACAATTGCCTGATAATCGCAGATGGGCCGCTGAAACTGATGCAATCAGGCCAGCTGATGAAAATAAACCCTCTATGCCATCAGGTGAGCCGATAAAAATGAATGCCTGAGAAAATCGTCCGGGACAATGAGGAGAATGCTCGGGTTCTATCAGGTGGGCCGGTGTGGAACGGGTCTCCTTTGCACATCGGTCGGCGCATTTTAGCACCATCGCTCGGTCGCCAGCTTTGATGATTCAACATCGATTCAAATGAATCTGGAACATTTTGATGACTATGTACAAAGTTAAATGTAACTGTAATGTACCATCAGATGTAATCACGCATTTGTCTAGGCTGAAACTGAGAAATCCCAATCTACATTCATGTAACTCGCATACTGTGGCCGAGGTGTCCCCACAAAATTGTGAAGGCTATCGCACATGAACCACATCCACACAATGCGATTACCAGTGAATGTGACCCCATGCCTCACGATCAGTCCAGAGCAAGCAACCATGGCGCCAGAGTTGTATCGCAACTGTATACCGAGGTTGGATAAGGTCATGAGCCCATCGTAATATTCGCTGACACTGGTCATTACGTCGAACCCCTCTGGAGGAGATCGTGGATCTCTGTGAAGAGGGCATTGCCGGTTACAAATAACCGCTGCGCAGTTGAGCACCGAGGCCCAAAGTTGCAAACGAGTATATATCTCATCGTGGCCGTTGTCCATAGCCCATCGGGCGAGTTTGATCTGGGTTTTAACCGAAGCCCAATATAACTCTGGATGCATCACCTGCAGAGCCGCAGAGGCCAGGAGCGCCGAGCGCTGCATGGATGTTATAACTATATGAGCTCCTTCCCCCTTGAGCGTACCTGACACCTCGGGAGCGAACGCACCGGTGGGTGGAAAACCATATGGCTGGAACAGTTGGAGTGAGCAGACATTACAGTGGAAAAGCAGGCCTGACCTCTCGGCCTTGCTGGAACCAGCAAGGAGCCATGTTGATGCATCCGGGAGTCAGCGGGCGCCGGTCGCTCTTATGAAAATACCCAGCGTATGGTCGCCAATGGGTCTCTTCTCCACTGGTCATGCTTGTCTTGAGGAGATAACCCATGCCGATGGTGGCTTCTTCCATCTCGGCCTGTTGTGTCAGTGTGAATATTGGCCGATAAGCAACAATACATCAGCATACTTGTATCCAGAGGCTAATAGCGTCTGGTAGGTACCATAGGATAATCCGGCCACCAGAATCCACCAGAACCGAGGGCTTGTCAAGCAACTGTTGAGAACTATGAGGGGACTTTTTAGACAGAGCCTCTTCATGTTTTGTGATCCGGCCGGTAGAGTGTTTGTTGAGGGCCTCGTTGTAACGAATCATATCAAGATTAAGGTGAACTGTGGTCCGTCAGAAAACCACTGATTATATTCAGGAATGACTTACTTGGGTGTAAATATGCATCGGCAAGAACTCGGGCCAACTGCTGACATGCAAGCATGGTTGGCACATCCAATGTGAGCGGAGGCAAGACCGACTGTTGCTGGCGACCGACGTGGAAAGCAAACAGCTGGTGCACAAAGTCACCAGCGATGGTTGTGGTATGTAATGCCCAGTCAGTCTGAATTGGAGTCATCTGCGGGGGCAGAACAACTGGCATAATTGATGGTTAGCTTATATGGGACAGGACCGAGATTCATTGAGTAATACTATATACATTTAGAGCATGAACGTAAATTCGGCGATACTACCGATGTCTATTTCGTAAGTATGCACACATTGCCGGTAATGACAGTCAGATCGGCGATAGAACAGCACAATTGATGTGAAGTCAATCCTTGCCAGACAATTGCCTACCAGAATTTAAGAGCTCTTCCTCCAGCTCGGCAATCGGTCCCTCAAGTTGAGACATGGTGGACGCGGCTGCAGCGGCAATCCCGGCCTTCTGCTCCAGCAAGGAAGCCATTGATTCGCCGAGATGTTGGAGGTGGGCTCTTGCGGCCACAATTTGATTGAAGAGGGCTTCACCGTCCACTTGACCGGTTACCGCAGGACCCGGTTCAAGGATAGCTCCCAGCGGCTAAGGATTGACATGAGAGTAAGTCCATCATCATGAAGCAGAAAGAAAGTGAGAGAGATAAAATGACCGACCAGTTGTTCAAAGTGGTCATGGGTCATCTCCATGACCTCTTGCAGGTTCAAGACCAGCAGCTCAAAACTCAAGTGGTCAAAGTGATCCTTCCACCAATCATAGGGATAGTTAGGAACAACTCGGTGGTGGGACGTCAATCCAGGGCGATGCGGAGAGCAGTGAAGAAAGAATTCATCATGCAATTCCTCGGCTGTGATGGTTCCAGTTTGGAATCGGGTAAATCTGCCGATGATGCTGCGGAGAAGGTCGGGCATGGTTGGGTGGATGTTGAGGACCACTGATATGTTAATATATGAGAATACAAAACACTGATTTAGGCATCAGCTACAAGATCACAATGGCCGACCGACTGACCGACCGATGATGTACTTACATCTGCCTCCCACTGAAGATGCCGAATGAAGGTGGCTTTGTAAGCCGGTGTTCAAGGGATGTGGTTTCGGTCGCAAGCCAGCCAGATCGCGGCGAATTGAGACGTAGCAAACTCTAGAACATTGGCAGCATCCCACAGAGTAAAGTCACTCAGTTCATATGTATGCAATGTTAGGGAGTTGGACATGATGGTGGTAGTTAACATCAACATGGAAAAAACTTTTATGGGGATCGGCATTGTACTGATGACTAATCTAGCAGCTGCATGTGGACCCCGGTCACTCCGCAACCTCAGCCACCCCTTTTGTTCTCTCAAAGCTGTCTTCTGCATGCTGGGATAGTCGGAGATACATTTGAGCCTGGCGGGCTGCATAGCAGCGGTGCCCAATGATGTCCTTTGCATCGGCCTCCTGCATTCGGCGGACCCATTGTTGAGATTTATGCATAAAGAATGCAACCGTCCATGTCATTTCTCGACCGACCAGCAGTAGCTCCTCTTCCCAACGATTTTGCAGTGCCAATGTCCTGAGCCAATGGACACGGTAAACTATTTGGCAAGTAAATTACGACTATATAGGAAGAGGTAGGTCGGCGAAGTACATACATTCATTCATCCAGTCATTGCTGGTAGAATCCCCCTCAACGTCAATGGACCAAAACCAGGCTAATGTGCTATTTCTTTGACCACGGGCATTTGTGTCTGCCACCACGGTAGTGGCCTTGAGGTCGGCCTTCTCCAATAGCCGATACTTCATCAATAAGTCATCGGCACCGAGATTAATGAGCTGCTTCCGGCATTTTGCGTAGATCTGTGTGTTGAGGTTAAGAACTCTGTCAACTGAGTGCACACGAGCCCATGCTCTGGTCGACCGTGCTTGTGACTTTGCCGACTGAACCGTGGTGCGAAAGAGAACGGCCTTGTCGGCCAAGTTGACCCTCACAGCATGCAATGCATCGTTTGCTTGGCCCTCTCTTAAGGATATTTCTTGTAGCACAAGGTCGGAGACGCCCCACTCGGCGCACCTTTTGATGCCGATGTTTGACGGTAATGGAATCACCACGGTCTCAGGATTGAACTCCACCGATATATCACATTGGTCTTCATCATCTGACTGATCGGGAGCCTCCGATGATGATCCGACGGAATCCAATTCTGTTGTGTCCAACATAACTGTCATACCGTCCAAATGGTCGCAGCTGTTGAATTCATTGCCAAGAAATGTCGGTGCGACCCTCACAAATTCATCTAGTTGACCTTGCAATCTGTCACGATGCCGGGCAATAGCCAGCTTCTGATTGTTGGTCGGCCGTTTCCCCAACTTGTTGACATCGATCAGGAGGGCTACTTGCACTTCCTCCAGTGTCATTCCACAGGCCAGCCAAGTTGCAGCACCCTGGTGAATCTCACCGGCGGGCCATTGTGCCTGACGGTTCAGTAGGTGCAACTCTTGCTGTTTTCTTGTTGGTGCTGTGCCACAAGGACATCAGCATATTCAATATACAAGAGTCCCATTGCAACGGACCTTTGGCCAACTGAACTTCGTATATATCCATGGAGCTGGGATTATGAAGTCGGTCATCTTCAGCAGCAGTGGCCTCTGCTTCCCATTTGACAAGGGTGTCATCCTTGGCGGTCTCGCTCAACCGGTCAAATGCATGTCAGCTGTCTTGGACTCCCTGCACGGCCTCCTTAAATTTTCGGCAAAGGAATTTGCCTAAATGCATTTGAATTTGCTAGCTGGATAACATGATATTGCTCACTGATGCGTATCATCTTCATAAAATTGCAATCATTCATCTGAAAGTCCAAACACTCCTTTCGGTGAGGGGTGGACATCCCTCTTGCCGACGGTGATATGATGTTCAAGGGCGCCCACAGGGTCTCCATGATTTCGCCGTCGATTCTGGTGGCACCTGTTATGAAATTGGATGCATACTGCACATAGCATTTGTCTTGATGGCCGTGGACATGCCAGAGCCCGATGCCAGGAATAATCTCCATGCCCCATGGAAGGTCAAGATAGGGCGAGTCCTCAATCCGCTTGCTCAGATGCTTGTTGTATTGACAATTAATGTCATAGAAAGTCAATGCCCGATCAATACCATCGGTGTTGTACCCCAGAGCTTGACACAGCGCGTAATCCATATTCATTTGCCTTTGACCGGCCAACTCATCAGTTCAACCTGGCCAATTTAGCAGTTGGAACGGCGAACCTTTCCCCCTTCTGAAAGTCCACCATTGAATGAGGGACAAAACACCCGTGTCTCGCGCAAGCACACCCTCCTATCCCTGTGGCTTCCAGCCGGTGGTGGGAAGCATTTGCTTGGTTGACCGCTTGGTGGTTATTACAGTCTGACCTTTGTACAATGTCCTGCACCTGGGATAGATGCATTTTGTATCGGGCGTCGCTGACCATGAAGCCCAAGCCATCAGTCAATGCCACTTCATCGGTCGGATTGGTGGGATGTAAATGCTTGGCCTTGAAATTGCCATCCATGACCAAAGATCTGGAATATAGCCATGCAGGGTCGGATCCATTTCTGTCTGACATACTGAGGTTTACACCGGGCTGAGGACATGCAGGACAGAAGAGTGCAAGCTCCCCTGCCTTCGGCTTTCGCTTCTCATGGCCAAACCCATGCCACTTGAGCTGCTTCACTTGTCTCCACTGCCTGCCGACCCTCATCAATTCTCTGTACCGGTCCTTTCGGCTATTGTGAGCAATGCAATGCAGGAAATCCACATCACTCACTGGAACCAGATGAGGGAACACGCTTGATGTGATTCTTATTAATTTACTGTAGTAGTTCATTGCTGATGTCCCGCATTCCAGGTTGTCCAGCAGGAAGTCGTCCAACACCGCAAATGTAAATGCTGTCTTCGGCGAAGTAAAAGATGCAGGGAAGAGGCCGGTTTCAAATAGTTGCATGTCCGGGCTCAGTGCACCGGCGCACTGACAGAATCTGATCATCATGGAGTGGAGCCCGGACGTATCCACCACCATAGTCATCCGAGGATCATTAACCAATGGTATCCATGGGCCGTCTGTGAATTGGTCTCCTTCATCATCTGTGTCGCACCACTCATCGGTCAGTCCGGGGCAAGGCTCGCCTGCATGGCCAAGGTGGACTTCAAACCCAATCTTGGTCAAGGAAGTGTCTTCGAAGAATCCCCCAGTCCATTGACTGATCCGATGGAAAGGCATGCAGCTGTGAAACGTCCGACAGCAATGGGTACAGAAGAGCGGTTCACCCATGCAGCCATGACATCTGTAGACTCCATCCTTTGGACAGACAGAGCACATCCTGTTGGAAGGTGGACCCTCTCGCCGAAGGAGCAAGTCTAAGTAGTCCTCGGTCTTGTACTGCCACTCACGCAGATAGTCATTTTGACTCTTGATATTTGGTGTCAGCACATGAGACAAGGCAAGTGAATGGTGAGCTTGCCATGGACTTGCGAAGACAAAAAGGCTTCAAGTTACATTCACCTAGGTCATAGTGTTCATGGTCGCCCTCCTTATGAAGTCCTCTGGTAGATCGGTCCTTTGTAGGTGATTTTCTGGGGGATGAATGAACCGATGTTGTTTTGTTGTAACGTCGAGCTTTGACAAATCATCCCATATCTCCTCTAGATGTTCGTTTGTTCTCCCATTGAACCAAAGAGGATGTCTTTGGAGGACTCCAGGCCTTTGGCTTTGACTTGACCATGGACGGAAGTAGTGCTGCGTTTGTCAGGATGTGTTGTTTGGAATGAGATGCTTAGACTTTGGGACGGTTTAGTGCTTACATTCAACTGCCAAATGCAATGCCTAGTATGTAATAGTCACTTTGATCTCTCGGTAATCATTGGCATGGATATTCACGGCGCAATTCCAATGGCCGATAGTGATTTGTGTATATGATATGTCAAGAGCACTTCAGATCCTCCAATTTCATGCCACCCACCCACCTATGCATCTACACCACTCAATAAGTCTTGTAGTGATAGGGCTCACACTATTCGGCACAATCTAGCCCTTACGTTCACTTATGACATGGGTGTGTCACTTATGTGAATCATAACTCACATGAGCTTCCTTCCATTTTTCGTTCCATCAACCACATCAACGCTCTCCTACACGTACATTTCCAGGTTCTTTACTCCAAGCTACCTACTGTGATATGCCTTGGACAAAGATAATCACCGGTGATCAGCCTCGGTTGAACGACCAAGAGACAACCACACTGCAGTCCCATGTTGAGGACTGGGAGAAGGCAAGTGGAACTGAGCAACGACAGATTTTCAAAGCGGCCGCCAGAGAGGCAAAACTTTTTGCTCCAAAGATGGACAAAGAGCTCTTGAAGCAACGAAAAGAGGTAAGCTTTTCGGCTTTGATCTCGGGTCATGCTGCATTACAGTCATCATGCACAGAGATACAGGCAGTGGTTCTACAATCACAAGAAACCCAAGTTTAATGCCAAAGTGCCGATGAAGCTGCAAAAGAAATGGACAGCCCGCCGAGTCATCAAAGAGGAGCGGAAGGCCGACATTCTTCAGCAAATACATGAAGAAATTGAGGAGGAGACTGGGCAGAAGCCTGAGCAGAAAGAAGTCCTCAGAAGATATCAACCTACCATGACGGCAATCATGAAAGGGCTCAACGATGATGAGTTGGAGGAAGCCCGGGCAAAGGCCGACCAGTGGACAAATCAAGTGCCTGACCCTGTAGTCCAGGCCAAGACAGCTAAGAAGAAGGGTGAAAAAATGATCAAGCACTTCGCCAAAGAGATGTTTACTCAGGCCAGTATGAGACTCTTTGTATTGGGATCCTGGAAAGACGAGAAGGGCGCCCTGCTTACATCTGGGCAAGTTGATATGCTCGGTCGGTTGGTCATTGTGCTTACATGGTTTGGCAGGTTTGACTTCAATGAACACCTCGGAAGAGGATCCAGCTTCATGAAATGCAAGGACTGGCAGGTCATCTTACCGGCATGGGAAGATTTTATTGGTGATGAATTCGGTAAGTCTCAAGACCATCTGAGAGGTGCTTCATATAATTCATGTTGCCTCCACCAAGACCAGGATCAAGACCAGGACGGCACACTGTTGGGAGGCACTCGCCGAGTCCCAAGCCTCATTACGAGTTCGACCTGGACCGTATGGATTTGCCGATATTGCCTGATATTAAGGGTGTCTCGCTTGAAGTCAAGAAGGCAATGATTCGGTCATTCCTCACCATTCATTACAGTAAGCCGTATGATAGAAGACCTGTGCCATTATCTGACACCCGCCGCCATAGGAATATGTTGCGGAAAACGGAAGGTCCCAGTGCCATGGAGTGACATAATGAAGGGGCAGTCACGGTTCATCTCCAGCACATACCTGCCAAATGATATCAAGATCACAGACCCATCCAAAATGCAACGGAATGAAGCCAATGCCTTGTTGGAATGTTGGTTGGACCGACAAGACCACCAGGTTGGACTAACGTTAAAGTTCAAAGCGTGGATTGACGACAAGGGCAAGATGCATTCACCGGTCGGCGAAGGGTCTGATGGGTCTGATGGTGATGCTGATGATGAGGGCTTATGGCCCAGGCCAACTGCAAAGTCATCGGCCACCGCTGCACTCTCATCGGCCAGACTTCCAAAAAGGCCGCCGAGGTTCATCAAACGGCTCATATCGGTTC